TACCCTGCTGCTTTCCAAATGTTTGCATTGTCAGCCAGGAACTCTTCCCAATGGGTTTTCTTCTGCTTGCGGATGGCATCATGGTATTGTTTTGACGCCTCTTTCGCTAGGTGCTCGAACTCCGGATGAGGCCTGCCGCCCCTCCTTTCCGCCCTCGCACGGTTTCTCCAGTACGTGTAAATTTGGCGGAGCTGCGTCAAATCTGACGTCCACCACCTTTTTGCATAGGGTGATGGTTTCGCCCTCGGCGTCAGCTTGTGGACTGCTTCGCTCACTGCATCCATCAGACTGTCGGCCTGCTGCTGTACCGAACCACCCATCGGTACTGTTCGGAGATTGTCTTCGATCCGGGCCTTAATCTCTTTCCATGGTGCGTTTTGAATAGTAGTCTCTGCTCTGTGGTCGGTCTCGGTATCGCAATATCTAGGGTCATTTCGATGGCTTGGTGGTCGGGCCCATGGTTGTTCTCGTGGATTGTGCACTTTAGTAGAGATTCGGCGAGATCTGCCGAAACCAGGGCAAGGTCGATGGTTGTCTCGCTCTGTCCGCGTTGCCACGTCTTCGTCCCACGCGGCAGTAGATTTCTCAGGGTATGTTCGTTCATCAGGTCAATGAGCCGATCTGCTTCACCTTGTCGCTCAGATGCGATGTCGTCCCCTCCCCACAGCTGATCATGTCTGTTGAAATCGCCGAGGACAATTGTGTGCTTTACCCTGCCTCCTCGACTTTGCTCCGCCCGAATGATGTTGTCCAGCAACAGACAGATATCCGCAAGAGCTTCTGCGTCTCTCCCCGTGACATAGACTGATATCAGGAGAAGCTCCTTGTTCGGCAGTCGAACCCTAGCAGCGGTGACGTCCGGTGATGGGACGGGAACCTGTTCGGCGTCCAGCGTCTTACTTAGCCATAGCATGGTCCTTGCTCCCCACATTCCCTCTCGCCATTCTGTTGGTACCATTTTCGTCCATTCGCGGTGGCCCATTGGGACAGTCAGGAGATTGTCGCCCGCCTTCCACGCCGGCGGCTCCTGTATCGCAATCGCGGCGAAATCTCTCAGTCCCTCGTCGTTCATCACACTCTCGTGGATCTCTTTCCTCTTTCCAACGTTGAGTTGAAGAACGCGGAATGGCTTACTCATGCCGAGTAGGGTAAACCTTCTGGCAGTACCTGCTGAACGACTCGTGTGGCCCGCCGCAGGGCACGCACTTGGGCACCGCCGTTTGGCACGTGTCGTGTCGGTGGCCTTCGTTCGCGCACTTCGCGCACCCCTGAGGTTTATTGCATTTGAATGCCTTATGTCCGATCTCTTGGCAGTTGTAGCATTGCTCTGGTCGGTCTCGTCGCTCGAACACGTTCGTCTTGCCGGATTCCCCTCCGACGTGGAAGTACCCTTCCTCTAGAATCTTCCGGGCGTCCGCCGCCTTTGTCAGATACACCACCATGGACCCGTACGCCTTCGGGATGTCTCTCCGGCTGAGCCATGATATCTTGGCTACTGTTACTTCGTTCTCTTGGCTGAATGCTTCAGCCGCGCCAGGCCGGACGGCGCCGCTCTCATCCAGGACCGCTGTACGGTTAACGTTGTCGACCTTGATTGGGTACAGCTCGTCCCGCAGGATGCGGACTCCTCTTGCCATTGCCAGCGTCGCCACCTCGGCCGCCTGCCTGATCATGTTGTGCTCCTCCTCGTTCCTGCAGACGATCTTGATCCTGTTCGTGTTTTTCGCGTCAACCGTCACCGCCTTGCACCTCCAGCTGCTGTCCTCTTTCCTCGCTCTCATTTCTTTCTCCACGGCCGACCTGACGGTGCCTGCGGTTACGTTGCCCTTCTCCGCTTTGTCCACCCGTGATGCGTCGATCGTGCAGAAGAGTATGTCTGTGGATGTTGAGGGCGTCGTGTTCGCCGAGGAGAGGGTTCGCACGTTGTCAGGTTGGCTTGTCGGTGGGGTCCGCGCGACCTCAGCATATGATGCTCGGGGGCTCGATTGTGCCGATGTCATGCCTGGACATTTCTTGATCTCCTCCAGTTGTTCTCGAACCTGCTCCAGCTGTCGTTCCGCGTCCTGGAGCTGACGCTGGACTTCCTGGTTCTGTCGCAATGTCTCTTTGTTCTGTTGTTGGCTCTCAAGGAGCAGGCGCTGCAGCTCTTGAACTGTCGCCTGGCTCTGCTGTTGGCTTTCCTGGTGTAGACGTTGCAGGCCTTGGATCATTGCCTGCTGTTCCTTGCTCTCCCTCTTCAGCTCCGACACTTGTTCATGCAGTCTCTGCAGCATCTCCATGAGCGCCTCCCCGTACGTGCTGCTCTTTCTGCTCGTATCCACGCCATCCTCTCCTCTGGCGGTTGTCGCCCGCTTTGTAGTTTTGGTCGGTTTCTTTGTCGTTGCGATCGTGTCGCTGTCCGCCTGCAGGTTGTCTTGTACTTTGGCGCTTGGGGTCGGGTTGCGAGCCGACCGTCTCAGAGCCTGTTCGTGGTCGGTGGGCTCGGCCGCGAACACGGTTTCCACCACGTCCGACATGTTCCACCGCGACCAACCGCGTCAATCGCGTCTTTCCTTCCTTCCTTCCTTCCTTCCTTCCTTCGAATCCAACACCGCAACGATTGATACAATGATTGATACAACGGTTTCCGGTAATGGTGGAGCCCTCTTTACATACCTAATATCAGATATCTACTACAGGAGTACCATGAGTATCGGAAATTGTTTACGGAAAATCTAGAGACTGGATTACCGAAACATCGACATTACGACCACGAGATACCCTTAAAGGAAGGGACTCACCCGAATTTCTTTCCTATCTACGGATTGATCAAAAGGAGTCAGAAGCACTCGACGAATACCTGCAAGAGATGTTAGCAAGAGGCTACATTCAAGCATCTCAGTCACTAGTAGGTTACTCTATTCTCTTTATACCAAAAATAAACAGCAAGTTGCGATTATATATCGACTATCGATAGCTTAACGACATAACTATCAAGAACCGCTACCCATTACTACTGATCTCAGAGATACGAGATAAGTTAGATAGAGCATAATAGTTTACCACACTTAACTTAGAAGGAGCCTATAACCTTATCAGAATCAAAGAAGGAGAAGAGTGGAAGATAGTATTCTGGACGAAGCGAGGACACTTCGAGTACCTCGTAATACCGTTTAGGTTAACGAATACACTGGCACCTTTCCAAATACTTATTAACGACGTTTTAAGGAAACATTTGGATCACTTTGTTGATTTGGACGACATTCTTATCTTCTCAAAGACCTTTGAAGAACATCGACAACATATTCACACGATTCTATAACTCCTATAAAACGCCGATTTACTGGTCGAACCAGAGAAAATATAGTTCCACAGGCAGAATGTTAATTTTCTTAAGTATATAATCCGACCTAATGAAATCTGCATAGATAAGATAAAGGTCTAATACGTGTCTAAGTGGCCTCGACCTCAGAACGTTCGTAACATTCAGTCTTTCCTCGGACTAGTTAACTACTATCGACGGTTTATTAAAGATTACAGTAAGGTTGCTATTTCCTTAATAGACGCGACTAAGAAAGACCTTAACTTCGACTAGAACGAACGAATAGAAGAAGCGTTCTAAGAACTCAAGAAAAGAGTTACGAGCGAACCGATTTTAGTAATACCGAACCCCGATAAACCATATGAATTGGAAACCGACGTATCCACTAGGCTCTAAGAGCACAGTTAGGACAACGAGACGAGCAAGGAAGACTATATCCTGTAGCTTTTATATCCAAGAAACTTAGTAGACCAGAACTTAACTATCCTATACACCAAAAAGAACTCATAGCGATTATCGAAGCATTTAAGGAATAGAGACCATATCTCTCAGAAACCAACTACTCAGTTCAAGTATTCACGGATCATAAGAACCTGGCGTAGTTTACGACTACGAAGGTTCTTAATAAGCGATAGATCCGATAGGTAGAGTTTCTTATAGAATTCAACTTTCAGATCCAGTATAGGAAAGGAAGCGAAAATAGTCGCGCCGATACACTTAGCCGACTAGGAGAATCGGACAAGACTTCAGAACCGCAGGCCATACTCTAATAGGAAGGAGACACACTCACGATAAAACATCGATAAGTTAACATCATTAACAGAACCACAGATATAAGTTTCGAAGAAGTACACGCGTCGCTAGTATATAGATACTAAGGAGTTAATAAATATATACACGACTTAAAAAGCAATATAGTTATAAAGGAACTAAAGAACGAGTTAGGGACTACGTTCGAAATTACGACACATACCGAAAAGCGAAGCATAAGAAGTATAAGCCTTATGGGTTACTAAAACCCCTACTAGTAGCAGAAGGACTATAGAAGTTTATTACGATAGACTTTATCACAGGACTACCAACGTCCAAAGACCCAGCAAACGGAATTGCCTATAATAGTATATTCGTGATCGTCGATCGATTCACGAAGTACACTCTTTACATTCCCTGTATTAAGACAACAACAGCTAAAGAACTAGCAACAATCTTCATTGACCGCCTAATCCGGGATCATAGCATACCAGACGAAATCATCACAGACAGAGACAAATTATTTACCAGCAACTTTTAGAGCTCAGTCACGAGTCAGCTTAGGATAAAATATAAGTACTCTACAGCGTTTCACCTAATAACCGACGGACAAACCGAGATCATAAACCAGACACTAGAACAATACCTACGATACTACATCAGCCACGAGCAAGACAATTAGGTACAGTATTTACCACTTACACAGTTTGCATACAACAGTTCAGTCAACGAATCCATAAAGAAAACGCCATTTAAAGCCAACTAACTATAGCTACACACTAACGGCATTTAGTAAACCTCTAGATAGACCCGATACACTAAAAGCAACAAAACAAGTTAAAATTCTGAAAAAAACTACATAAAGAATTACGAAGCGACCTTAAAATAGTACGAAAAAGAATGCAAAAATACGCTAACGAAAAAAAGATTAAGGGACCAACCTTTTCGAAGGGTCTAACACGGGCGCGAATGGTGGTGGGGCCTGGACGGTTGCCGAGAGTGTGCTTCGGCTTGGTCTTGTCGGTGCTGGTTGGTTCAGCCGAAGGAGAGGACGCGGACGAGGAAGCGGAAGAAGAAGAGGACGAGGATGAGGAAGAAGTGGTGCTCGATTCCGACGGTCGTTGGGCGGCCACGGCCGTTATAAACACGTCGGCAGTGGCGGCGTCGCCGAGGTAAACGTGACCCTATGCCCTCAGCTGCTCCAGATACAGCGTTTCGCGTGCCCTCCTCGACTAGCCGGGCGGCCTGAAGTTGGGGACGGATTGTCGGCGGTCAAGGTCATCGAGGACAGCGACGCCGGCAAGGAGTATACGCCTCGTCTCGGCGACTAGGGTCTATCGGCGAGGAAAGGAGTCGGCGGGCGTAGGCGGCACCGGAAGCGGCTGGGCCTGTCGACAACCACTACCGGGATAGGATACCGGGATGGGCGAGAGAGGCCGTGACGCGGGAGTGGAGCCCGCGGGTAAGACGTCGGGATCCTTTTTCGCGTGGCGGATCATAGAGTCCAGACGGTTAACCATGGTCCGTTCATGCTGCCTCATGATACTATCATGGGCGGCCGGAGGGTAGGCAGGAGTAGGGAGAGTCTTAGGTGAGCAGGGCGAGGGAGTAAAAGCGTAGGCTCGGGCCGACCTGAGAGGTGAGCGTGGTGAACCTCGGAGGTCGTAGTAGGGAGTCCAGAGAGGCTTGAGGCTGGGGCGAGGGCGATTGTCCAGCGGTGTAGCCATTTTTAGAAGAAAATACGATCCGTAGGTCTGCATCTCTATCGAGACTGTCGCAGTTGAGGATACAAGGGGGAGGAGGTTGACAATAGAGCTGCCCCAGCCAGCATAGTCGACAAGTAGCCAGAAAAAGACACTGATTCTCCAGTGAAGAAGGACAGGCGGAACCAACGAAAAAGAAAAGGGAGCGAGGTAGGGAGTAGAAGTTTCAACAGATCCCAGGAAAGGGAGGGATTAAGAGGAGACAGAGAGTCTTGGGAGAGTCTTGGTCGAGAAAAGGGAGAAGCACGACTTGTAGAAGGGGGAGAAACGGGGCGTGGGCTGTGGAGAGTATATGTGAAAACAGTTTCTTTAATAGTCTCTCGTCTTCCATTTTACGTCTTTTTTTCCTTTCTGGTGGTTCTCGGGCCTTAGACGAGACGGTCCGGGACCTTGTCTTTCGTTATCAGGCGTATTATCGTCGTCTTGGTGACTCCATACGGCCAACCAGCCTTATTCTAGTTATAACACCATAATAAGGTACAAGTACCACCCCATCTACCAAAGCATTACCAAGACCATGAACGCAGAGAAAGGATTCTTTCTGGGAGAAAAGGGGGGAGGGCGGTGAAAGGGGAGGGTAGGCTGGAAGCCTAGGAGGATGGCCCAAAGTTGCCGAGGCCGGAGGGGGGGAGGGAAATGAAAGGACAGGGCATTCTTAAAGAAAAAGAGAAACAGAAAAGGAGGGAAGCGTAAAACTAAACGTGAGAGAGTAAGACCGAGGCATCGGGAAGTGCATGACCCGGAACCAGCGCGCTGTCAAAGTTTCAGGCCACAAAATGCGAATGCGGCAAGAGTGTGGGAAAGACACAGGAGAACGAAGGAAAATCCTGGTGGGCTTGGGGAGGACCAGGTTCCAAGAGGGCTCCAGTGTGGTAGGGGTGGTGGGTAATTCGGCGAGGATGACCGGGAGTATGCCTGTGATGATGCAGAAGAGAACAAAGAAACAAAAGAGTAAGTGGGATAACTATGTTAATAAGTCGTCGTCGCCCGACAGGAGGGTCGGTCTAAGATCACGGCAACGCTGATAAAGGGGCGCATAATTGCGAAGAAGCTCATAAACTGACAAGTCTCGGAAACAAGAAGAAGAGGAAAATAAATAAATAAAAAGGAGTGAAATGACGAAAGAAATAATAAAAAAAAAAAGGAGGATTTTGGTGTTTTAATGTCGAGTTGTGATCGAAGTTGAAAAAGCGTCTTTTCCGGCCTAGCGTTTTCCGACAGGTTGGGTGAAGAGGGGCGGAGCGTGCCATCCGGCACCAACAGACAGACAAGAGAAGACTCGGTGCCACTCGCGCGGTAACCGTCTAGAAGTCTTAGGTAATCCGCTTCGTTATGCTTATATAATCTATACTTTATCTTCGCGGTATAAGGTATTTAATATGTACGTACCGTATATAACCTACGAGGTATATACTACGAATACTATACGTGGGCTGGCAACGTTATATGATTGACTCTCGAGCTAGAGCTTCTATCGGAGCTCCTTATCGTTTATCGACGCCTTTTCCCGTCGCGCTTCTCTTTATCCTGCCACGTTGTTTGAATTGCCTTGATTAAGGTCAAGCTCTCCTTAAACCTATATCTCCTGGAACCATGTCTCCAATCTCGCATAGAAACAACATCTAAGATAACTCCCCGTCGACCTCCTTCGGCACCTCGCCCTCTTACTGTCAGCATGACCGGCTCCAACGCCGCCGACGCCGCTATAACAGCCGCGGACTACAAGAAGCTAAAAGAAGACTTTGTTTCAAATCTCCCCGGCGGCTCGATTGCCGAAATAAACTACGCCACCGCTATGGCGCCGGTATGCTTCTGGTTTGCTTTCGCTTTTGTCTTGTTTTCGCGTGCCAACCCATCCTTTGTTCTAACGGGCCGGTCTTCCATAGTTCGCTATCCTCTAGTCCGTCCTCCAGTCCCGCCAGTCCCTCTTTAAAGCCGATACTCCCTTCTCGCTACTCGTCGATTACCTCCTTAATATTGCCCCTATCCTAGTCTCCGTCACCCTCTACACTAACTCCCCGCTCCTCCTTAATACCCTTCTCTTACTTACTACCCTCCTCGTCTACACCCTCCCGCGTAATATCGGCGCCCCGCGGAAGAAGCCTATCGCCCCCCCTCCTAAGGATACGAGAACGCGTAAGGACGCCCCCGCCGGCCCGCCGGCCGCCCTCCCCCCTAAGCCGTTCTTAACTAACTACCGCGGCGGTATACTCGTCATCACCACTATCGCCATTCTCGCCGTTAACTTCCCCGTGTTCCCACGCCGCTTCGCTAAGGTCGAGACCTAGGGCACCTCCCTTATAGATATAGGCGTCGGTTCTTTCGTCTTCTCCGCCCGTGTTATCGCCGCACGTCCCGTCCTGCGCTAACGGGCTTCCGGCCGGTCCGCCCCGCTCGCCGCCCGCCTGCGCGCCTCCTTGCGTCACTCGCTACCCCTCCTCGCCTTGGGCTTTGTCCGCCTCCTTAGCGTTAAGGGTCTCGACTATACCGAGCACGTCACCGAGTACGGCGTCCACTAGAACTTTTTCTTCACCCTGGGCCTACTGCCCCCCTTCACCGCCGCCTTCTAGTCCGCCCTCGCTATCATCCCTAGCTATACCGCCCTCTCAGTCCTGCTAGGCGTGACCTACTAAGTCCTGCTCGAGAGCACCTCGCTTAAGGCCTACGTCCTCACCGCACCGCGTACTAATCTTCTCGCGGCTAACCGCGAGGGCGTCTTTAGCTTCCTAGGCTACCTCGCTATCTTCCTCGCTAGCTAGGACACCGGCATATATATCCTGCCGCGCTATATTAACCCGCGGAGCGGCGCCGACCCGACCACCTAACGCACCACCCTCCTTATAACTATAGCCGTCTAGTCCGCTATCTAGTCCGGCCTCTACTTTTGAACACCAGCCGTACCTGGGGCGACGGCCTATCCGTGTCGCGCCGCCTCGCTAACCTGCCCTACGTCTTCTGGGTCGCCGCCTTTAACTCGGCCTATATCCTCGCCTACTGCCTTATCGAGACCCTCTTCTTCCCGGCCGTGGTGTATAGCAGCACTGCCGCCGCCGAGAGGGACGCCTACCGCACCGCCACTAGCCGCGTCCTGCACGCGTATAACCGTAACGGACTGGCTATCTTTTTACTGGCTAACTTGCTCACGGGACTCGTTAACCTGACGGTGCCGACGTTGGATGTTGGGCCGGTGGCGGCTATGGCTATCCTTATGGCGTATACGGGGACGCTAACCGCTACCGCCTTGGTTTTGGATGCGTATGATATTTCCTTGAAGTTGTAAGTGCAGCTGAGAAGATAAAAAAAAGACAAGAAACGAAAATAATTATAGAACATCTAGAATACATAGATTATGCCCGCAAAGTATCCCATGCGTTTCACATGATTGACGGTCTATGTCTTCTCCAACTCCTAGGTATACGAAGTAAACTCTTCGATGATACCGATTGATTGATTAGATTTTCCGCCCGTGTCGGCCGTTTCAGGCCGTCAGGCATCTATGCTACATGCTCCGTACGTTGTCCGATATGATTAGTCATCTCCCCCTTTCTCTCCTTTCTGCCCCCTTTCCACCTTCTTCTCCATCCCCTTAGATGATACCTTCGGTACGTTTAGGTACCTTAATATGTCTCAGTCACGTGTTGTTATCTTATCAAACATGGCGGAATGTACATCTGCCTAGGCTCGACGGATCCAAGTTGTCCTTCGTATGTTGCATAGTGTCAGTCACAACTGGACTGATACATTCAGTGCTCTTCTTCATCGTCCGGCGGCAACGCGGAGATCCAGCGCATTATCCTGAATTGTTCGGTCTCAGGGTCGGTAAGCCAGGAGGCCGGTGTGCTGACACCATCGGGGCCAACTTCCCAAATGCCATCCTCCACGAGCCCGGCCCACGCAAACAGCATCTCCGAAAGACTAAACATGCGATAAGGCCCCCATGGCCGCCGGCCATGATGCTTAAAAGCGTCATCCACGCCTTCGTGAGTAATTAGCACCACATCGTCGCCGTCCGAGCCATACGACCGGCGGTTGACGTACAGTCCCGCTCGCCGGAGGACCGTGTTCTTCGCGTTCCCCCAACCCTTCTCAAAATGACGGTTGCCCGGCGCGGGTTCGGGCACCGGGTTTCCGACCGCCGGGAGGATGAGCGAGGCGTACTCATCTCCCCCGTCGAGGTCGAGGTCCGCCGTCAGTCTCGGGCTGGTCGGGGGCTCGGCAGCGTACAGCTCCACGATGGACTCTGTGGTAAACGATGTGATGCCGGGGGCAACAAAAGTGAAAGACGGCCGCTTCGCCTTGGCGAGGAATGCGCGCGCGAAAGAGCTCACTTTAAGGTCATGAAGAATCTCAGAAGGGATAGGAGGTTTCTCCTCCCGCAGTGAGCTGCCGTCGGCATGCGGGAGGCGATTCTGGATCGCCTCGCGGAGAGTGTCCCAGCCGGCAATGGCCAGCTCCAGGTCGTTCGCCACCCAGCTCCTGGTCGAGAGGGCCTCCCATTCGCGGCCGTCTGCAGGGCCCCAGAAGAACTTGCCCTGATCCCACTTCAGTAGCTGCTTCCTCAGGATGACCTCGAGAGGAACCCAGAAGTCTTCGGAAGGGAACCCCATCTCGGTGAGATTCCAGCAGGCCCGGTTTGTGTCGATATTGAAGAACACGCCACCGTTTCCATGGTTGGGCGTGAGAGTCGCGTCGGGGTACAGCAGAATGACGTTCAGACCGTCTTCGTTTTCGGTGATGAACCCGTTGTCGAACAGGTACGGATCCGGCTGATGCATCTCTGGCGTGAGAGGGAATTCATCGGGCGTCATTGCATGAAGATCGATTAGAGACAAAAAGTGGTATATGGGTGAGTCCTCGGGCACCTGGATCCCATGGGGCCATGTCGGCGCAGCTTGTGTCATGTGCTCGATCAAGTCACGTGTCACCCTTCGCGGCGCATCCTGCTGCTGCCGTGTACTGCTGGCTGCGGCTTCGATTGCTCTGGCAAGGAGCTGGTTGTGGAGGTCTGCGCATCGAACGGGATCAAAAGGGACCTCCGGCGCGTTGTAGGACATTGTGACGGTCTAAGTGATAGGCTGGTCGGGGAAAGGGCGTGGAAGTGGTAAAGAGAAGAAGGGGGAGGGATACAAGGGAGTGTCGGGATCTTAAAGCTTAGTTGGGACTGTTACATACGCCCAGCTGAGAGGTGACTGTGCCAAGCCTTGGCTCTTAACTAAAGACGGCCCTGGCTCACCGTCTGATATTGGATTCCCTCCCACCCTGGTGCACTTTTCATGGCTTAGGATGCTGGATGATACTACGGACACCTATGACTACCTAAGGTACGTTGTGCATACAACTACCAGTACAACGTACATACATACATACACTACAAGTGTACTGTGGCAAGCCACATGTGGACGACATAAGCCACAGTACCCGCCACAAGCCAAGACGGGCACCAGGGATATTTGGAATCCACCACGTTTGCATCTACGCAAGCCATCATTCCTCATTCTTTACGACTACTCTTGGACACTCAGGTCACCAGTCATCCATTTCATCTGAAACAGCAGATCACTCACCACCTTGTGCATCGTCAGTACGGCCGACATCAAGGCTACTACAAAGGCTGAGGGAAATATTACGTACAGAACTCAGGACCATCGCCGCAGTATCCATAGCTGCTGCAGCAGGAACCGAACTGAGTCCCCTCGCAAACCTTGTTTCCAGGGAACAGAGGACCGCATGATCCGTCAAGGGACGGGCCGCCGTCATCGGGGTCGCACTCGCCGCTGTCTATTTTCCCGTATCAGTTGCACAAACGCAGTTCCATATCAAGTCACCCACTCAGAGAGAGGGGTATGCACGCACAACAAAGGCCAGGACCGCAATGTTCTTCGGAGTTGCCACCTGCAAAAGTCAGCAAGTCGGCGCTTTCTCCTGGGCATCTGGGATGTATCAAAAACTGCTTACACCATCCGTAAATCGAGCAGCATTTGCCCCATACACCCTCGCCGCCACATATCCAGTGGTTATTGTCCGGTCCGCATGAGCCGTCCTCGCTGATCGCCTCATCGGGACCTAGGCAAGCTGCAAGTCGCACATTTCACCATGTCAGACATTGTCGAAACTCATCCTTGAAATCTTTCAATGGGCTTTGGAGCCTTACCGCCACTGTAACAATTGCCGTCGCCACAAAATTCCTCTCCGGATCCGCCTGGAAGGGGTATTCACGTCAGTGTGTGTGGCCTTGAGGCTTGTCGAGGAGCAGACACTTACAGAGCCCCTCCAGTGAGCAGCAATCACCATAGCCTGAGCCGTCGCACACTGCATGCCCGTTTTCTGGTCCGCAGGAACCGTCGCTGCTGATCGGTGCTTCCGAGACGGGCGCCACGCAGTACGCGTAATCCCGCCACAGGTTCGAGCAGTCAGGCAGGATCTGAGGGTTGAGGTCGAAGAACTGGTCCAGCGTGATTCCCCTGGAAGAAAGAAAAGGCGCCTCGTCAGCTGTCTCTGGTTCGTTCTCCAGCACCACCATACGCGCTCGTCGCAGCCAAGAACAAACGGAACGAACTCACTCCCTGAAAACAACGGTGTAGCAGCTGTCGCCAGCACGGACTTCCGTGTACTTTCCGCAGCTCTCTGTCGTGCCTTCGTGCGTTGGCTGGGCAGGCACTGCTGTCGTGTAATGCTCTGTGGCCGTGGGAGCATGGATGGGTGGCGGGTGCTCATATTCACCCCCCGGCGGGCTGTGAATATGACGCGTCAGTCTGCAAAAGCCGACGCATGGGGAGGTGGTAGGGTTGCGGTCTCGATGAGCGAGCGGCATTGCTTACCCAACACAAATGTACTGCTCCCCGCGGATCTCGTCGCATGTTCCGAGGATTCTCCTGTTCCAGGTTGAAAACTCAACCTCGGTGACGTTGTACTCCTCAGTGGATACAGACTCGCGCAGGTTGTCGCTGGGATGCGTGTCAATATGTTGCCGCGGCAGCGGCAGTGATCTACCAAGGCGTCGCCCGTAACTCACCAGGTCCAAGTTTGGCTCCAGTCTAGTCGTCTCAGAGGACATGGAAGCGGTGCGCAGATGGGCTCGGTCAGACGACAGTCGTTCTCGCCAGTAAGGACGACCAGTTCGCCAGTTGGCACGTCGTAGAGGACGGAAAGACCATCGCACCAAAGCTGTACAGGTCCAGGCTCAACCAGCTGTCCTGTACACGTCGTTTCGGCCGGAGGAGCACTTTCTGTCTGGGTTGTTGTCGGCGTCATAGTGCCCAGGAAAAGAGACTTGGTGGCCGTCGTCAGGGGCATGGTGGTTGAGCAGAAGTCCTGCAGGTCAGCGTGCTGCTGGATGAGGTAATCGGTGAAGTCAGATTGGCGCAGTGACGGGGACAGCAGGCGATGGTGCAAGATGCCAAGAAAGCACTCGCTGCAGACCTGTTTTTATTTTCATGTCAACAGTGCCTTGTCTAGGTGACGGGAGAAGCTTGACCTACGAGATCTGCGTCGTAGATATTGGCCAGCCTCTCATCCTCCGGCTCGACTGCTGTTCGATCAAAGCCGGGTTCGAAGCAGACATCGGCGTCAAAGTCAGGATCACCTGTGAGACGACGTCGATTGTTAGTGTCGACCAGCCGGACCACATGCACAGGGAGAGACTCTGGACTGACCAGTAGCGCAAAGGTCTTCTGCATAAACGGGAATTTCACTCCCTTCCCAGTCTTGATATTCGAGCCAGCACCATCCTGAAGACCCGCCGGTCATGCACCCGAGTTGGAATTGATGCCGGTACATCAGAGGCAGCGAAGAAGGGTCGAGGAGGTTTCCCATGAGCCTGAACTGGTCCTCGCCGCCGCACTGGCTCTCCACATCAGTCACCCACTGGTCAAGGTCGCTTCTGCATTGAGTAGCGCATCCCGAAGCAAGGAGCGAGGAATCCCATTGGAAATGGTCCAGCTGAAGCATGTGCTCCAAGAACTCATCTTCGCAGTCGAGAGTGGAGTTCCTACGAGAATAAAAAGTCGTTCATTAGAAATGCGGAGATTTCAAGACAGGCCTCTTGGTCAACTCACAGCGCCGCCATGCAGCCAGTCGACACTCCTCGCTCCTCAGACCACGAGGCAAGATCTCTGCCGCGGTAAAGAATGAACTCGGCCAGAGACTGAGAATAGAAAAACGATGCCAGGACGGCAGAGCGCCATCCCAGGTTTCTCGAGGCACGCATCTTTTGTACGCGCCACGCAAGTTATCAATCTGGACTTGAAAAGACGATGCGAAAAACGGCGTGTTGACTTTAAACTAAAATGCGCAAGACTGATGGTTGGCGAAAAGAAGCTGCAGATGGACTCGAATTGGCGGTATAAGCAGACCATCCTTGTTCCATGCTCGTCAACTCACTGCCCCCGCCAGAGTGAAGGGTATTTGTTTTCCTCCGCCATTCCATTAGATCGACTTGCTCTCTTCACGGGTCCAGTCGAAGCTCTGTGCATGAAACGCCTCTACAAGTCACCGGGTGCCGAGAGCTAGCCGCGCTTGGTGTCGTGTCTTGGTTCTGCAGGTGGTTATTGAAGGATCCAGTGACATACCGCTTATGGGCAAGCTGTTCCATGACCCCTGGCACGCTAGGGTAGTTGGTTCAAATGTCTGTTGGCGGGACAGCCTTTTGGAGATGCATCCAAGCGGCACAGACTTTGGAGATCCCATCCCAAGCAGCCCCCCGTATGGGACGGACGTTGAACTCAGGGCGTGAGAGGAGAGATAAGCCGAGAGCATTCAGGCGGGGATTTCAAAGTTGGTTACGGCAAACCCCGAAATCTTTTTCGCCGTCTTTTCTCATTAAACTGAGAGCACCTTCTCAACTTTTGAGATTCTCAACCGCGCGTTCGCTGGCAAGTTGAACACCAAGATGCTAGCCAACATGAGGTTGATGCAGTCTTTCATCTCCCTCCTGGCAATCCTGCCATGTGTATCTTCTTCCCAGAGCACTGCAACATCGGGGCAACATAACAGCACCGAAAAATGGCCCGCCGACGACCGTCCATTGCGGAATCAAACTACCTATAAGCCTCGATTTGCCGGTTACCGCGATACCACGCCAGTCTACAATCCCAGAATCCTCCCACGAGTCGCTAACGACAGCGACACTTCCCTCGCGAGACTTAACAGCTCTCCCAACAGGATAGATGCGAGACTGCTGCTCCAAGAGGACGGCGCTTGCGCACCCGGCTCTCCCTGCACCAACGGAGCTTGCTGCTCGGGTGAATCCGGCTTCTGTGGCTATGTGAGTACACCTTATCAAGTTATCCCTCCCCCCATGAGAACATTTGCGACTGAGACTGATGTTCACGAGATAGGGACCTGACTTTTGCGGGCCGGATGTCTGTATTTCCAACTGTGATGCTCAAGCCCAATGCGGGCCACACGCCCCTGAGGGCGAAGAGCGTTGTCCCCTGAATGTCTGCTGTGTCAGTTTACATTTCATTTTTGTCACTGCTGATCATGTCCAAGGCTTTTCTGACTGCCTTCTCTTGTAGTCTGTATGGGGTTTCTGTGGGACGACCCCTGAGTTCTGCGAAGATCAGTGCGACCCTGACTTCTCTGACTGTGGGCCGCCTCCAACTCCGGACGGGAAGGCGCTGGCCTTTAATCGGAACATTGGCTACTACGCCTCGTGGGCGGCCAGCCGTCCCTGCGACGCCGTGCACCCAGACGATCTCGACCTCCGTGGTCTCACGCACCTCTACTTCTCCTTTGCCTTCTTCCACCCGACGACGTTCCGAGTCACGGCCATGGACGCCAACGCCGAGTCTCTTCTTCGCCCATTCACGGACCTCAAGAGAAAGTCGCCCAGGCTACAGACCTGGATTGCCATCGGAGGATGGTCGTTCAATGACCCTGGGAACGTGCCAAAGTGAGACGAGCCCGAAGCCATATGACCCTCCCCCTCTTCGCTGTGATCGACGTGAGCGTGAGTTGCTAACGAGTGAAAAGTACCCGGACGGCGTTCAGTGACATGGCACGAACCGCAGAGGGTCGGAAAGCCTTTATCGACTCACTGATCCGGTTCATGGACACGTACGGATTCGACGGCGCTGACCTAGACTGGGAGTATCCTAGCGCTGAGGACCGTGGTGGAAGGCCCGACGATACCGAGAACCTTGTCACTCTCTGCAGAGAGATGAGACAGGCCTTTGGAACTCGGTATGGACTGTCCATTGCTATTCCAGCAAGTTACTGGTACCTGCGACATTTCGATGTCGGAGCCATTCAGAACCATGTCGACTGGATCAACGTCATGACGTACGACATTCATGGCGTCTGGGACGCTGGTAAGTGCTTTACAAGGTGAAAAACTATTCGAAGTATAAAGTCTAATCCTCTTTTTTTCTTTTTTTTTTCCCCATGCAGACAACCAATGGACCGGCCCATATGCAAGGTGAATTTTTTTCTTTTTTTTTTCTTTCCGTGGCCCATCCATCTGGGCAGGCCGATTGATTCTCTTTGAGAGGAATGCGCTGACATGGACCCAGACCCCACACAAACCTCACTCAGATCGACGAAGCTCTCGGGCTGTACTGGAGGGCCGGCGTGAGAGCATCCAAGATCACACTGGGCTTGGCATACTACGGCCGGTCTTTTACTCTCACTGACCCGTCTTGCAACGACCCCGGATGCCGCTTTACCGAGGGTGCGCGACCCGGTGAGTGCACCGGCGCCGCGGGTGTGCTTTCGCTGGCCGAGATTGAGCGGATTAGATCAACAGAAGATGTTGTCGAAGGATATGATATGATAGCCGCGGTCAAATGGATGACATGGGACTCAGATCAGGTAAAGTCTTTTACCTCTCCATACCTACCTATGCTTCCAAGGTTGTCATGTATCCCTTCCTTGCCAGTCGACCGAAGCTGACTCTCGGCCCGTGCTCCAGTGGGTAAGCTTCGAGGATGAGGAGACCTTTCATCAGAAAATCGATTACGCCTCCAGGCTTGGACTCGGAGGAACAATGATCTGGGCTGTTGACATGGCGGTCCTGGGTCCCAGCGCGAAGAACAGTCTGGCCCAATCGACCAATCTTGCGGCTTTTAGCCGGGCGGGAATCACCGAAGAGGACATCGTTCAATACGTCGCGCATCATGACGCAGGCGAGAGCTGTTACGTCAGCTTCTGCAGCGAGTCCTGCGCTGCAGGTTACACGGCCGTTCAGACCATGCGCGGCGAGGTCGGAAGTTTGGGTCCCGGTAGTGCCTGTGAGGGTGAAGAATACCAGACTCTGTGCTGCGTCTCGGGGACCATCATGCACCGATGCAGCTGGCATGGTTGGCGGGGCCAAGGCTTGGGATGCTACGGAGGTATTGTTGCTCTCCCACAGATAACTGCTGCTCTATAATTCTTCCCGCATTTGTGAGATCAAACCTTTGCATCAGCTAACTCGACTGCCCCGGCACGGGGCGAGCAGGCGGCTGCTACCCTGGCCATGTCTTGATCACTCAGAACACCAATTACTTCGACGTCCATAATGATATTTCAAGAACCTGTAACGTTAGTGCCAAGGCAGAAACAATCTTTTCCATGAGCAAGAAAAGCTGACGCTGCCGAAAAAAACAGGGAGGCATAATGGCGTACTGCTGCCAGCGGTTCAGGCCATCTCACTCTATCAATGATGTGGAACTCCTGAACCCCGAGCACGTCGAACTGCACACCGATCCGTCGTCCGTGGTGAAGAGATCAGGAGACTGGGGTTCCTGCATCCAGAAGGGTGTCGTGATGGGCGGAGCCATTGCTATCGGCACATCCGTTGTTGGGCCTGGTGGTGTACTGGCCGGCACTGTGGCTGGAGGCTTGACCGCAGTACGTAGAGACACACGCACAGAACTCATCACGCGTGGACGGAGCTAATGTGTGCTGACTCTTTGTTGTTCAGCTTATCTGCATTACATCTGGAAGCGAGGCCTCGGCCAAGGGTATCGTGGGATTCGCGGGGCCGGTGACTCGGCTGCGAAGCTCCAACCAACGCTACACCCCTTATAACCCACCCAGGCCCCCCAAGAACCCCTCAAAAGGTGGCCCCAAGCAGGCTCCGGGCCAAAGAACCCACTACGGCCGGTAAGCTTCCCTCCCTTGTTGCGAAGAGCTGTTTTCGGATGTCCTGACTTGGTGGCCTCAAGGTACCAGATAGCGTCGTGGCCCCCCGGCACAACGACCTGCCAGACTACTTGTGAGTGACCTCAACAGGGGGATAGCTCCAAGGAGCTCATCTGACTGGTAATGATAGATACTTGCGAGTATGGCCTTGGATTTGATCAGGTAAATACAGACACGCTGGCTTCTCCGCCTGCCCGGTACTTGCTTGGGCACCCAGACAACGTGCTAAACTTTTGGATACAGGTTTGTGATAATCAGAGATACACCATTGATAGTAAATCTCGCCAGATCCATATGCACAGTCGGTAGTACTGGGTGGTCAAGGACAGTCTGACGCCGTCGCAACAGAAATTCTGAGTGGGCAGACTGTGTTCTGGAGGGATGAAGGTGAGCTATGTTGGATTTGACTTCCATCGGAGCCAGGCGTCGTCCATGACTAACTACCATGTTCTGTTGTTAGTTCATCCTCGATTCAATCGAATGCAGCCAAGATGGTTCCCCCAGCGGCACTTGGGTTGGAGGGGGTCCTTCGGCAGACCGGCCCCAGGTATGAAGAACCGATGTGAGGTGTAAGTCCCCAGTACCCAACCATGAGACCCATCATCACTCTGCCCCTATCGATCTGTAGAGACTGATATAAGTATTAATATAGAGATGAGTTTCCCATGGGAGCATTGCTCGAGTCGTTTGGTGGGGCCCGGCAAGGGCTCCGCGCTCTCGAAGGCACCGAGAACCAAGATCAAGGTGAGTGCAGCAACTCTGGAGGGATGCTCAGTCAGTTATGAGTATCTGTTCTTCCGTCATGGGAACCTCGCTGATGACGCGAATTCTTTTTCCAGGCCAGGACTTCCAGTATTGGCTTCTTGCAACTTGGGAACCTTGCTCGAGTCTTATGAATACTCCCCCTCCCATTACCTGGTGAGTCTTTCTCTGTCAGCGACAAATAGAAAAATGAAACCGTGTCGCTCATCAAGATGGTCAGGGCATTTGACACCGCGGCTCTCCCGAGGAACGACCCCCGTCTCACAGCGGCCGACAGCGAGATCATCCGCAAATACGGGGTACGTACACGGGCATATCAGTCCCCTAGGAGCTCCTCCTCCCTCTCGCTCCCCGAACTCTCTTGCTAATCAAGTCAATCTGCTATAGTTTGACTCTACATCCAACAAGGACCCCTGCTTTGCCACGTACACACCGGCCAACGGCGGGAACCCCTCGCCCGTCTCGGACCATGGTTTCCGCATATTCACCAACGACCCGTTGTTCGAAGACGAAGACTGGCCGTTGCAGATCTACAGAGAAGATCCTCAGACGCAGGACCCGCGGCCCACGAGCGTCAACAGTGCCTCATGGTATAGGCGCGACTTGGCCGGTGACGGGCAATGGGCTCGGCATATAGAAGCTACCACTGCGGTTTCAGCCGAGTCGCCCCCGGAACCGACAGCCACCTTTCCAGAGCCCGGAAAACAAGTCAATTAAGTAGGAAACCACACACGTTGGCTGGCCAGAGAGCTAGGCCGTAACCCGTCTTATCCGTGTAGCCCAGTCCTTCCAGCATGTTCTGTTCTTGGCGACTGGACATGGCCTGGCCGCCTTGAGATCATGTAAGGAGCGTGTTTTGTGTCACACGCATCACAGAGCACTTGATAATAGATCTGAGAGAGGGGCAAAAATCTTGCGTGTGTTTCAAGTTATAAGTTACAAGATATTGGGATCCCCACGCCCTATTTACTATAGGAACAATCCGCTCTCGAAGGCACTGCTTGGCTATTCAAGGGGCATCGGGTCCAGTTTGTACATCGTACTTCCCTTAATGTTTTCGAAAACGATTGTCACGTGATCGTGCGACGGGAAGTCATCGGTTACGGAACGACGGGGGCGAAGGCCCGCAATATGGCAGTACACTATGTACCGTACCTTAGAAATAACCCACCCTTGTACAAAGAAGGTATCGTATCTGGGCCGATCTCATTTCCAGAGTTTATGCTGAAGCATTTGGTTTCAGGGGACTTGGTGACATTAGGTAAACCTTTGGCAAGGAAACATGTACTGTACACTGTAGCGTACTACTTCGTAATACGAGGTAGGGACTCCCGCACAAGTACCGTCGAATCGAGCGGCGGTGGCAGCCAGAAGTTTGCCACCAAATGAGCATGTCTCAAGGCTACCTGGAACCTTTTCCTTTTGTTTTTCTTCTTTCCATTATACTTTTCTTGCTTCTTCAGCTGCAGGGTGACTCGTGTGACAGACTGTACGATCCACCGGCGAGGTAGTAAAGGACCCTGGAAAATTCCAAAGGGAGATGCCGGGCCACGACTTGACATATGGAGTTGCCATGTGACGGGTCTCGTAGCATGGCGGTGATCTTGTACGACGGATTGACCAAGTCTGCTGTTTCAAGGCCGCAGTCTTCTGCCTCGTCTGCAGGCAGGCTTGGCTCGCTCCGATAGTCGAGTTCATCCCATGTTGAGCGCGGGCGCGGGCGCGGGGACACATCGCGCTCTGTCTACATGTTCCTAGCTGTTCTTTCTCCCTTTGAGCTCTCCCTACGATTGATTGCTCATTGTCAATACCGTGCTATCGTTCGTCATGGACGGGCACGCCGAGCCTTGCAGGAATATGGTGGAGAAGACAATTTCATGCATTTTCGACCCGGTTACATTTAATCGTCGTCGCCGGTAAAGATATTCGTACGGTACGACGCTTAGTGGAAGACTCGACTCATCCTTGGTTTACAAGACGGCGCACCTCGCGTTCATTATGCCTTAATCTGCATGGTGACACTAGAGCAGCAGGTACCCGAATACATCTCTCTGTCGTGACCCGTGATTGGGCAACAGGGCGGCGATGGGCCGGGGGTGGAGCAGGGACACCAGGGACGGCGCTGCAAGCGGGCTTCATCCCAGACCCTCATCTCGCTCCAATTTCCCTCATGTGTGGCCAGATGGACGGAAACGCATACTCCGTACTAGCATATAACTTTTATACACTACCGAGTGCACTGGAGGGAGCGGTCGACTTTTGTCCACTGTGGCTTAGACTAGAATTAATAATTAATGGGGCTGGTTATGTGACTATATCCGTATTCGAGCGCGGTACGCGAACAACACGGTGAAGTTGGGTGGCTGGTGTCAGCAGCAGCAGCAGCGGCAGCAGCAGACAACAGTACCTGTGTAAGGTACTTTGCAATATTTCTCAGTACAACGCTGACAGGTACATACGTTGTGGCTGGACGGCAGGGCACAGTACAACGTACTTCAACTTCGATTGCGCTTCCCCGTCCCCGTGTGCCTGTACATATACCTCTCGGATCCGCAATCAAGTTGTAGCACAGAAGTAAAGCACCGAACTAAATAAGGTTCTGAGGTACGGACTTATACTTAGCTGGATACGGTAATTTCTGTACAGCGTACATGCAACCCTCGAGTCGTGAAACGCACACCCGTACCAACCCTGTCTCGACTTCCCCTTTGGGCCTCGTTCACCTTCCCGTCCGCTGTTGTACTGTACCTCTTTCTCCTCCCTCCTTCCTCCCCTCCCAAGGTTGGTCCAGTTATACCTTCTAACCGCCATCTTGGGCTTCCCCCCGAACCTTCAATCCTCCCTCCCATCCACGTCGTCTCTCGCGACGCGGCGTCTGATAAATCGAATTTGATCTTGCCCTCTTTCGACGCCAATATATCGTCAAAGACGAGGAAAGGAACCACGACCGCGAGAACCCTCGATCGAATTGTTGGACATCCTGCTGTCAGCGCGACCTGCGGCGACTCTACATTCGACTCGACCGCCGACCAACCGACTTCTCCAATCGATCTGGTCCATCGACGGTTAATCCGACGGAATTCTGAATCGCGGATACCTCGCCTATCTGCTCTTCGAACAAGTCGCGACAGAAAAAGACCCAAGAACAATCTTGGGAAACGAGAGGAGGAATAAAAAAAAGGAAAAAGGAAACAAAGGCCATCCGAGACATCCTGAAAATCGCACCATCCCAACACGAAGCGATTGACCCTGTCCGGCAGGAAGCGAGAAGGAAAGAGGGTGAAGAGAAAGACGACTTTCAATTCCAAACCCAGCGATTGGGACTCGCCTGGACTTGGCCCGTTCCTTCGCCCCCAGAGCCTGCGGATTCTGTCCTTTTTCTGTTTTCTTACACTAGGTACGTGACGAGCCGACCGCCGCTCTTCTTCTGCTTCCCTTTCATTCTGTTTTGTCAATGTTTGGATGTTTGTTTCTTTCTTTCTCTTAACTCGTGCTTTTTTTTTGGTGCTACGAGTCCGCGTCTTGTCCTGTCCTGTTTTCCTTAATGCATGCACCTGTACCTGTCTGTGCTTAGGCCTGCGTCTGCACCCAGCTGCAGCTCGTCGTTCCTGTCATTTCTTTTGCTATTCTAACCACCTAATTTTCTTTTCTTTCGTTTTCCTAGTTTTGTCGGTTTTCTTTTCCCAGGGTTTCATTCATGTTGGTTATTTGCTGGCCTCTGACAGTTCTCTCCAGGAGCGAACCCCGTCTCAGCCCGTGATAATTCCTTATCGAGTCCTTGACAACAACCCTACGATCCCATCCGCACACCGGTTCCACATAACAATCACAACTAGGTCATTTCCCGATCGACAAGTCCAGTCCCTCTGTATTCAAAAAGTCTTTGACCCGACAACTTTGACCAGCATTCGGATTGGGTGTTGCCGTCGCAATCTCTGAACCCAAAACGACTGCTTTGAACTGGTGGCACCAGCACTGCCGACCGACCTGCCCACGCGACCAAGGCAGAAAAAGCCCCCAATCGTTTCGCGTCTGCCCAGCACAACGGCTCTACGTAACATTCATGGCAATAATTGGCGGATCACTGCCACCTCAATCGTCAATCGCTTACCTGGTCCGTTTTTTCTAATGCTTCTTGGCATACTGAGTAGCGCCCAACTTGCTTCTCGCTCTTTCGCCAGCGCGAGCTCTTTCTTCGTCTTTTCTCCCTGACGTTGCATTCGACTCTCGCGACCGCGCTTCTTGTCGACAAACAAGAATAGAGCACCACCCTATCTCGCTCATCAAACTACCAAAAGACTCCAAAATCGGTGCATTCCCTCACCGCAGACCCAATTTTACGGCGCCTTTTTTTTCACCGACTTTTTGTCCCCGCCCTATTCCACAGAAGACAGAATGCCTTACAGCAGGAAGTTCGGGTATCATTTCTTGGCCCTATCCGGAGCTCCAGCTACGACTTCTGTGGAAGATTCTCAAGATTCAACTTTCTGTTGCGGCACTACGTCCTTCGACATCTTGACTTCCAGTTAACCCTGAACTTTGATCTTGACCAACACCTTACGGTTGGCTCTGAGGTGCTGCAAAGTGCCCTGTCCTCGCTGGTCGCTTTATCAAGCCTTTTACGACCGGCTCGGTTTGCCGCCACCCTCGATAAAAAGCAGTCATCGAACCTCGAGATATTTTCGGTTCCCTTTCCATCTTCGATGATCGAGGGCGTACCATGCCTATCCGGGAACTAACTCTGCTTGACTTTGGACTCGATCTGGCTCCTCGAAACCTCGGAGCAGTACTGTCCAGCCTGATATTTATCTAAGTATTGCTATCACATCACTTCCTAATGACGTGCCGTACTGCCATCACCAGCCCCGTTGCAGTTCCTCAATCCTCAGACGTGCCGCCGTTTCCGGATCGACTGCACAACATGCCCCCAGTGGCGCCTCCTAGGACTTCGTCCAACCATTATAACACATCCAGCGGTACTTCCGGCTCGAAGAGGCGCGACTACACCGACGAAAGGTCCACCGCTTCGTCTCGTCGCGGTGACCACGAAACCTCACGGTCGGCCGATATAAACGGCAGCAATACAGCCCACGCCGAATCAGCCGCTTCGCGAAGCCGGAGATCTCATCACCACGCCGCCATGGCCCAAAGCTCCTCACGTGGAACGTCCAGCCCGCGTGACGGCCAAGGGCCCGGGGACATGGCCGGCCTCCCTATTCGATCACGCGATGCATCCCATCCCACGACGCCGTCGCAGAGGCAACCCTCCCGCGAGGCCAGCGAGGTCCTAAACAAACTCGTCGTTTCTTATCCCGAAAACGACGTCCAGCGCGAAAAGGCGCGTATATTAGAGGCCTAACCACCAGCCTCCTTCGACGACGCAGCACCCCCGCCTATCATCGCCCTGGCAGAGCGTGATGACAACCGTCGGGGTGGCAGACATCACGCCGCCCGAAGAGACAAGGTAGTCAAGTTTAGCGACTACTATCTGGGCAACACTATTGGAGAAGGCGAGTTTAGAAAGGTCAAGCTCGGCTGGAAACAAGATAGCGGCATCCAGGTCAGTTTTATCTTATCATCTCATTTGCACGACCGAAAGCAAAATGCTCAAAAGAGCCTGAAGAATAGCTAACATAAACGTTTCCAAAAACCCAGGTCGCTATTAAACTGATCAAACAAGACACCGTCGGGAGCAATCCCTCTCGACTAGCCAAGATTCATCGTGAGATTACCATCCTTCGCGGCATCCAACATTCTAACATTATCCGGTTACACGAGATAGTGGAAACCGGGAGGCATATTAGAATCATTCTCGAGTACGCTTCGGGCGGCGAGCTGTTCGACTATATCTTAACCCACCGCTACTTGAAGGATAACGCCGCCCGGCGACTTTCCGCTTAGCTCGTGTCCGGCGTCGGATACCTCTATAAGAAGGCATCGTCCACCGCGATCTTAAACTTTAAAAACCTCCTTCTCGACCGTAACCGCAATATTATTATCACCGACTTTAGCTTCGCTAACACCTTTAACGTCGACGAAGAACTTAGCCAGGAAGAGGAGCTAAATCTAACCGACCGCGAGTTCGTTAAACGTATAGGTCTCGATAAGCTTAAGCCGAATAGAACCAGGAAGGGCGACCTAATATAGATAAGCTATGGTAGCCCCTGCTACGCCGCCCCCGAGTTAGTAGTTAGCGACTCCCTCTACACGGGCCGGAACGTGGACGTCTGGAGCTGCGGCGTCATTCTCGTATATTACTTCCGCGTCCTCTCCCCCTTCTTCTAAGTCTGTGGGCGTTCCTATGTGTCCGACTATGTCTCTCCAATTATTTTTATTTTCTTTAAAGTACTGATAAACGTTAATCCAGTATACGATGCTTACTGGCTACTTGCCCTTCGACGACGATCCGGCGAACCCAGAAGGCGATAATATTAATCTGCTTTATAAATACATCGTTAACACTCCTTTTACCTTTCCTGAATACGTTACCCCTTATTCCCACGATCTCCTCCGCCGAATTCTTATTTCTAATCCTAGGAAAAGAGCCGACCTGTTCCTGGTCGCCCGGTATAGCTGGCTTAGCGAATACGTCCACGTCGTCGAGTTTATTACTAGTAGCACCACGAACCCCACCGAGATCTAAAACACTACCGTGCTCGCCGAAGACGAGATATATATAATAACCGTAATACCTCGGTTCGCGAGTCGTCTAGAACGAAGGCCGTCGGTCCTACTGGTATTATCGGAGGTCTGGCTTCTAAGTAAGGGACTGTCGACCTAGACGCCGAAGCCGCCGCCCGGAAGGACTCGAAGCGTTGGACGGTGTAGGTCGAGTACGTGGCTCCGATAATATAAATATAACGGGGAGATAGCGCTACCGCCGCTATAACTACCACGTCTATATAATCACCTAGTCGCGGTAAATCGCGCGCTTATTCAAATAGCTAAGGTCCCGTCAAGGTCGAAAGTCCTAAGGATAAACCGCTACCCAGAGATCTTTCTATATTAAAAGAAGTATACTTAAAGGGTACCCGTCAGAATACCCGCCCACCGACGTCGTATCGAAATACGGTAACCACCGGACGGCCAGGCACTCGCTCTACCTCGGACAACGTCTTTCTAGCTAGCGGTACAGACCTAATAGGACCGCGGCCGTAGACTGGAGGCTCGATAGGCTCGGTTAGGTCTATGGGCCTGGCAGGAAATCGGTCGTCGTATGGCCAGGCCATTCCCCCTTCCATAGCGGGTACCAACGCGCACGGCAGTATCCAGCAGCCAAACGACAAGATAGGCCATCCCAGCATCAGCGTCGGCGCTAGCGCTATGCCTCCTAAATATACTAGGGTTGCCGGTTACCTACCCGGCCCCCACGGAAGTGGTGGTTACCGGCCGTCGCCGCCGGTTAAGGGCAGGGGTTACCGGCGCTCGAGCACGCTTACCGACCTAGGATCTAAGCTGCTTAGACGTAACGGGTCTATATTTAGCGGTAAGAGCAAGAGGCGATCAGATATAGCGGGTAATAACAGGTCGAGGAGATATCCCCCGGTTAGTATATCTACGCAGGGCGCTAGAGACTCGCGATAGTTAATAGATTCGTAAGCGTCCGGCGTTCCTTCTTTATCGGCTTCAGCAAGAAGCGGAGTAGTAGTATCACTCCGTCTTACACTTCTTAGGAGAAGCAGGCCCGGAGGTTCTCGCTCCTCTCTTAGTCTTTTTCACGAGCTATGGGCTTCGGTAAAGAGTTGGACATACTATACCCGGATGCACCTTCGTAACAGGACTTGCCTATCTAAGATCCTGGCGACCTCGATGATCGAGGGCATTACGTCGGTGATAGAACTTCTCAGTCCATAGGCCAGGCGGCCTATCATCATGTTGGTGATGATCACGGTGCGGCCGGCTACCAACCCAACGAAGCTGGCAGGCAGTCAGCACTGGCATGTAAAAGAACCATCCCCTTCTCGACCCTTTTCTTCTTCTCTCTTCCCTTTGAGGCTTGAAGGGGGCGTTACTGGAGTTGCGGCGAGAGCTCCTGTATTCTAGGGGCTCTAAAGCGGTAGTAATAGTTGTCAATGGATTACCCTGTCTAGGCCTAACTTGGGAGGCCACCATCTCAAGGGCGCGGTTTCATGGTTTGGTCTGCCAACACGTAAAATTTTGTGCTTCATGAGTCTATCCCGGCTGATCATCTCAAATCGCGTACATAGAAGAGAGAAGAAAAACAAAACGGTATTATGCGTGTCAATCAATCCCACCCCACTCCGAGTCGCTACCGGCATCTCCTCCTCTACTCCTCCGCTTGGCCTCCTTACGTTCCTGCTTCTTCCGCCTCTTGCTCGCCTCGATAGCGCCCTTGCGGTTATTCTCCTTCTAACGCTCCTAGCCGCTCTGGGAGGTGACCTTGGTATATACGCCGCCGGAACGCCGCGACTCGACGCCGCGCTCGCGGAGGCGCTTACGGTCGTCCTTAGAGACGTCGGGGAGGGCGTCAAGGAGCCACTTTTAGACGGCGGCGTCGGCGTCGGCGGGGGTCTTACCGGCCTAGCGCTCGCTAAGGGCGATAACGTTAGTGATAGTCTTAACGAAGGGGATATCGTCCTTAGTGTATAGGGTAATAGCGACGCCGCCCTCGCGACCGGCGCGGCCGGTAATCCCCGCACGGTAGACGTAGGTGGCGGTGGAGCCGGGGATATCGTAGTTAACGATACCGTTAACGCCGGCGAAGTCGACGCCGCGGGGGAGTATGTCGGTGGTAATAAGGACCCAGATATCGCCAGAGCGGAAACGGCGCATAATAGCGGCGCGGTCGGCGTCGGAGAGGCCGCTATACAGAGCGGCGATACGGGTAGGGCCGCCGGCGGTGAAGGGGATATTTATTACGACGGCTTCCGGTCCTCTATAGTATAGCGGACGATAGGGGACTAGCGTCGAGGTTTTAGTTTAAAATAAAAAGAGGATATTAACTAAAGAGTAGTAACTATCATTCGTAGTGGTCTAGTCGTAGTTGCGTCGTAAAGACTAGGCGTCTTCTTTATAAGGTAGGTTTAAGCGTAGAATAGTAGTCTAGGTAAAGACTTAGATTAATCGATATCTTATTCTCTAATAGAAGTAAGACCTAGGATACTCTAGTATATATAGTGATAGCGCCTTTTTACCTATAGTGACTATTCCTTACGTAGTCACTATATCTAAGTGATCTGGCCGTGACCGATCACTCACTAATTACTCTGATACGTCTAGATAGTATACTAAGTACCTTTATACCTGGTAATACGTGATTTAATACGTGACTCCCTAAGTTATCCTGTGTTATTCCTTATCTAGGGCTATCCCGGGGGATATATACTAATTATACCCGTGGGTTTAGTCTATATTAGGCGGCTAGCCGTAATATTACCTCCCTCCTTCTAAGCGCTGTCCTAGCGGTCGTATAAGTAGGTCGCTTCCCCTAGTTAGTATTCCTTAGGTTTTTTTTTCTTCTTTTATTACTAACTATTATATCCGACCGTGTTTAGAAGTCGTCCCGTCCTAAATCTTATTCCGCCGAAAACCGATCGACCGTTTCTGCCCTTATCGCTAATCAGGGCTACGAGGTTATCCCTTATACCCGTTATGCTTCTAAGAACGTGCCGTGCTTTATTCTGGACGATATTGCTTGTTACCACGCGTGCTTCCGCTTAGGTCGTTCTTATGATAGTGCTAGAATCCTAATATCTTCTGGTACGCTCCTGCCCTCGCCCTCCCGTTTAGCTCCTATCGCTCACTTTTTCGTCTTCCTAGCGGGTTGTATAAACGAGGAGTTAAAGCGCCTTAAATAGGAGGAGGAGCGGACCGAGGAGATACTCCACGAGGCGCTCGCCCGCTTATCCCGCCTTCGCCGAACTTATTATTCGCTACGGAAGAAAGGGGTAGAAATAGTTCGTAAGGACCTTACCGATATAGAGGAGCTTAAGAAGGTGGAGAAAGAGGAAGAAAAGGCCTGTCGGGCCGAGTCAGAGGCGGTGGCTACTATATAGGCTACTAGTGCTATAAATATAATTAATTAGAATCAGGTAATAGTGTAGGATATAAGTGACTTTTCGGATACTAATCTTACGTAGACCGCGGCGTCTGGTTCTAGGTCCTAATAGTGTTTTATCGGTATTGCTTTAGGAGTTACTTATAATATATTAGATTTTCTTTAGGTTCCTAGGTGTTATCGCCGTGGTCGTAGTTTTTCCACTTTATAAAATATTCGGTACCGTCTAGTATCTCTCGGTGGTCGAGGATTCGTTCTGCTTCGTATATATCGCTAGTGTCTACCACGATCGTGTCTTATATAATTTTAGTATTTTCCGGTACTAGCTTAAGTAGTGAAATATAGAAATTATTATATATCCTTATTATCGGAGGTAGTAATAGAATATAGTTCGTATCTGATTTTTTCTCTAGGATTTTAAATAGTCCTAATTTTTTAAAATCTAATTTATCGCTTAGTCGTTATGTTTTGATGTTTTTGATATTTTTGCGAATAAGGTAGACGCCGTCCCCCCTTGAAAGGGTTAGTCCCTTAATCCTCGATTAATTTATGTATCTGCTTATTCGTGTTCTAACTATCTCTAGGTCGGTTCGTAGTTCTTCGTGTAGTTTTTTTATACTTTCAACTATTTTTATCGCTCTTAGTGCGTCTAGTCCTTCTAAAGGTTTTCTAAATACTATTAGGGTATATCCGTAATTTACTTTAAACGGTGTTTTCTTTATCGACTCGTTTAACGAGCTATTATATATAAACTATATAAGTAGTAGGTATTATACCTAATTATCTTATTTATACCCTACGTAGTATTATAGGTACTATTCTAGGACTTAGTTTATAATTTCGGTTTTTCTGTCCGTTATAAGGTAAAACGCTATCGAATACTTATATTTCGTTCCTAGCTAGCTTATAACTGCTTTCTAGAAGTTACTAGTAAAGAGTTTATCTCTATCCGTGATAATTTCGTTCGGCGCGCCGTGATCCTGGATTAGGCGGTTAATAAAGATACTTATTAGTTCTTCTGCTATAGTGTTTTTAATATATAGAATATAAAGAGTGTATTTCGTGAATCGGTCGATAATCACGAATACGCTATCGTAGGCGATTCTTATTACTGGATCTTTGGATATCGGAAATCCTATCACGAAGTCTATTATAATCGATTCCTGGGGTTTATTTACTACTAGTAGTGGCTTTAGTAGTCCGTAAGGTTTATATCGGCTACTCTTTGCTTTCTAGTAAATATCGTAGTTACGAACGAAGTCCCTAACTCGTTCTTTAACTCCTGTATAGCCGTATTATTATCGTAATCGGCGGTAGGTCTTATAAACTCCTTAATATCTATATATTAGTAAGGCGTGTGCTTCTTTAAACGTGGTGTCGACTACTTAATTAATGCTATTTATTTCTTTGCATTTTAGGGTAAGAGCTTCTCCTTCCTATTAGAGTATAGCTTATAGTTTAGGTGATTTATTATGTGTCCCTAGTCGGCTAAGTGCGTCTACGCGACTATTTTCGCTTCCTTTTATATATTAAATATAGAAGTTAAATTTAGATAGGAATTCTGCTTATCGGATCTATCGTTTATTAAGAACCTTAGTAGTGGTGAACTATACGAGGTTCTTATAATCCGTGTAGACCTATACCGGGTATTTTATTCCTAATAGATATAGTCTTTATTCTTTAAAGGCTTCGATAATAGCTATTAGCTTTTTATCGTGGATTTAGTAGTTAAGTTCTGGTCTACTAAGTTTTTTAGATATAAAGGCTATAGGATATAGCCTTCCTTCTATATCGTGTTATCCGAGTTATACTCCTAGAGCCTAGTCGGATACGTCTATTTCGAGTTCGTATTCTTTATCGGGGTCTAGTATTACTAAGATAGATTTGCTAGTAACCCTTAAGGGCTTAGAATACTTCTTCTATTCTTTCGTTCTATTCGAAGTCGAGTCCTTTTTTAGTTACTTTAGTTAAGGGGATAGTAATCTTACTATAGTCTTTAATAAATCGTCGATAGTAGTTAATAAGTCCGAGGAAAGACTAAATATCGTGAACGTTTTACGGCTATAGCTACTTAGAGACGTATTAGATCTTCGCCTTATCTATACAGATTTTATTAGGTTATATTATATACCCTAAAAAGTTAACTTCTTATATATAGAATTAGACTTTTTCTAGTTTAATTAGTAGGTCGGTATCTTATAGGAGTTATAGGATCGTGTAAATATATTATTAGTATTCTTCGAGTATTTTAGAGAAGATTAGGATATTATCTAGGTATACTATAACGAAGTAGTCTAGATACTTCCTTAGGATATCGTTAATAAGCGTTTAGAATAATACCGGCGTATTTATTAATCTAAAAGGTATAATAAGGTACTTGAAATATCCTTGCTTCGTTTAGAACGCTATTTTCTATTCTTCTCCTTCCTTAATCCTAATTAGGTTATAGGCTTTTTTTAAGTCGAGTACTATAAACTATTATACTCTAACTAACTAATCTTATATCTCCGAGATAAAAGGTAGTAGGTAGCGGTTCTTAATAGTTATATCGTTAAGTTATTAATAGTTATATCGTTAAGTTATTAATAGTTAATATATAGTCGTAGTTTACCGTTTTTCTTTAGTATAAATAGGATCGGGTATCCTACTAGTAATTATAATACTCTAATATAGCCTTTTACTAATATTTCTTTAAGATATTCTTCTAAGGTATTTAATTCCTTTTAATTTAGCCCGTAGATTAGAAAGAATTTTAGGTGTATCCCTTCCTTAAGGGGTATCTCGTGATCGTAATATCGATATTTCGGTAATCTAGTCTTTAGATTTTCGGTAAATAGTTTCTTATATCTATAGTATTCTAGTAGTACCTTAGCGAGTCTATCGTGATCGCCTTCTACGAGTCCTTTTTCTGCTTAGATAATCTAGTAGATTCCTTTAATAATATTTATTACGTATCGGTTATTATACCGTTACTGCTATCTTAAAATTTTTCGGACTTCTTTCGCCTTAGTCCCTGACTTCTAGCGGCTATCTAAGTCTCCCTAAGGCTCCTTTGTCGGTAAGTCTTTCTACTATTTTCGACGGATATCGGGATCGGGTAAGGTTTCCTTCGTGGTCTCCTACTTACTCTTTACTCTTTACCGGAGCTAGCTAAGTTTTTAGTCTATATCGGGATTCTACTCGTTAAACTATAGCTTACTAAGGATAATATCCTTATAGCCTATATCGTATATATAGAACTTTATTACTTTAGTCTTATTCTAAATTTTGACTTAGAGGTGTATAGTCTCCTAGCTAATAATAACTTCTTCTTAAGACTAGTTCTTTCCCGTATACGGAGTAATTTCGTACTCGTCTTCTAGGTATTTCCTAACCTAGGGGATAAAGAACTTTCTCACGGCTACTAATAAGATAAAGTTTCCTGCTATACCTATATCTAATAGTGCGTTTATCTTATATTTATCAAGTCGTATTCTAATATAGCGGTGCCCTATACTATTACGTATTATAGAGTATATCTAATAAGTGCCTCTCGCGTGCTCCTTATAATAGTATACTCCTAGCTTTTTACCTATTTAGCTCGGTATTCAAGGGATATCTCTTTATCTAGGAACCTGTACTAGATTAAGAGCCGTTCTATCTATTATAGGCGCTTATCGAGGGCCTAGAAGCGTAATTCCTAAGCTTCCTAGTCTTATTCTAGTTATCGGATTTTCTTAGTAGCGTATACTATATAGCTAGTAGTATTATATTCGCCTAGCCGGTATTCGTAGTAGTTATACCTAGGTAGTTAGAGGCGAATCTCGCGTCTAGCCTATTTATATTCTATCTATCCTTTCTTATACGTTTAGTACTCGGGTAGTTAATCGTCCGACTTTTATAGGCTTATTATTAGGCCGGTAAGAGTATCTCGGTTTTCCTAAGTATAGTAAGGTCGCTAATATATAGTTTATTACTATTCTTCGCTAGTATTCATAGGTACTCTGCGGTAAGCGTTATTAAAGCTAAGTTTAATAAAACGGACTTAGTGGGTTTATCTAAGGGGTTCTTCCGCGAGCTAGTCGAGTATCCGTAGCTAGATAGTTTCCTCCTCGATTAGGTCGGCTAGTTCTATAAGTTAGTATTAGAAGTTCGTGTTATTATCCGGACCTCCGTCTAACTCCGTTTCCTAATCTTATTCTTCGAGTTCAGCGATTTCCTCTAATATATAACGTGCATAATCTTCTTTCTTAAGTTAGTGTTTCTCTTCGGAAGTAAGTCCTACTTCCTAGAGGGCGCTAAAACCTCTACTACTAGTATTCGTGTGGACTTCCTATTTTTTCTAGATCTCTAAAATCTACTTCTATCTTTTAGCTTCTTCTTTTATCTATCCGTATTTTTAAAGGATTTCTGCGATAGTTTATAAAGCTAGTCTATCCTTATCCTAGTTAGGGATTTTAAGACTATAGTTATTATCGTACTCGTTACTAGATACTATAGCGAGTATCTTCTAGGGTCTCTTAGGGTAGTATTTAGCTCTATCCTTCTTTAATTAGTATATTAGTCAGGTTATCGAATAGAGGTTAACGTATAGTGTTTTATCCCTATAAATTTCCAGGTATCTAATAGTATTAATTTCCTTCTAGGGTTTTTCTTTTCCGATCGTATTAGCCTATTATTACGATTATTCCTTCTTAGGCTTATAATAATCGCGTGCGTAGTGACCCGGCTTATTATAGTTATAACACTTAACTTTCTTTATATCCCTTTCACCCTGCTTATTGCTTTATCGGTTAATATTATCAAGCTTTATAGGTCTATTATAATACCTATATAAGGTGTTTCCGAATTAGCGTGGGTATAGTTATTTCTTCTTCGAATTAGCCGTGTAGAATAGGACGTCTATTTAATACTTCTTCTAATAGCGTTATATATAGTTTCGGTTATTAATACGAATTACTATTATAGTGTATTCGCTAAATATCTTAGGTCGGTCGAATCGGTATAGTTTATCCTTTACTGTTTCCTTAAGTCCTTAGTAGTACCGATCTATAAGGGGTTTATCCCGGGTAGCTAAGCTTTAACGAGATTTACTAGAATCTCGTAGTATAGTCCGTAGCTAACTTAGTCTAATATAGCTAGCTTAGTCGTTCGGCCGCGACTTATTCCTTATCAGGCTAGCCGAAGATAGCGTTAAGTTTTTCGATAAATATATTAAAGTCCTTAAAGATTACCGTGGTCCCGGGCTTCCTTAGGATTTCTATTCCTATATTCCCTAGGTAGTCTTTATAGATAGATTCGAACTATTTATACGTATCTTCCGTAAAGAGTGCCGCGGTATAGAGTACTTTAGTTTCTTCCGTACGGATACTATCCTAGTAAAATAAGAGATAGCCTCTAAGCTAGGTAATAAAGCTCTAAAGCTATCCTTAAGTTCCGTTATACTTAAGGGGTATAGGGTACTTATACTTAGCTCTAATCTTAGGATAGTTTAACTAAGCTCTTAGAGTTATATTCTCCCCCTAAAGCTAGGTAATTATATTACGAATCTACTAAAGGTTATTATTCCCTTTAGCGGCGGTAATAGGCGTTATAGCGCTCGTAGCGCTCGCGGTATGGTTATTATTATTCGATATATTAGAAGAGTGATTGCTGGCTACTTTATCGTCTTATTAAGGTTATTCTAGTTCTTCCTCTTCGTCGGAGGAACTAGATTCTTCAGACGATAATTCTTCTTCAGATAAAGTGACTTCTTCTTTCTTAGGCGAAGTAGCTTCTGCTTCGGGCGTACTGCTTATTAGCTATTAAGGTTAGCTTACCGAACAGGATCGATTAAAATATTACGACGGCTTCCGGTCCTCTATAGTATAGCGGACGATAGGGGACTAGCATCGAGGTTTTAGTTTAAAATAAGAAGAGGATATTAACTAAAAAGCAGTAACTATTATTCGTAGTAGTCTAGTCGTAGTTACGTCGTAAAGACTAGGCGTCTTCTTTATAAGGTAGGTTTAAGCGTAGAATAATAATCTAGGTAAAGACTTAGATTAATCGATATCTTATTCTTTAATAGAAGTAAGACCTAGGATACTCTAGTATATATAGTGATAGCGCCTTCTTATCTATAGTGACTATTCCTTACGTAGTCACTATATCTAAGTGATCTGGCCGTGACCGATGACTCACTGATTACTCTGATAGAGTGATTAACCCTGGGCTGTCTAGATAGTATACTAAGTACCTTTATACCTGGTGACACGTGATTTAATACGTGACTCCCTGAGTCATCCTGTGTTATTCCTTATCTAGGGCCGTCCCGGGGGATATATACTAGTTGTACCCGTGGGTTTAGTCTATATTAGGCGGCTGGCCGTAATAATATTATACTTAAGTTCCTCGTGCAGGGCCAAGGCGTGGTTGATAGTCTAGGTGAAAACGAGGAAAGGGGAGCGGAGGGGAGGACCCGAGTTATCGGCGGCGGTGGGCCGGAGGAGCTAGCGTAGGACAGGGCACTAAATCGCCGGCCCTTACCTCCAGATATGCCTTAATATATTTCCATATAGTTATCGTCCTCGTGAATGGTTTCCCATAGAAAATATAGGGAGATGGACGTTTCTGTCCAGAGGACCGCAGTGGTAACCTAATAGTGCCAAGGCGGGAACCGGCCGTCGTGGTTTAGTTAGGAGAGGTTTCGTTAATAGCCGCGGAATAAGCCGGTGGTAGGGTTAGTTCGGAGGAGAACTCGCCTAAAGGACAGGTGGATAGAAACTATAGAGCCGATATCTCTACCGGATCTAGTAGGAGGTATACCACTTTTCGTATTAATAAGGCGTATAGTGGCTTATGCGGTATCGTTCGCCCTAGAGGAGACGGTAGTACGCTAGACGGGCCTAGCTCTAGCACAGGCTTCTCGCCTAACAAAACGGTCTACTACTATAGAAGTGCTTCCTTTACTTCTACTATCTAAGTATAGGCAACCTATATATTAATCACGTTAATCTTTCTACGTACTATTTCCTCCTAAGTTATCTAAGTCGCCGAGTAGGTCGGTAATACGCCTCTATTCGGCCCGTGCAAAGACGACTTGCTGGACCGGCTCTCGAGGACGACATATGCCGAGTAATTACCGGTTAAGCTCTTCGTCGTTATCTTAAAATACTACTACCGAGTAATCTCCTCGATCCTTCGGCGGTGTTGCTATTTAGTACTTCTGAGCTGTCTTTACAGGTCCTCATATACCGTCTTATCGACGTCTATTACTAGATAAGCCCCACTATACCGGAGCTAGAGGGCGGCTTAGAGTGTGGATATTTCCTTCTCTAGCCGATAAACTTCGGCGTTCGGACTGATAGCGCCTATTATCTCGTCTATTATGTTAACAGAGGCATTTTTATCATAGCAGAAGCCTAGTTGGTTAAAGATTACGAGGTACAGAGACTTAGTGCTACGACTCAGGAACGTATCTTAGATTATAACGTTTATTTAGGCATTATTATAGTGGTCCTGGAAGGTATCTTTATTTTCGTGTCTCGCTATCTATTTTCCGACCGTCGAGCGGTAATACACTAGTGGCTTGTAAGATAAACCCTTAAGCATATGGTATATGCGGCGGGTAACTTACTATTAATCGACTCTAAGTTTCCTTAGTAATAGTTATAACCTTTAAGGTCGTCCGGTAGGTCTGCTGCATGCCCTAAGTTCTTAGACTAACTATCAAATTAGTCCCTTGTCAGCGGGTTATTAGACTTCTCGTACCCTTCTATAGTCTTAACAGATTACCAAAAAACTAGTAAGTGCCAGAACTCCCTCTTCTACTTAATCTAAACCCTATATATGCCGATTCGAGTCTAGAAGAATAGCTTGGCTTAGGAGAATCCTCCTTTTTCTACGACCCCTTCTACTAGAGCCTTAGCTACTATATAGGATACCGGATAGATTATAGGGAGATCGTCCTCGATAAAGATATACTTAGTTAGTCGATGCTTCTTATTATAGCCCTTATGAAAACGAAGGAGAACGGTTATCGTAAGACAGTCTCTGCTCCCATTATCGAATAGATCACGAAGAATCCAGAGTTAGATATCCTCCTATTAATGGACTTTTCTTTCTGGGCCGGTCCTTTTATCGACTTTACCATATATCTAGTAATTTTTCTGCCGTAACCGGGTCTAGGCTTCCAGATCTATGAAGTCGCCGTCGTTATTAAAGTCGACGTAGGCGTTATTTTTATCGTGGTATTCCTTTAGCTTAGCTTCTTTATTTAGAGGCTTAGTATAGACCAACTCGTATATTTGGCTATCCGTAAATATTAGAAACTATCAAATAGTAGTATTATTAAGACGGTTAAGGCTAATTCTAAAGACTACCTTATAGTCCCGTACCCAGCGAAAGTAAGATAAGTATAGAAAGATATCCGGCCTAATATTATTCTTAGGTTTTGGTTTGGTCTGTAGAGAGACCCTGCGCTTAAGTATAGTATCGGCGTAGTCTAGGAAATGAGCCTAGAGCTGCTGCTCGATCGGCTGGCCAGTATATTTTTTTATACACTGCCTAGGTCTCTAGCATATACCTTTGGATAGTAGAGAAAGTTATAACCTTTACGCCCTTCCTTTCTAAAAGGAATCGAGCGAAGGCTTCGATCAGTCCTCGGTTAACGTAGGATAATATCTTCACCTCCGCCGTCTAGTTCGGAATACTTATAAACTCGCAGAATTTCGACACGATGTTAATCTTGTAGTTATCTCCGTGCCTAGGCTTAATGGGACGCCGGTTATTGCCATGTTTTCGAATATCCTGGAGCTCTTCCGCGGTAACTCTAGTAGGTGACGGCGGTTCCTGCTCCGCGAACTCGGCTTAGACGAGACTAAGGAGGCGCGGGTCTATCTTTAGTCCGTGTGAAAATTAAGTGATTTCACTACTTTATACTATTAGCTGGTACACCCTCGGTTCTGGTTCTAGTCCGCGTACCTTAAAGAGATTCATCAAGTGGATAGCGATGGAAAATTGGGAAAAGAAAATCGGCCGCAGTGAGATGCCGCTTAGGCAACGCAATGCTATGGCGCGGAGTGGTCTTAAGTGCTTCATCATTTTTTTCTATTTACTGTTTTCTGAATGTTGCTTGGCAGTTCTCGTCAGCGGCAACAGCCATGTCTATGGAGTGAGATTTGTACTTCCGTGTAGTTCAAGGAGTACATATGATCTGGGGGGAATATACTTATCGGGGGTGTTTTGGGGGGCCAAAACCTGTCGCCAGTGGATACCAATTCTGGCCTCTCGGGCAGCGACACACGAACTCTGGGTGGAATGTACGTGTCGTGTCTGTAACGTATGGCCGAATCAGGAACGGATCAATATCCCATCATCCTGTTTCTTCGTCTCACATGAAACCCTCGACTCGACTTGTTCTAGTTCCAGGCCGGCAATCAAGACATAACGACGAGGTAGGCAACAAAGAGTCACTTTTCGAATATCGTCATAACACAATTGATCTACCGCCTTCTATATTGGTGGAAAATGGCAAATAGGTTGAAAATTAAGTCGGTCAAATATCCAGGAAAGGTACGAACCAGTCATACTCTCGAAAGGTGCGCACTCAAAGCCTCTTCTCCAATCCCTTGAAGTTCCCTCCTTGTACCCGAGTTCCGCCCTTCCAGGGTCGGACACGAAGTGGTCATACAGGAAAAAAAAAAAGAATAACAACAGTTCCCGGTACCCCTCTGGTATCGTCTACATAATAGGCCGTGTGGTGTGAAATGGTGATGGCCCACCACCGTCTTTGAACAACTCCGAAAACCACACCCGAGAAAACGAAATGCCCGCCCCCCAGTGGTATCTTGTTGGCAAACCCGCTTTCTATGCCTTTGCTAGGAATCCCCAGGCGAAGGTGGCGCGACTGCTTTACCACCTCTTGCGGACGGGCTGGCCCATGGGCATGGACCCACCGATGCCGCCAACGGCACCAATGCCCTGCTGCTCGAGGTTGGGGAACGCGCCCATGTCGCACTGGACGCTGCAGACGCAGGCGCCGTTGCCATCGATCTGGCCGATGCCGTCCTGAATGCCACCGCCGGGAGGAAGGACGTTGTTGCCGCCCTCGATAGGAGGCAGGCCGCTCTGAACGGGAGGGAGGGAATCGATAGGGGGCGGCGGGGCAGACTCGGTAGGGGGCTGCTCCGGGGCCGGGGCAGGTTCGCCGCCAGTGATGGGGGCGGCATCGCCGTTGCCGCCGGAAATGGCAATGGACTGGAACATGGCATGCGTCCTCTCAGCGGTGGGGTTGATGGAGAAGACCATGCCCTTGGCGCAATGGGGTCCCTGAGCACAGAAGAACCCTAGAGAGAGGGTTGTCAGAACAGCCGGCCAGTACAAGGGAAAGAGGGGGGAAAAGAGAAAAGAAAGAAAGAGAAAGAGAAAGAAAAACCCGGCAGAGAGGGGTGGAGCTAATACGTACAGAGAGGGTTCTCGACCATAACCTGCATGGCGACCTGAGGAGGAGGGTCGATGGAGTTTTCCGGGTTGGGGATGAAGCCCGAGTCCATACCGCCGGCGAGGGGCTCGCAAGGGCTGTCGAAAGTCGACTGGGTGGCGGTGTGGTTGGCGGCAAAGAAAGTGAAGATGACCATATCACCGACCTGGGCATTGATGCTCTCAGGATGGTAGATAAGACCGGCCGGACCGCCAACGGTGACCTGGTTGAACGGCACGTTAGCATTTCTCGGTTCCAAGTTCTTGCAGCTCGTTCGTCTCCATTCTCTACTTTCTTCTACTTACACTGTGAGTCGCGCCGGGGCTAGGGGCGACCTGGGTGGCTTCACCGGGATGGGTGGGTGTGCCAGCACCGGGATGCTCGACGGGCGGAGGATGGACGGGGGGGTGCTCGACGGGCGGGTGCTCGACAGGAGGATGCTCGACAGGAGGATGCTCGATGGGCGGGTGCTCGGGGGCATGGGCCTCGGGGGGAGGCGTATGGGCACCAACAACGATTGTCTCCGTGACAGTGATCTTCTGGTTGATGGTCGTTGTCTCGGCGTGGCCGCCGGGGTTGACCCAGATGACGACGACATGGTTGTTGGAATCCGGGGTGATGCCGTGACCTCTCATTCCGTGGGGGAGGTCGGCCAGATGAGGGTTGGGCTGAACATGCTCGGGAACCTCATGCAAGTCCCGGGCTTTGGGATAGGTGTTGCGGACCGCCTTGGCGGAGCTCAAGGCGGCGGCCGAGAGGGTGATGGCGGCAGACCACTTCATGTTGGTTGAGTATGAAGTAGAAGTTGGTATCGAAAGACAATGCGCGGATCTCTCGGGTCAAAACTCGTGGTTGGGAATGGTACTTCCTCGGCAGGCTGTTGTGATTAAGAGACAAAGAGCGGAAACAAAAGGAGATGGAAGAATGATGCGATGCGATGCGTCCTGGATAGTAATAACCGGCGAGGCCCTGCTCGTGATGAAGAATGGAAGATGGAAAAAGAAGAAGAAAAAAAAGAGAAAGAAAGTCCACACACAATGAGCGAACACGAGACTGGACTGAAGAGAGAGAAAAGGATGAGGAGAAGAGAAGACGAAAGAGTAAGAAGGGAGGAGAGCAGGTGCTTATATTGAGGGCGCCCAAGGGTCGTCTTCGATTACGGGCCTGGGGACAGGGGAGGGAGGATGGGACGAGATGCTAGCTGGGACCCCGTGCCCAGGAAGGGCTTGGTCGCGAAACACGACTGTAGGTTTCGATTTGCAAGCGGATTCGGGCATGATTACATCGTACCTGCCCAGCAGATCCATACGTTACCGTACCGTACCGGTAGATTCGACGTGGGCGTTGACCAGGGGATGCCTCCCGGGACCACGAAGGTCCGAACGGGGATTGGATTGGGGGTTGAACGGTCTCTCGATCCATCTCAGGTCTGGGGCCGGGGAAGGGGTCAAGGCAACGCATGCATGCCATAGGGAGCACAGAATTTCGACAATGGGGGACTGGAGGACTGGAGGACTCGGTAAAGCTGGATCCAGGGGGTGACAGAATCGTCTCGAGTGTTGTTTGAGCCTCTGCTTCCCCTGCTTCCCCTGCTTAACCCCAGCACAGACCGCATCTGTGCGCTCGCTTGGAGGCCAGGTAATCTACGGAGTATGGCTCGCAATGGGTTCGTTGCACTCACTCGCATGGAGAAAGGGAGACAGACGTTGTATCCATGGCAATGGAGCGCGGGTCTTTATGCCTTGGAAAAGGAAAAGGGAATGGAAATTGGAGCTTTCAAAGAAATCGACTTCAGGTGTCTTCTCGACGTATTACCTCATCAGGTATTGTGGGGTCCCCATTGTTCAGATTCAAGGCTTCCTTCCTCTTGCTCGTTCGTTCGTTCTGTTCCTCTCAGGCAAATGAAACAACCCCTGACCACCAAAAAGGGGAAACCTCCCCGCTATAAGCCCCAAACCTTAACACTGCATTGTTATTAGGAGTTGACTAGCCCGCTAGCCCGCTATAGCGGGGTATATCCCCAGGGATCGGTATCCTTAGCGGAGTTCTGAGGGTCTCGAGTTTTCGACCCTCCTAGCCCGTGGCTGTTCTTAAGCTGCTGGAAACTAAGAGCTGGGGTTCGTCAGCGCAGAGGTTGCAGTACGTTGTACGAGGTTGCATCCATGGACGCAGGCACGGAGGACCGTACCAATCAATCGCAACCCCGACGTCGGCTTCTATTCCGTTTTGCTCTGCCGTTTCCTCCCATTGGTCAAGACTTTCATGTGAAATTCAGGAACGCCAGCCCAACCTCAAACAATCCAGGTGTATTCTGAAACGGTCAAGGTTCACAACTTTGTCGAGGTCCCTTTTTCTCTTTTTTAATCCTTTTCACCAATATTCTGTAAGCACTTTCTCTGCTATTTCTTACATACTCCATGATGTATTCCTGCTCCATTCATCACAATATACCTAGGTAACCAGCCCCTGTCCTTGCGGCTTTTCTTTTTCCTTTCCCAACATCTAATTCGGGCTCTTTTGCCCTGTCCTGAGTTTGGGTGGAAGGAAACCTGGATGGAAGGGTAGTAAACGAAGTTCAGACATCAGACATCAGACATCAGACGACAGACGACAGACAGGGACCCGACATATGAAACGAAACAGCTTTCACCCCCGACTCCCCCAACCAATAAGGTCACCCACAAAATCCATCGCTGCGGCTCGTCAGCAGATATATGTACGTACATACTGACATGCAATGGTAATCGCGCCACAAGTTCCAAGTCATGATCAACAAGATTCTGATTTTTTTGCCCTGTCCGAGCTCGTCGATCTCCTCCCCCCGTCCTTGTCGTGGCTGATCTTCTTCACCCCTTTCCCTAAGGCTTCTTTGACACACCTTGGCGCATACCATCTCTGGACTCCGACAAGGCTAGCCCAACTGCCGTGTCTCATGGAACACCTTGTGTCGCAGCTGTCTTCTCCATGGCGGCTGGAGGAGCTACATATGTCCGATAGAATTGCGTAGCCGCCCATGGGCATTCCGTAACCGCTGCCCCATAACTGCACAGCCTCGCGGAGGTCTCGGCAGTCATCGCAGCTTAGTCCCGGCCTGGCTCTTGTCCTTCCTGCCTAGGGGGCGCTGTAGTCGTCGTAGTCGTCGTCGTCGTCGTCTGCTGCTGCTGCTGCTGACCTTCGTATAACCCCGTGTAGTATCCCGCATAGTACCAAGACATCAACAGTCTCTTCAACCCTTCGTCATGTACTACTGTTCACATCTCGTCAGTGCCGTCCGCTCGTTGCCCAAGCACCCGCGCTCCGACCCAGCTCCACCGAAGTGGAAGCCTCGGGGGAAGGAGTCCCGCCACTGAATGAATGGTACGCACCAGTTCCCAGGATTGCCTGCGGGGGTACTATCGGCGCCCCGTGACCTGGCTGTACCTGTGCCGCCGCTGTGGTTTCCAAGAGAGCCTAAAAAGAATGTTACCAAGCTGTGTGAGTGAGCGCAACATGTTCTCCCAGGAGACTCGAAGTACGATATGCTGCTCTCCATGATTTGCCGGAACAGGTACATGTGAAGCGGGAAATGAAGAACACGGCGGGGGCTAGACCGGATACAAATCACGTACTTCAGCCGTGCTATCCTGTGGTTGTTGCTTGCTTCTTGGACGATGATCATCGGATTGTGTTTCCACCACGCCTTCCATCTGGGTCCTAAAAAGAAGACAGCGCCCTGCTTTAGCCTCAACCAACCCAATAGACCTACCTCAATGACAGAAATGGTGTGGGTACATACTGGTCTCCGGCCAATTCCTCCGCCTCGAGCTCAAGGTCCTCAAGGCGGCCGCCCTTTGCATGGATGCTGTGATATTTCTGGCATCATGGGTCAATCGGAGTTTACACACCACTGGGGAACGGTTTCCTCGACTAGGTTTATCTGGGATATTGAGAGTCACACCTTGTATTCGTTCAAGGCCTCATTCCACGATTCGATAAGAGCGGAATCATCCCATATCTCATCGTGCGCCAAATTCTTACCGCCGGTACCCATGACTGATGGTGTGTGGACGGACTTGGAGCTTGATTGCTGGGACCGTCGAGGACTGATTATTAGACCGCAATTTGCCTGGGTGACCGTGGTTGACAAGTCAACCAGTGCCCTCTCGTTAGGAAAATTGGTTGTTCGCAACAATGTTCAGAGGAGCACACGGTTACGCGCCTCTAAACTCTGAACAGTACGCATAGGTGAATACTCGGGAGTCTAACAATCGCATAAATTACGAGAACAAGTTGCTTACATTTGAAAAACTCCAACAAACTTGGCGTATGTATGTGGCCGCTTGTCTGCTGTGGCTTCACTGATAGGTGTGCGTCGTGTGTCGTGGACAACTCCTATACATTCAAGAGCTAATATGCACAGCACAACAACATCGGCGTCCGAGCAGCTGGGCTGAATGAGCTTGGAGGCTATTATTGTACGGATAATAGTGAGGTACTGAGCAATAGGCCAGTGAGGAACCCTCTGTCCCACTGAAGATTTGCTAGGGCTACGGAGCAATACAGGTATCGGTACAGCGCCTCAGAGCTCTCATGCTGCATGTTTTAGCGGGGTCCTTTCCCTCACCGCCACCCCAGAATGGTCAATTGCTAGGTCGCGCTCGCCGGCAGAAAACTGAATTTTTCCCCCGTCGATAAGCCAGCCACACATACCACCCACCATCGACAGATCCAGTACAGACCAAATTTCCTGTCTATCATTGCAAACATGGCGCCCGAACTGAGAAAAAGATCAAAGTGTATGTTTTCGACGAAGATACACCATTTTTTGGGGGGGCCCGCAACTCACATTTCCAATTCTAGCGAAAGCGGCGGCCGAGAGCCCTGCAGTCAAGAGAACTGACAAGGCCGGGAAGCGCAAAGGTTTGTTTGTTGTATTCCCCAGGCGGCCTTCTACCATAGACTCTTGGCTGATGATGTGATGATTTTCTAGCCACTGAGGAAGCCTCACCTATCGCGGTGAAGAAGCAGAAGGGCACCGAGGCTGTCGACAAGCCCAAGTCCAGGAGCAAAAAGCGCGCCGTCGAGGCTGCCGAAACTGAGCCGATCCCCACACCCGTGAAAAAGAAAGAGAACAAGAAAGCCAATAAGAAATCAAAGACCGAAGACGTTGAGCCTAAGGAAGTTGAGGTCGAGGTTGAGGCGGAAGAGGATGAGACTATCCTGGTGCCGGCGGAAGACGGATCCGACTCGGAAGAAGAAATCGACGAGGACATCCAGGCCCTAGCCGCAGGTCTGGACCCTGACGATGCCGAAGACGGTCGTGTGGTCGATGGTCCCTCTTACGAGCCCGGTCAGGAAGACGGCAAGATTCCCAAACTGTCGAAGAAGGACAAGAAAGCGCTAGCCGCAAAGAAGGGCACGAAAGAGGAGCCGGGCGTCATCTATGTCGGCCGCATACCTCATGGGTACGTCCTACTTTTTCCATGCAGACACACAGCCAGCCCTTGTCCGTGTCTTTTAAGCTCTCCCTCCCCATTCTAACTCGCCTCACAGTTTCTACGAGCATGCTCTCAGGTCGTACTTCAGCCAGTTTGGCCCCGTAACGAGGCTCAGGATGGCGCGGAACAAGCGCACTGGAGCGTCCAAGCACTTCGCCTTCATCGAGTTCGCGGACGAGTCTACCAGCGTCATCGCGGCCAAGACCATGGATGGGTATCTACTGTATAACCACATCCTCAAGGTCAAGACGGTGCCCCGCGACCAGCTGCACGAGGATGTGTGGAAAGGGGCGAACCGGAGATTCAAGAAGACCCCATGGAGCAAGATCGAGGGCAAGAAGCTCGCCCGCCCATTGACGGAGGCGGGGTGGGAAAACAGGATCTCCAGGGAACAGAAAAAGCGGGCGAAGCGCGCCGAGAAGCTCAAGGACCTGGGCTACGAGTTTGAGGTACCACAGCTTAAGGCGCCGCCGGCGCCGGTGGAGGCGTCAGAGCAAAAGACGGCCGAAAAGCCCAAGGCGATCGAGGAGGCCCCGTCTGCTGAGGCCAAGGGCACCGCGGAGGAGGATAAGGAAGTAAAGGCTCCGGCGGCTGAGCCCAAAGCTCAGAAGGAGAAGAAAGAGAAGAAAGAAAAGGCGAAGAAGGGAAAGAAGGTCAAGGCTTGATGGACGCCGTAATTGTAGGCCGTGTCAAGGCATGGAGTTCGGAATCGGGACATGTTTTCTTCTGGACCTTTTATGTTCTTCTTTTCTCATTTTACACGTCTCTTTTTTCGTTTTCACTTTCATGAGGACCTGGGAAATTCTGTACGCTCATAGCGAACCCGATGCACCCGTCAATATGCAGGCAAGCATCAGGATTATAAAGGGCGGCTGTTGTTCTACTTCAGCCTCCATTGCGAAAAAGACGACGGGATGAATCTTGTTCAATTGCAAAGTCGGCGAAGATGTATATGTATGAAGAAGGAAAAGAGGGAATAAGAAATGCGTTCTGTTGAGGGGATGGGATGACTTTGAAATTCGCAGCCGACATCACGTGCTCTGAATGGCCCGTGCATACTAGCAGCAGGTACCCAGGTACGTAGTGCTTCCTCCAACAACTGCCAACGCCGAGCCGGTATTAGTGTTGGACAAAGGGTCTACCTTAGTTACCTTCGCCAATAAGTGATCAGGTGACTTTCAAGAGCGGCTGGCTCATCGGAAGACTCGGAATCTATGTCGTATTCATGTATACTGAAATAGAAACTATGATATAAGCGCTTCGTACAAGCTGGGAGAATGGGGATGACAGCATGGCTGAGTTGAAGGCCAATGTCCAAAATGGTCTGGTCTGCCGTTTCACATACCGAAAGGTATTGAAACAAACATCGTTTACCGATATCGTCTTCCGTAAGACGAGGATTGCAATCGAATACTGGTGTCTTTCATTCCTTATTAACGGTGTACGAATCGCTAACACGGGGATCTGTCGATTTACCTTTCCATCCGTGCATACATACCTTACTCCTAAAGGTACAGAGTAAACCTGGGGTGGATGACTAATAGGTCAATACACGTTTCTCGGAGACAACAGCGTGGTTGCGAATTGCGATCGATACATCTTCCACGTAACCAACTCTGTACAAGTACCTTTGGATCCTCGCTGCATCACGACCTCCTCAATTGCGCTCCCAGATGGGGCTTTATGCTTCCCAACATGTCGACAGCGGCCCCAGGTGCAGATCCAGTTCAAGCATCTTCCTCAGGTTCGTTAATAGTTTCGGAACGTCACGTAATGGACTGTACCCACGACTACGACCATGGCTAACTGCTATGGTACATAGGAAAGAAGAAGAGCAACAAGAAGAAGAAGAACGCAAATAAACCCAAGGTGCACGCAGATACAGATCAGGGGACGGATCAGCTTGGAAAGCAGGATGGAGCTGAGGAGCCCGAGACCCCGGTCCAGGTACGATTCATAAATCTAACCGACGTGGGCAACATTGAGCAAAAGGGAACAGAGTCCTGACACCTATCTCACCCAGTCACAGTCGACGACAGGTGCACAGGTCGATACAGAAGCAAAAGAAGACGAAGACGATGTCGATACCACACTCAACGGTCACACAGAGCCACAAGACGACAACGGTCATGCCAACCCACCAATAGACACTGCGGCAGACGACGACATCGAGCCCAGCCCAGAAACAACCGCCAAACTCGATGCGCTTACCAGGGAGAGGGAGGAGCTAAAAGCCGAGGTCAGACAGCTCAGGCAACAGCTAGAGAGCATCCGGGGATCACCGGACGAAACGGTCGAACAATTAAAATCGGAGCTCGAGGAGGCCAACTCGGCAAAAGAGCAGGCGGAAGAACAGTACCAAGGCCTCCTCGAGCGGGTGAATCAATTGAAGACCACACTCGGCGACCGGCTGAAGCGGGACCGCGCCGAGCTGGAAGAAGCGAAGGAGCGCATCGACGATTTGGAATCGCAAAACGAACAGCTGCAAAACAGCACCAGGACGCAACAGGACGAGATCACCAAGCTGAAGGAAGAGCTGCAGGACGCGTCGAGGGAGGCTACAAGCCTCCGCAGCCGCAGCAACCTCTCGCAGCAAAACTGGGTGAAGGAAAGGGATGAACTCGCCAAGCTGGTCGTTCACCTCAAGGAGGAGGTGGAGACGACCACCAACGCGATGAGCGAGTGGGAAGTCATCGCCATGGAAGAGCGGTCCGTCAAGGAGAGCCTGCTGGAGAAGGTGTCGGAGTTGGAAGACCAGCTGACGAACCTGCGCGAGGCTTACGAGAATGCGGTCGCCGACCGGGACAGCCACTCAAGGTCGGTCGACAGCCTACAAAAAGCACTCGGCGAGATCCAGGAGGCCAGGAAGAAGGAGCTACGCGATGTGGTTGAGACGTCTGAGGAGCAGATTCAGACCCTGAAAAAGCTGGTGCAGGAAGCCGATGCCAGGGCGGCCGAGGCCGAAGCTGCGAGGGGGAATCTCACCAAGGAGCTGGAGCGGACCGCGCCGTTTGAGAAGGAAGTCAAGGAGAAGAACCTACTCATTGGCAAACTACGACACGAGGCCATTGTGCTCAACGACCATCTTACCAAGGCACTGCGGTACTTGAAAAAGACAAAGCCGGAGGATAACGTGGACAGGTAAGGTGTTTTTCTCGTGGATATTTCTTTTACAAGCCGAGCCCTTTTCTTTCTGTGCCCTCATACTGACATTCTGTCTTTGTTCCCCCCCTCTCCCCCTTTTCGCAGGCATATCGTCACGAACTACCTCATCCACTTCCTCACCCTCGACCGCTCCGACCCCAAGCGCTTCCAGATCCTCCAAGTCATGGCCGGCTACCTGAACTGGACGGACGAGCAGCGCGAGCAAACCGGCCTCGCGCGCCCGGGCACCTCGGCATCCGGGGGCCTGCGCATCCCGTCCTCTCCCTTCCACCGCACCCCCAGCACCCCGTCCCTGAGCGCCGACTTCTTCAACGACACTGCCTCCACCGCCTCCGCCGCCAACAAGGAGTCGCTGGCCGAGCTGTGGACGGGATTCCTCGAGCGCCAGGCGCAAGAGGCGCTCAGCCCTCTGGATTTTGAGGGTCCCGGTCGCGGAGCGGAGAGGAAAGGCAGCACGGCCAGTTCGGCTCCGAGGCCGGAAACCAGAGGGGGTTAGGTAAGACTTGCCCTCGATGGAGCTCTTTTATGATCTTTTGTGGGAGTGTTCCCGTTCTGCTTGAGTGCATTGCACAGGTGTTGGTGGCTGGGAACTTGTATGTCTTCTCGGCAGCGCGGAAGGGAAGCGGAAGTGAAAGTGAAAAGAAAGGAAACGATTATGATTCATCTGGATATGTGTCTGTGTATACGGTTTGCAGTATGTAGTGGAGCAAAACCCGCCGGCAGAGGAGTGAATGGATTGGATGAATGGGGGGCCCCGTGGCTGTTCATGTTCCAGATTTTGTGTCGCGCAGTTGGATGGTTGGGGTAGGGAGAGGGAGGTTGAAGCACCCAAAAGGACACGATGCCTCCTGGAAAGACAGCTGAGCAGACAGTCAATGATACAGACAACCATATGGCCATATGGTGGCGTAGGAACGTGAATCTGTTGGAACTCATCGAAGCAGTACTCAAGGCTATATAATTCGTATACACCTTCCCTGGGTGTCATGATGGGCCTCTATCCTGTCTAAAGCAAACGCAACTCTCCAGATGCTCGGGGACGGGTCGAAGATGGGCTTCCTGTAAGACCCTCCAAGAGACGTCTATCAGTAATGTACTTGTAAAAAAGAAAAAAAGAAGAAGAAAAAAAGAAAAAGAAAAAAAAAAAACACGCCCCAAGCCAATCTTATCCCACCATTGTCACGGGCGCTTCGCCTTCCTTCGGCGGAGGCTGCAGCGCAGCACGGACATATCCCTCAGCCTCGCTGTTGATCTTCTCGAGATCGACGCGGCCGCTCCCGATAGCATCATTCACGGACTCAGCCACCTCAGGCTCCTGCATAACCTCGCCCATGAAGCGCGCGTCGCGGGCCCACCAGGCGTCGGAGCGGGACCTCAAGTTTTCGTCCCACGCGGTGGCGCTGCGGACGAAATACAGCGCGGAGACGCGGCGGCGCACCAAGGTGATGCCGCGGGCCAAGCCATCGACGCGGGCGGCGGGGGAGGCGGCGAGGGTGGAGAAGGCGCGGTTCGTGGACGAGAGGTAGAGGACGAAGGCGAGGCCGGCGTCCAGGGCGGCGAGGGCGACGAGGCGCAGGGCGCGGGCGGACCAGAAGTAGAAATCGAGCTCGGAGAGGCGGAGGGCGGCGGCGTTGGCGCGCGCGTCGTAGGCGCTCAGGAGGTAGACGTCGAGCAGGGCCAGGCCCACGACGGCGAGGGTGACGCGCGGGCGCCAGCGGGGGCCGTGGTGGCCCGAGAAGAGGCGGGAGGTGGCGGCGGCGAGGACCAGGAGGTTGAGCACGTGCGGGGCCAGCAGGGCCGGGAGGGCGTAGTAGAAGTAGGAACCTGGGTCGTCGGAGGAGCAGAAGGGGCAGGCGGCGAGAACGTCCGGGCCGTACTGGAAGTAGAGGAGGCGGGATTCGAGGTTGACGAACTTGGACCGGAGGGCTTCGTCGTCGGGGGTCAAGACGTTGTCGGGGCGGAGGGAGCGGAGGCGGTTGAAGAGCACGTCGGTATTGATTTGGAGGCGGGATTGTGTCGCTTGAAAGACGTTCTCGGGGGCGAAGAACGGAGTGGACCGGACGAGAAGGAAGAGGGCGGTTGAGGCGAGGAGGGCGAGGACGCCTTGGATATGTGCGGGAACGGCCACGATGGGGAGGTTGGCACGGGCGCGGGCGGCGCGGAGCGACTTGTAATAGCCTATGGCTTTGGGGAGAAGGATAGGTCCGAAGAAGATGGCTAAGGAGCGGATACTAGAGAGAAAAATAAAGACATGGTTAGAGACGTCGGGGGTCATCATCATCTCTGGTAGCTATAGACACTCTGGCTTTGGAGATGTTGGAGAACGACTTACTTGGCCCAAGTCAACGCCATGATGGGGGAGAGTGTCGCCGAGGGTTTAAGGTGATGGAGTTGATGGTGTTTCCAGAGGAGGATGGTCTACCTCGACGACAGTCCTATGGAGAGCATGAATGCGAGGTTGATTGAGTTGGATGTCGTACAAAGAAGTACGAATACGATACCTCGTAATATTCGTACCGAAAGGGGCAATGTGGCTGGCGTTTAAAGACAGGGAGACGCGAGGCTGTGGTGAGGCGTGAGGCTGCAAGGAGTGGGTCTGGGGACGACAGGGGTTAAAACGGCGAGGTGTCAAATGACATCAGAAGGTACGTACTCAGTAACTCGGCGGGCAAAACAAAGAGCTTTTTGACATTCGTTGTTGTCTCCTAAGGTACCTATTGATTGTACTGGGTACCTAATCCGTGCCATAAACAAGAACGCATTACGCATTTTAGGCAAATACTGTTTTTGACAGATGCGGACAGAGTAGTTTCAACAAGTATCCGTGCAATCCACCCATGCCACGAGTTCAGTCTGAATAAGCGAAGCAGGCAGCGTCATATAGGGCATAGACATTAATTAATAAGTATTCAGAAATACACAGACCAGGCATCTTGACCTTCCATTCCTTTTTTATCGTTTTGTTTTCCCAAGGAGAGTTGAGAGAAGTAGGAGAAGACCAGAAATTCGTTCCACCATTGCCATCCTTAAATGCTTCCCCACCCAACGGAAATCCATAGAAAATCGGTAAAACCCCTTTTTTTGTTTGCCTTTTTCACTCTTCCCCAAACGCCCAGCATTGAACAAAAGGGAAAACAATAAAGAAGAAGCCAGTTGAGTGCTAAAAACAGCAAAGAAGCAAGTACAAGTGACGTTCGGGAACCCCGCTATGCTGTAGGCAAATGCTATGCTGTACGGTGCTGTGCTGTTGTCCATGTCGTTCAAAATCGTTGGACTCCAAAGTGACGGCCCCGTACACCCAAAATCAACGGGCACGTATGAGATGGGAAGAGAAGGGGGGGGGGGGTCAGAAAAGAAAAAAACCCACGCCAGGGAGAAAAGGGGTATCGCAAGTCCTCAAAGTTTCCGACCAAACATGAAAGATCCATACATACCGCCCACCTCCGAACGAGCCACAGGGATCTTGCGCATACCCCAGTGGTCGGCGCCCATCTTCCACCACCGGTGGCCGCGGTCGTTGCCCTTGTCGAGTCGGACGATCCAGTACCGGCTACCAATTTCCCGCAGCGACCATCCGACGCGTTCCAGAGTCAGGCTACGCGACAGGCTCTTGAACGCCGTTTCCGACACTTCGATGACCTCAAGAGGCCGGGACTGGTCCTGGAGAAGAAGGCAGCACTTCTTGGAGAAAAGGTGCGTGAGATTTAGCTCGTTGCCCCAGAGATCCGAGAGGTCCAAGAACCGCACCGTCGAGGGGCCTTCTTCTTCGGGCTCTTCGCCTTTCTTTCCTTCCTTCTCCTCCTCCTCGTCCCCGCCTTCTTTCGCGTTGGTTTCGCCCGTGTTCGCCGGACATAGCAGCTGCGAGGCTGCGAGGACGTCCATGTTGCGTCCCACCGAAAGCTCCTCCAAATGCTTCGTCAACGGTCGGAGCAGCTTGAGATGCGAATCGGTCATCTTGCTGCCTTTCAGACTCAGCGACCTGAGCGTCTCAGGAAGGAGCGGTATGAGGGCCGAAACGTCATCCTCGCCCAAGAGCTGGTGACTGCGTGCGTCCGCGGCCACGCTCAGGTAGACAAGCGTGTACTTGACGGCCGGGTGCGTGGCAAAGAAATTGATGACGTTGGGAGCCGTCAGCAGGGTGCACTTGGCGAGGTTCAGATGGGTGAGTCTCGCAGTGTGCGGAATGGACTCCAGAGCCTTGTCGGTCACCCTGGTCTGAGCGAGGTCCAGGTGGGTAACTTGCGCCAGGCGAGGGAAGATCGTCTCGAAGATGGAAGACGGCAGCGTGAGACACTTGTGGAACGACAGGCGGGTGATGGAGAGCGTATCGGGCCACGGCAGCCCTAGGAGCGACGTAAACGAGGTCCGGAAGGCAAACGACGTGCAACCCGCGAAATCGAGAGCTTGCAGTCTCGGGAGACCCATGACGAGCTTCTTCAAGACTTCGGGGCCCAGGTCGTCGTCGATGTGCTCCATAGCAAGGAACTCCTGCAGATGCGGCGTGAGTTCGAGGCACTGCAGGAGGGTCTCGGACGTCAAGTTCTTGGTCGTCTTCCGCTGGCTAGCCGACTCGAACAGGGTGGCATTGTTGAAGTGGCTGAAGTCCATGCGGCGAATGATAGTGCCGAGAGCGGGATGGTTCGCAATGTTGGCCAGGAACTTGCGGAAGATCCTGGAGTGGGGGACGGTAATGTTCCTGTACAAGGCATTCAGCGTCGCCCCATGCATGGTCCTCGAAGTCAGGAGGAGTGACATGAGGTCCATGTTACGGCGGGTGATACCGTTGATAGGGGGGACATCAAGTACTAGGAGCTCGATGATGGCGCCTACACACCAGCACAAAGTCGTGTCAGCTTTAGTTTCATCGTCATACCACAGCCCACAGCCCACAGCCCACAGTCACAGCCTACACACGATAGCAACAAACGTACCTAGCAGCTCGAGGGGTAGCTTCTCGATGGGTGCTTGGCCAGGCGGAGTCCGGTTCTTTCCCTTGGGCGCCGCAGCAGGAGGGGTGCTCCAGGCCATGTGCAGCGCCTGTAGGTCACCAAAGCTCCGGCTGGCCGTCTTGCCCTTGACGTTGATCTGCTTCCATCCTCGGAAATTGTTCGCGGGGAACCAGTTGCCGTGGAGCTTACTGCTCGGTTTAGTGACGGGAGGGACGAACTGGACCTCGGTGGTCATATCCGGGGTTTGTGGCGAATGGGAGCGGGTGGTATCAGGAGAGTCGTCGGCAACGATGGCGACGGCGTTCTCAAAGTCCTGTAAGAGGGTAGAGACGGCAGACGAGGTGAAGGCCTGTGCAGGACCACAGCTATCTTCGCGGATGGATGAGAAGGATGAACGTCCGTTTTTCTCTGGGGTAGCTGAGCGGCCGAGGAACTCGGGGGAGTCCATTTTGTATTTGGGCTGGGGGTAGTGGATCTCTAGACCATGGTCCGTGGAGGATGGCCCGTGGACTTGTGAGGTCGGTGTAGGGCGCATGCTATGGTTGGGAAGAGAAAATGGGAAAGGAAAAAAAAAAAGAGGGGGGGTGGACGGGGACCGCTGGAAGCTGTGTGAAGTTACAAGTACTGAGTGTCTGGGAGGTGTGAATGCAGGTAGACAGGTAGGTACGAGGTGCGAAGTGGAGCAGGCTGACCGGGGTAGTGCTCCGTAGCACCGCGAACCTCTAAGAGAGTTTCGATGACTCCCTAAAACAGGAAGGCGAGGCAGGAAAGGTTAAGGGAGGGAAGCGCGACGGGAGCACTGGAGAGCAGTAGCACCAGGGTTTAGTCGAATAGTGCCTCTATTGTCAATTTGTTCGCTGCACGAGGCACGATGTTTTGTCGGTAGAGGTTTGAGAAGCGGGCCGCGCCAGCGTTGAAGGAGCCTTCGATTCGCCCGGGAAAGCAGAGTGTTATGTAAGAAGAAGTCCAGATGCCTAAGGTATGTTGGCGGGGGATTTCCGAGGGACCCAGGTTGCGCAATGGTCCGAGACACAGACGTACAAGGACTGTGGTGAAGACGACTTCGAGGGTGGGAGTGGGAGTGCGAGTGTGAGTGTGAGCGCGAGCGGATGGAACCTGAAGGTGGCAGCCGCTGAGGTGACGTTGGTGAGAGAAGGCGTAAAAGCCAGTGGCGGGTGGCCAAAGGGAAAAGGTTCAAGATGAACCGAGGGTACCTTATGTATTCTGCACGGATATCTGCAAGTACGTTGTACTTTGTAGTGCAACAAGTTCTGAACGAGTTGAGCCCAACAGCGGTGGACTGGTAAATAGAGATAATTAGACGCCGGTCAAGATTGGCATTGACATGGGAGAGTGAAGCTGTCGGCGACAATGAGTTGTGGAAATGTGAAATGGTCTGGCAGCGAGAGCACGGCCAAGGGTCACGTTGGATGTTGGATAATTACCTTAGAGGAAGCACGGTGTATGGAAGTACAACGTACGGAGAGATGGATTGGACTGGGGCTCGGATGTGGATGCGGATGTGGATGTGGATGTGGATGCGGATGCGGATGCGGGTGCTGCTAGCGCAGGAGGCGCATTGTTGACAAAGCCAAAGTAAAGGAAGAAGAGAAAAAAAGAGGAAGAAGTTTGCCTGGTGTGGTTTTCTCGCGTTAGTTTACCGCCTTGGCCTTGTCGAGACTTCGAGACCACAAGACTTTAATACAGGGTAATCGAGGGGAACCGAGGGGGTACGATGAGGGGATGGGTTTCTCTTTGGCAAGAATTGGGTAATGAAAATCCATGGATGGACCATTTGCTGTGGTCACCTGAGCTGTCAAAGAAAAAATCCCCCCTCCAACAGCAGTAGCCCGTGACCACGATGGGGACGGCTCTGCGACGGAAAGACAAGGAGAAGACGAGAGGAGGGGCCGCTTTTTTCTGCCGACTTGTTGACCTTTTGGTCTTGTCAGGAACCAAAGAACATTCGGAAGGACTCACCACTTAGGTATTACTCTTAGGTATTTGCCCCAGTCGTAAGGATACAAGGACGAAGTACTCGTGTGCGTTGAATGAGATTGTTATTCGGCTTTGAAATGCCACAGAAGACGATACGTTTTAGCCAGCCTATTGACGCTTTGCAGTGTATTACGCTGTAGAAGCTTCGACAGTCGTGTACGGAGTAGAATGGTCAATTGGTGTGTTATAAACAGGTCATAGCGATGTCAGGTTCATCACTACCTAAGGTAAGGTAGGTAGATTTTATGACAACCGCACCACATCATCCCGGGTCCGGAATTCCCAGCCCAATCCGATGTATCGGCCAATGGTACTCCGTACCCGTACCGTGTACAGTTGTCGTACGAAGTACCCCGAATGGGTGGCACCACGCCCGACACCCGACATGCCTTCCACGCCACGCAACTTGCGTGCTGGTTTGTGTGATCCATGCCTGGGGCCCAAGCCACCGATTCCTTGTTACGAGTTGATTGCCCATGACACAACGCCGTCAAACAATAACTTGGTAAACACACCGAGTCTTCCGACTCATCTTCAATTATTATTTCCAACCCGATTGAGACTCAATTATTTCGTCATCTCACCTGCGAAGGATAACACTTTTCCGCGGAAGAATTCTTGGAGAGAACAGACGAACCTTACCGGTGCTACCCGAGTCTGCCGATTTCATTTATAGGATCCAATTCTTTTCTTCCGTCTCGCTCTTGCAACGTGTATCTATGCCTAACTAAAGGATAAACAGGTTTATTATTTCGGGTCGAAAGATGTGCACGAAGTGTTTCCCAGCCTTGGATATCAGTGATGCGAAAAGGGAGCGTTTGGCTACCTTAGGTATGTAAACCCAATGCATACAACGTATACCCCGTACTGTACTTCCTTTGTAGTACGACTATGTCATATCGAGAACCTTCTTTCGTCCTCGCGAACTTTTGCCTCGTATGTAATGACATACTCGTAGGTTATTTTCGCGACTGTAATAAATGACAAACACTGTGCCTGCACTACCTAAGGTAATCAAGACTAACAGACAGTATGTACATACTGAGTAGAGGCACCAAGTAATAAGTCTTTTGCTGGTCCAGTGTCTCGTCCAAGTCCTCGATGCGGTTGTCTTCGGTTTATACCTTAACCCACGAGGTACCTCTTTTCCCTATACGCAACTTACCTTATTAGGTAAGGTAAGGTAATTACCAGCCAGAAAGGTGGACACAAAGTATTACCCACCACACAGGGTCATCACCAAGTACATATGAATGGATTACCTACCTAGGTAGAAACACGAAACTCGACCAAAGCACAGGTGCATGATCCGGATTGTCGTATCCGTACGAAAGTATGCACTTTTTCGTATAACGTGGTAGGTATACCGATGCAGCTCAAGGTTTCTGTTGCCCTCTGCACGTGCGTTCGTCTGTTGAACCACGTCTCTCCAGCCCCTGCTCAAAGCCCCCAAGCTCCGGGACGATTGCCGGGAAGAGATTTTTCAAAAATGGAATCAAAGGGACCCTGGTCCTAGCTTGGTTAAGCTTCTTTGGCTTTCTTTGTTTCTTTTAATTACCTAAGGTAGTTTTAGCTTCTTCCCATTTGTTCGGCGTCCTAGCCGAAGGTTTTTTTACCCCGGATCTTCGTTCATCCACGCCCGACGTACACTTATCCAGCACTTGCGTCTTGTCCCTTACAGAGGCATGACATGGCGTCGAGACCATTGCCAGAAACATCATTGGGCCGTTCCTGTTGCCACACCTCTTCATGATGTCTCCCAACGTGACCTCCTCTCCTCCAATCCATCCGTCCTCAGTATTCATGGGACAGTTTGCTGTTGAACCTGTCCCGAGAAGCTTCTGGAACCTTCATTTTCTCGAAGAGGGAGGGACAGATGGCACGTTCAATTCACACGTTCAATTCACTCTTCAGCAACCAATCCCCATAGCACGAGGCCGGCCACCTTTCTAATGGTTCCATTAGGTCCGTATGCATACCCTCCTTCCCATGCCATGAAACGTCACAGGAGTTAAAAGTCAACCGGCGCAATGGAACAACACTCGGCCGTTTCAAGACCCAAAAACCTGCCTGGGAGTCTCCGTCCCGATGTGCCCCGCCACCGGGGCGTTGGACGTCCTGTCGCCACCTAGGTAGGCCCTGTATGACAGCAACGCCAGGTATCAAAATGCCGCAAACGATATAGCAAATGCATGTAGTCGTCCACTACCAAGTCTTCCGACCAACGCCAACGGTGAATGAGCAGGATGGTTGTTCACTCGAGATCTCAAACTCTCATGTCGTTAAGAGGGTATATGTATACAAGGGATCTCGTGGGATCTCGTTGAACGGCAACGAATGTCCTCGAGGCTCGGCAAAAAGCAATAAGATGGGACGCAAAGAAAATGGGAAGGAAAACGCTTCCGCTCCTTGTCCGACGGAGGTGCAAACTCGATGTTACCTGCCGTTGACCTTTTTGCCGTTGGCTGCCAGTCGCTTTTTGCAAGGCTCGCAATACCATTTGGCTAAGTATTGTATTAGCCGAAACCCTCGCCTTTCATGTCTCGTGGAAATCTAGGGAACAAAAAACCAGGGAAGAAAAGAAAAGAAAAAAGGGAACTCACCATTTCCTTTGGGTGCAACTTTGAGCCCCACGCACTCGAGATGAAACCATTCGCGCTCACAATCGTCCGCGTCGCATGCCACCATTTCGCCGTAGCTAACGCTATTGCAATAGCAGTATAGCGGTTCATCCGCGTCGATTTCCGCTTCCTCGTCATCTCCCTGCACGCTGCCCGTTGTGGCCTCGTCCCCCGTCTTGCCCGCTGGGGGTTGGTTTGAGTTCGAGTTTGTGTTTGTGGACGACGTCGTCGCGGTCTTCTTCTTCTTGTTCGCGTCCTTGTTCTCCAAGTTGCGGGCCGCTCTCGACCGTGCCGCCGCAGCCTCCTGGAAGGTGGCCAGCGCCGGGGTGGATAGTTTGCTGGCTCGCCCGCTCTTGATCACGGTCGGAGCGCTGGCAGGCGGGGCCGCCGGCTCACTCTTGCGCTCTCCGTCCTCGGGCTTCGGCGCTTCTTTCTTGTTCGGCGCCGAGTGCACTGCGGTGCCCGCTTCGGCCGGCTCAGGTTCCTTCCCTGCCGGCTCCGGCTTAGTCGGCGCAGGTGGATCCTTGTTCGCCTTCTGCTCTGCGCTCGCTGCGCTTGTCGGACCCGCTAGGTCTGGTGTACCCGGCACGGCGCCGTTGGGCTTATTGGAAGCAGACGAAGACGGTCTGAGTTTGGAGTTGTCCGCCGCCGACTGAAGGGAGTTTTGCCTCGCTCGAGAGGCTGTTGCTGGTTTCACAGGAGGAGCAGGCGAACCGCGAGGCAACTTGGGGTCGGGCAACACGCCAATGACAGGAGACGATGCGAGGGAAGGGGATTGGGCGCCGGCGCCGTTCCTGGAAGTGACCAAGTCTGCGTCAGTATGCAGTGGACGATACATGGCGTACAGTACAGTAAAAAGCTTACCTCTTCTTCGACTGACCGCTGCCGCTGGGCAGCGCCTTTCTTTTCTTGGGTACTTCTGGGACTGGGGTTGCGCTAGGACTGGATGTCTTTGCCTTGGACGCGTCGTTTCCGAAGACGCTGGCCATGGCTCGCTCGGGGGGTGCATTGTCGGGGGCCGGTTTTTCCACCTTGCGCCGCTTAGGCTGTGGAGGGTTGCCATTGCTTGTGCCGTTGGTCGTGATGCCTAATCCCACGCTGCTGGGGGCTTCGACGGCCCTCCGCACCTTATTCGAGCCCTTCTTGCTGGAGTCTGCTTTGTGATCGTCGAAATCCGACTCTTGATGTGGTGTTTTGTGGCTTCGCTTCGCGTGTGTTGCATGCTTCTTCGCGTCGGTCCGTGCAGCGGCCTCTTCGGCCAATACTTGGGCAGCGGCAGAGATGGCAGCAGCACCTTCACGCCTTGTCCGTTCGGCCTGGGCAGCTTTGCTTCCAACCCTGTTCTCGGGATACGCCCAGTGCGTTGTACTACCCCACTTCGCCTCCTCGCTGAACTCGTTCTCGACGTAGGGCCAGACTTCGTCAATGCGAGCGAGTTGTTTTTGGAGAGCGTCGTTGGCACTCGAGATTACGTGGTTCTTCTCTTCCAGTGACCCGAGCATCTCTTGGATCTTGTATGCGGTTTGCTGATAGAATTGCCGTCGAACGTCGTGATGGGGGTCGGAAGCGGAGGGAGCCTGAGAGCCCCTTGTAGACTGCCCTGCGTGTGTAAGGCTACTGGGACCGGCGCTGCTCGAGCTATTCTGCGCGCTCATTGGCACCGACGCAGGGGCGCCGAGGGAGAACATTTCGTTGGGCGGTTGTTGCTGCGCAGGAGGCGCGTTCATAGCAGCGTCGACGAGTTGGAAGAGATCCTCCTCGGGGACGAAGATTTTGGCATCGACCTCCTTGAGCAGGGTGAAATGTCGGACGAGCTCTTTGGGTAAGGCGGTTATCGCATCGGCGAAGTGTGTTATAGCCGGGAAGATCTCGATGGGGTGGTCGGGGGCCGGCCCGCTGGCAAGTGGTTCGCGTCCGTTGACGGTTCCTCGAAAGTTAGAGACACGCGGCGGATTTGTCCTCGTCTGTCGAACGGGTTGCGCCCTGCGGCCGGATGAGCCGTCCATGGGAGGGGGTTTCGCAGATTTCATACTGAAAGGCGGGAGACGGCGATGATTTTGAATGTATGTCGGGTCGCAGAGGGGAAAAGAGGACGAGAGCGGATGTGAAAGATTGCGGTTGGTTGAAATGATTGGGAGGATGAGGGTTCGTCTGTCCACGAAGAACCGAGATTGGTTTCAAGTCGCTCAGATCATGTTGAAAGTGAAAATGTCTATGCAAGCTGCTTTCGGCTCACCTGAGCTCGTACTTGGCCAGTGGATGCGAGGAGGATACAAAACGAGGAGCATCGACGATGTGCAGGTGCCCGTCAGTCAATGGAGGGCGGGAGAAGAGCGGATACAGCAAGCTGGGGTCGGCAGAATTCTAAGCCACTGCGCGGTCAGTGGATGGATGTACGTACCTTGTACCCTGATTTCAAGGTTACGCGCTTCGCTTATTAAGGTACGGAGCCTAAGGTATCCGGAGTGTAGAAGTTATCGGCGACGATACGCATACGCCCAGCATCGGATAAATTAATGGCCGGCGCGTGGGTTGGGAAACCCGCATATCCGGACGACATTGTTTCCACTGTGTACCTGATATTTGAGAATGTGTGAGATCTGACGTCAATGGTCAGGACCTGGAACAAAAGTTCGACGAAAAATGAAGCCTTCAAACGCCGTCATCGTCACAGTTCAAGGGCTCATAATATAACCAAGCCTGAAGTAAATGAAGTAAATGATTGGGGAACGGCAGCGACAGGAGCCCTAGATACTTCTAAAGTGCATGATGTAAGGTATGGCTGAAAAGAGACTCGAAATATGAACTGGCGGGATATGGAAGAGAAACGCCCCTAACAGACAAGAAAAGTACAGACCACGACATTGTTGATACGCATACCATACCATCAAGGAGCCCCAAATAGACCTGCTGTGGTATCATTTCATGCCAACGTGTAGTTTTCTAAGAGCAGCTAAGCAGTACGTAACACCACCGAGCAACCAAGCACCAGGCTAGGTACTCGTGGCACCCGACAAAAAAAAACCCGAAGCCAAAAAAAAGGGGGGAACGAAAAAAAAAAGCCCATCAAGATCGCGCATCTCTCGCCCACTGGTGCTTGATTCTTGTGGAAGTATGCATTCCACCATATCATTACCTCGAATGAATGCGCCGCAAATATGCGACTTAGACTGCTTTCACCACCTTTCGGGTCCTCTTCTTTAAAGGACGTTCGTCTCTCTCTACCTGCTTCAAACGCCACTGCCATTCGAGGAGAACGGGAATCCAGTGGTGCAAATCGAATTCGGGCCACAAGCAGTCCAGGAAGAAGATGTGGGTATCCTGGTGACACTGCCACAGCATAAAATCACTGAGGCGTTCGACGCCGCTTGTCCGCACAAATATATCCAGGGGAGGGTCGTCGGCCGTGTACATGTGACTATTGAGTGTCTCGGTCGTGATTGTCTCGGGGTTCTTGAGGAGTCTTCTTCCGTCAACCCCAGAGTGTATTTCGGGGGGCGAGGAGGGCGACCCAGGGGGGAGGGTAGTAGAGGACGATGTCGTTCCGTCATCAGCGTCGGACCGAGAGGACGGTGCCGGGGAAAAGTCGCGAGACTTAGTCGGAGTCTCGGCCCTGTCCTCTTTTTCGTCTAGTTGCTTCGATAGGATCTTCTGGGTGATGCGTGAGACAGGAAACGCGGTGTACTTGGGTTCAGGCGGCGTCATGTAGTCCTCTACTGTGGACCGAATCGCGGTCGCCATCTCCTCTCGAGATGTATACGGGAAGCAGATGTTGAGAATGGCCCTAGGCTTGTCAGCGACGCTCTAGGCCGGAAGACTGGCGGTTAATGGATTGCTCACTTCTTGTTTCCCGTGGTCATATTCACGGCGCGGTCGACAACCTCGAGGACATCCTGCGGGAGTAGATCTCTCTGGCCGATGACACGGACAGCGGCTCCATATCGGTCCAGAAGATCCCCATGGTGCGTCAGTTGTTCCAATTTGACCTTGGCCAGTTGCATTAGGCCATCTACTTCATATTGAGGGCGGTTGAAGTTCTCGATGCTAAACGCATAGACCGTGACGACCCGGACTCCCGACTTGTAGCAGATTTCGAGGACCTGGGCACAGGATTGATTTAGTCACCGGATTTTCGAACAGCATCATGGCTGGACCAAGTGTGGGGGGCCAGCACTCACTCGCGCAAGGGCTTCAAAGCCATGATGATGGCCTTCGATGGTCTCCATTCTCCTACCGCGCGCATACCGCCTATTTCCGTCCATCTCGAATGCCACATGTTGAGGTACAGGTCCCTGCTTCAGGGCGCCAATCAACAGCTCTCTAAGCTGACTGATTGCCCATTCTGCGGGAGGTGAGCTTAGCAGCCATTTGCCGATGGTGCCAACAATTTCGGACATTATCGCCCGGGGAGAAGGAAGCTGGATGAAATAGAGGTCGGAGGATCGAGGGAAACTCTAAGGTGGTGGGCGTTCCAAAAAGAAAGATCTAATGCTTATCGCTCCGCCGAAAAACGAACGTCATAGGTAAACAAGTATACGGTTCGATTAAAATAAAAATAAACGAAGAAGATCCACTTAGATATTTAGCAGAAACCAAGCTAGAGAAGAACAGTTGGGGGGTACTTGGTAGAGTTGCCACGACCACCAAGAAGAAAGAGGAGCATGGCCTCAAGTGCGCATATGCCCAGAGCTTCGAATCAGCCATGTGGTGAACATCGGTGGCCGGATACGCGTCGGGACATTACGTACTCCAACCCCAGCCGCCGCTTCCAAGGATTCCAAGTTTGTGGCTGTGTTGATTGAACATGTCGCTTCGTTGTAGGCCGGAAAGTGTCTTCAAAGTCTTGAAGCTAAGGTATGAGCAACCACTACGGTAAATACGTAAATATTCCGGCGCTTTCCACTTCAATGGAGCTCCGAAGTTAGCTATGCCCTTTTTTTTAAACCATCTTTTTCTTTCTTACCTTGGCCCGAGATTGCAACTCAAGAGTGATATGATTGTGCATCGTGGCGGTTTAACAAGCTGTGGCACATAGAGCCACTAAGGATTGATTACGTAAGCCATATCGGAAGCTATTGCATCATCCCGCCGGAGGCTTCGATCTCCCAGCTGGGTTTGACCACGGTGGCTCCATTGACTTGACGAATCGACGAGAACATAGGCGAAGGCCAGCGACCACCGCTTTTGAGTCGATCGCTGACGGTGTTGTACGAACTATTGGCAATCGAGCGACCTTTTCAGGCAAGAGCACAGAGGACATCCATCACTTAGACGTGTCTTAAGAAGCTGTCTAGGTCCAACGACTTCAATTTGCCGCCTTCCATGATACGATGTTAATGTCCGCACAACCGTCCGCCCCGCCAACATGTCATTCGCGAATGCGCCGGTGACGCGTACGCTTGTCCTCGGGCTGGTGTCGTCCTCGACCTTGGCCAGTCTATTCGACGTAAAGCATTGCTTCTACATTCTCGTGGACACCCACTTCTGGCAGTACCGTCAGTTCTGGCGCACGCTAAGCTACCAGCTATGCTACACAAACTCAACCGAGGTGCTCTTTGCCTCCATGGCATTGTATAACATGAGGATTCTTGAGCAGATGTGGGGGCCAAGGAAATATGCCGTGAGTAACCCTGTGGACATCTGGTGGTCGCCGCATCGGCTCTGACTTGGCTGTTCGCGCAGTCGTTCGTTCTCGTCAGCTTCCTTCTGACGTCCTTGATCACGCCCACCTTACTGTCCCTCTTCCTACGGCCTCTGACCATTGGGTTGTTCAATTACTTGCCGGCCGGGCCGACGCCCGTCATCTTCGCTATTCTTGCGCAGTACCATGCCATCGTCCCGCACATGTACAGGTACCGCGTGGCGGCATCGCCAAGCCAGCAACCAAACGAGACATCACCCAGCCTCACCTTCTCCGACAAGTCGTACCGCTACGCTTTGGCTATTCAGCTAGCTCTGTTCCAGTGGCCCGGCTCCTTGCTCGGCGCGCTGGTGGGCTGGGTTGTGGGGTATGCATGGAGGAACGACTTGCTCCCTGAAGCCTTGATGCAGTGCAGGGTGCCGGGATGGGTTGTCGGAATTAGGACGCAGAGGAGGCGAGACGAGTTCGAAGGGCTGAGGAGAAGATTGGAGGGGGAGAACACAGGTGTCGCGTCCGGGTCACAAGTTCCCGTGGATGGAGGGGTCGCGACGCAACGGACTGTTCCTCAGGAGATGCGAGACCAACTCAGGGGTCTGATATAGGACTGCGCGGGCGTTCTATATCTCTGCTAAAACACGGCTAGTCCAGAGTTGAGGGAGCAAAAAAAGTCTCTGCGGAGATAAAAGGCCATATTTTCTAGAAAGAGATACGACATATACCACAATCAAAAGCTCCGAGAGTCACCCCAGATTCCGACGCCGCTGCACTGTCTTCTCCAGCACAGATAAATCGCAGGTAGTTGTACCTTGGTTATCAATATAATGGAAGGTTGATACAATATGCTTCACGCACTCTTCATTCGAGGAAGTGCGGTTGAATCAGGCTGGAAATATCTTCCTCGTCTGGATCGCATCGATGCATAAACAGACAGTGGATTTCAAGCTGCGCGTCGAAAAGCGAGATTGCGAACTTTTGAAAGATTCGAGTAGTGAATTCTCACAAGTATCGAGTGCGACAGTTTTATATATTTATATATTTATATATCATCATGAAAGCAGCAAATCTTGATCTTCTCCCATCCAACTGTACCTAAGGTAGAAGAAGGCTGGCGAGGTCCTTACCTGGCACCTATCCCGCCCCAGCCACCCCAGCCATAAGTAAGGTACCTATCCACACCGACGAGCCACCAGATAGGGACTAGCGGCCTACTGAATTGCCAATCGTCACCTCCCACATCATGCCGATCAGGTCCCCGTACAATGTATTCACCCCACCCTATAAGCGGGCTTTCAGGGGCACATGGGCCTATTTTGGAAGTCATCAGGGGTACATAAGTTAAGGTATACATACGGGATTCATCAGGAAGAGAAAGACGCCCGCAACGGCGGGAAGATAATTAATTACCCAGTCAATTTTCCAGCCACCCCTGGTTCTACACGACATCTAGTGGGCTCCCAAGTTCTTTCAACGCTCCTCGCGATTATCAAACTCGTTTTCGTTCCTTTGACTAGTTTTCGAATTATCGAATCTTGTGTCTTGGAGCGCGATACGGTCTTTGCCTCGCTGAGCAGCCTCCCTCCTCCTCCTCCTCCTCCTCCTCCTTCTCCTCCTCAGCCACCCTCTGTAAATCATAATTACTATCTATAGCAACCTCGGACAGTTCCTCGATCGACGACAGTTTCAAAGCGCAATCGACGTTTCAACCACTCTTCCATCTACAAGTTTGAAAAACAGCAACGAGCATACACTTTATGCATTATTTCTCTTGACGGTGGATCCTGAATAATGTGGTAGGGCGACTGTTTTGGGGGGCCAGTCACAAGCATGGATGGGTACTCTGCAATGAGGGACCCTGACGACTATGGGCCGGAAATCCCGTCGGCGCAGTCGCACGCCTCGAGTGGGAGGATGCCGACCGATGGATATACCAAGGAGATGGTGAAAGCTTTCCGAGGCGACGCGCAGGATGACCATTCAGTTCGTTACCCGTACCAAAGCTATTTGCTCTTTCAAACGTCCCAAGGCAGCTCACGTTAGTGCAGATGAACACAAATCGCCCTCGCGACTCCGCGCTCGTCGATCTCAATGACCCCATACAAGTCCATCTTCTCACCGAGACCGCTCTATCCGACAGCAAGACATACCAAATACTATCGCAGGAAGAGGTCGACGATCTCAAGAAGCAAAGCCAACTCTTGACCCAACGAATCGAACAGACCCGCGCAAACTTGATCATCCAATCCAAATACCGCGATGCTGCCATTTCCGTTGCCAAGCTCTACGGGGCCCAGAGTCAGGAAGGGGGAAAGAGGCCGAGCTTTTCGGATCAGGACAGCGAATCGGCGCGCGAGGCGGAAATGGAGCGTCAGGAGAGCGAGAGGATATGCGAGGAGCTAACATCCGAGCTGTGGAATTTGGAGAAGCGTTTGATGGAGCCGCAGAGGAGGCTTCTCGAACACACCGCCGGTATTCTTCAGCTCACCCACAAGGCATCCAAGAAGGCGGCGTCGGCCGAAAAGAACGTCAGACTTCCGCCTAACCATGGCATACCCGGCAGCCCTGAGAGTCTATACACCTTCTCAAAAGACCGAAATAGCATGGAGGCCGCCGACGATGCGTATTTGGACGGCCAGCATGTTGGTGTTCGAGGGCTCGGTGGGAGCGGTCTCGCCACGAATCTGCCCAAGGAGTTGCCTATCGAACCTCCACAACGGTCACCCATACGGGAGCAGACTACTCAGATACGAGATGAAAATGAGCGGCTCCGGGCCGAGAACGATCAACTTGCTGCCCAGGTTGAAATGCTGTCGACGGATCTTGATGGCCTTCGGGAAGTAGAATCAACGCGCCAACGGTGGATGGCTGAGGCCGAACAGCGAGTCGGGAGCCTCAGCGGGTCTCTTCGGGATGCGCTCGTGAGGCTCGATCCGGAGAAGAAGGGCAACTGCCAGCCGCCACCGTCTGGACCACCCGATGCTGAGAGATCACCGGACCCCGGATCCGTTCTGGACAACCATTTGCACTACCTAGAGCAGGGACTTATGAGGGTCCAAGAAACCCATGAAACTCGGTCATCGGAACAGCTTCGAGACGCCGAGTCGGCCGCCGCCACCGCTTCTATTGCCCTGGCCCAAGCAGAGGCTCGCGTCGATACACTGAATGCCCAGCTAAGAGACCTCCTTGCCACCATCGATCCCAACTACCCGGATCCTCCCGACTCTTCCAACGTCGAACTTGGTGCCCAGTTTGACTACGCAGAAAAGTCTCTACAGGTTGTGGAGGCGGAGCTGGCTCGCGCGGCTGAGACGTCCGCGTCGGGCGCCCTCCAAAGACAAGATGTCGTCGACCAGACCGACGCTGTGCTTGTGGGACTTTGGGAAATCATTCAGAACGGATACGCAGATATTCAGCAGAGGAGGGAGCAGCGCCGCAGGATGCGACAGGAACAGGGCCTAGAACTCGACGAAGAAGACATGTCCGGAGACGACGACGTGGACGCCACCGAGCCGTACACCCTATCCTCCTTCTCGACGAGAGTGCAATGGCTGTACACCCAGGCAACGAAGCTGAAGGACCAGAAATCGGTCCTCAAGCGCCAGATCAAGCAACAGCGCGAACTCAACAACAAGTCCGACTCGGCCAAGGACGCGGAGCTCCGAGCCAAAGATGACGAGGTGACCGAGGTCCGAACACTCCTCCACGAGTCCCAACAGGAAGTTAGGAGGGTGGAAGGCTTGCTGTCGGATGCTTTGAAGAACGCGGAAGACGCCAGCGCCAGGCTTGAGGCCAACCACTCCACCGTCTCCTGGGCGGAGGAGCAGCTTCAGGAACGCGACGCCAAGATAGAAGCGCTAGAGGCCGACGGCAAAGCGATCCAGTCCAGGATGGCGGCCATTACCGCGACCATCCAGCAGATGGAGAGTAGTCTGGACAAGGCGGACGAGGACGTGGCCGCGCTCTCGACCAAGCTGGCCGAGGCCGAGGCGCGGGTGCGGGAACGCGACGCCAAGATAGAAACGCTGGAGGCCGAGGGCAACTCGATCCAATCCAGAATGGCGGCCATTACCGCGACCGTCCAGCAGATGGAAAGTGGTTTGGACAAGGCGGACGAGGACGTGGCCGCACTCTCGACCAAGCTGGCCGAGGCGGAGAAGGCGGTCGAGGAGAAGCAGCAGGAGGCGGACGCCAAGGCCAAGCTGGTCAAGGAGCAGGAGGACGAAATCGAGAGGTTCCACATCATGATCGCCGAGCTCAAGACGGAGCTCACCATTGCGCAGGCCGAGCTGGAGGGCGCCTACGGCTCTCGCAAGGAGAGGGCCGTCGAAGCGGCGGCGCTGAAGAACTCGGCCGAGGTGGGCCAGTTCAAGGCCGAGGTGGAATCGTTGAAGGACGAGCTGGCGGCCACGCTCAAGGAGCTGGAGATCATCACGGCGGAGACGATCGGGGCGGAGCGCGAGAAGCTGGCGGTGGAGACGCGCCTCGACGACGCCCTGGCCGCCCGTGCGGCGCTCGAGCTCGAGGTCGCGGGCCTGAGGGACCGGATCGACGCGGAGGCTCGCACAGCCCACGACAAGATGGCCAAGCTGCAGGAAGAGCTCGATGCCGAGAGGCTGCGGGCCGTGCCGACAGCGGGTGGCTCGGCGGGTGCAAGGCCTGGTGCCGGCGCATCGATGCTGAGCGAGCAATTCAGGGCGACTATGAAGCGGGAACGGAAGAAGTTTCAGGAGGATCTTCGAGTAAGTCCCCCCGTCCTCCAATTTTTTTTTATCCCCCCCCCCCCTTTTTTTTCTTATGTCCTGGGCGAGGGAGACCGGATACTAACGACCGCTGCAGGAGGAACAAGCCAGGAGGCGGAGGCTGGAAGATGAGCTTCAGAAGCTGCGCAAGGCTGTCGGGCCTGGCAAGAGTCCCCTGAGCCCCAGGTAGCGCCTGGTGACAGGGGAGGTCTTCTTCTTGGTGGGTAGGTGGCAAAGTCACGACTTGGCCGAGGAGAATATTGTGCTATGTTATGTGATTTCTTTTTTTTCTTTTTTTCTTCTTTTTTTGGATATCCATGACCTTCGTGTCTTCGCTATATATCATTTCCCAGTCAAATTATTCAGAGGAGAAGGGAGGAGAGCTTCTTTTGCAATTTCTTCCTTGTCTTATATATGATAGCGGAGAGTGGTCCGGGCAGGTCGAAGCACCCAGTTGAGCTTTCTTGGCTGCTCGGTTACTGATATGATGGATAGAATGGATAGATGCCTGTATATGAGCGCCACGGCCCAGATATGAGGAAATAATCCGGTTCCTCCTGCCTAAGGGGGTCGAGGACACAGTACATTGTTCAATCAATTGCCATTCTAGTCGGCGCTTGGCCGGGGTCAGATATCATCATGGCGATGTCGTAAGTAGTAGATCGTACTCCCGTCAACATGTCATTCCACCAGCTATGTCAGTTCGCTACTCGGATGGCTCTGGTTAAAGGCCCCAGAGTCTAGATGATGCGTGCGGCGGGCTCCCTCCCCTCGCCACTTTCAGTTATCATTCTGTCTCAACGCCCTCGAGTGATACGTAGTTGACTGTCGTCTTGATCTTCGACCGTTCCTCTTGGTCGATGGCAAATTCAAGGGTCTTCGGCATCTCTCCGTACACTCGCCCATGGACCCCTGACATAGGGCCTCTGGATGCGTGAGGTGGAAACTGCAAATCATTCAACGTTCTGCCCATCTCTCAGAACATCTCTCAGGACATCATCCTGATACATAGAGCTACTACTGCGGCATGATGTTCGTCTGGACTAGGGGTCTTACGAGTTGGTCCGACGAGCAGTTGTGAGACTAATGACGGCGTCTATGCTTAATTTCCCAGTCAGACGATAAGCATTTGGCGTTACTGTGTTAAAATCGGTATCGATATCATCTCAGATCTCCTGCTAGCTACTGTACCCATGGTGCCGCAAATACACCCACTGTCTATCCCTGAAAACAGGTGTAATTCCAATAAACTCTTTCACAATGCATGGCTGAATTGCCACCATATCCTGACCCGCATATCCTAAGACCTAGCCAGCGTGTCTCTATGCAACAATGCTTTGAAAATTGGCCAGTATTCGTACGCGTAAAAGATGAGCGACAGAGGGGCAAAACGAATGGAGGCAGAGGCGTTTCTTTTTTGTATACCAAATAGAAGCGACCAAAACAGCGTCTTTAGACGCATCCAACACAACAGGATAGTACTAAGAAGGGGACTGCACAGGACTCTAAAAAAAGAAAAGGACAAAGACCTCTTGCTTCCTAAGGAGACCGGTCCGCCTATTCCTAAACTGCTAAACCAATCCTCTTACATTCTTGGTTCGTCAAGTAGCAAGGATCACGAGCCAGATGTCAGTGGTGTTCGGTGGGCCCACCACTAGCCAATCGTTATCTTATGCTGGCTGTGAGTCTCTGTCGAGAAGGGTCTAGTGCGTTCTAGAAGGATTCCTAATCCGGGACACACTTCCGGATTGGTCGGTGTATGAAAATGCGGACTCTTGGCGATTTGATACATACAAAGTACGAAGTATTCGTAATTAAAGCCTGGATTTCAAAAGGGGTGGCAAGGCATGCAGCATAATAGTCAGGCGTTGCGCACTCTACTCCGTAGTACTAGTACCGCCTTTAATAAACGGTCCAGGCATTCAAAAAGATGGGGTTCCCCCGGGGGCTGGGGGTTTAATCGATACAATTGACCCATCTCTCAAACTGGAACTGGGCCACTCGACTCATATAAGATGACCATGTGTGGCTGGCAAATGCGAGTCCGCGGGGGGACGACACAATCACGACCGATTAATCGTGTTTGCTCGCGGCATATTTTATTTGTCCTGCAGATAATTACTGACCGAGCGGCCATGGACATGATAACGGATCATGGGGTTCCGAATGTCCCCAGGTTCGTACTCCATACTGGATACCGATATATATGCAAGCAAAGTGGCAGTTTCGACCCCAGCTCGAGTAGAGCCGTTCTGCCACCATCCGACATGCCTTTCCTATTCCGTTTACTCGTGGAGGGGGCAACTGCCTGAAGAGCCTAACCATCCCGTTTCTTGACTGACCGACCCCGATTAGCCAAGAGCGCAGAATCGACCGTGGGTCGCTAGCCCTTCTGCGACGTGTAATCGATGACCAAAGCGGGGATGAAGGAAGGCAAACTTCGAGGAGTCCAGTATTCCAAAAAACGGAACATCTGCTCCGGGGGATTTAAGCGGGCTCGCATGTTCGTCGGCGTCTTCGGCTCCGAACGGCTTCTCCATTCTCGTCCGAACATGACTGTCAAGCAATCCAAATAGATGATGGACCTAAAGCATTATTACCATACCTCAATTCACAGAACGATGCTCTATATGTATATATGTATGTGTGAGAAGGGGTTAGGTAAGAATTAGCAGAGTCGAGTGGCAAATGATCACTACACACAGCCTTTTACAGCAGACGTGGTTGAACTCTCGGCCAGATGCATTTGTCACGGCACGTCCATCTGGTGCACCACAGCCCAGCTGTAATCGGAGAGCGAATATCTGTACAGACATCCGTATACCTAATACGGCGCTTTGATGGGGCTTAGGCGGCCATAGCGGACGGTGATAGTTACACGGCAAGGCATGCCAAACTGCTTTATACCCGGAGTGTGCATCGGTAATCGAGTACGGCGCTGGCTTCGTTAGAATTTCCCAAAGAGGAAGGAAAGCAATGCGACGTGGAAAAGCCTGGACGACTCCTGCCCGGTTGGTGCATTTTACACGTACGAGTGCTTCGTTCGTAGTTGGTTGTCATCTTGCGGTGGTGGCTATTTGTACTCCGTAAGGAATAAAGTAATAAATACGCATGCATGCATGCACTTTGTGCGACTCCGGCAAGAGGCGACGCCTTGACCGCCATGGCCCCCAGAGCATGGACTCAGGTGACTGTATAGGAATCAAGAGGAGCATCGCCTTATTGAAGCGACCTGTCGAGGGTATATGCGCAGTCTACCATGGCTGTCTAATGTAAGGTATATCAAGAAAGGGTGTCGGGTTAAAGGGGGGATGGGCTGTCGGCACCCGTCCATAAGCTCAGATTCGAGTGGTCGAAGAACGAGGCGGGGAGTTTCAACGGGTGGCTACAACGGATCAGTAATAAGGTGCGTATTTCGAGGAGAGATCGGTAATGGTACGAATATTAGCCCAATATTGAAGCAGGGCGTGGCGTTTGGTTGTTTGTGGTGTTTGCTTTGGGAGACCAGACGTTGGCCTGCCTGGGTTTCAAGATGTATTGGTACAGGTTTCCTGGGTTAGGTCAGTAAGGTACACTACCTTAACAATGCGTGCACGCTGTACAGAGGTACGGCCTTTATTTTCCCTTTCCTTTTTTCTTCTTTCTTTTTGCTCCAAAGCCAAGACAAGGGGGTGAGCCGCGTGCCGGGGAACCCCAGTCTTGTAAGTACGTTGTACGTGTACCAACCGTTTACCTTAGGTACCTTAGGTACCTTAGTTTCCCGAGTCAGACTTGAAACGAGGACCTGGAATGCAACGACTCGAACACGAATCGCAATGCAAGAGGTACATCCATACGGTACACATACGAGTACGTTGTACGTTCTTCGCACATGCAAACCCAAACCACACTGGTGTCAAACCAAACAGACCAAACCAAATCCAATGCAGACGCTGCATGCATGCATACCGTCCTCGACAGGCGAGTTGGTGGAGACAAGGCGGGCATCGGCGTCTGGGTCAGTGGTGTCTACTGATTTCCCGGCGTGGCTATTCAGAACTACGGATACCTATGAGGTCGGTAGGTGCCGTATTCAGCGAGGCGAAACTCGCCTTATTTAGCACCGGCTCTCACCGCTCACTACCTTACCTATTCGTATATTTCTCGGGATGTATGCTATCATGGGAAGGAAGCACGACCCCTGAGATCCACCGTGCTCGACTTCTTATAACTGTGCATGGACGGACATGTCCGATGCAATTTGATTTGGATACTTCACGAAGTATTTCGTACGTACGGATACTTTCTCTTGAACCCCTATTACTCTCTCTTCACCTCCAACCACCATGGCTTTTCACCAAGTCCATAGGAGTTTACCATCCCCACTTCTCTCCTGGCCACGTCGATCTCTTCTGCTTAACAATCGAGGAGGCCTGCGAATAAGGCGCCAGGTAGTACTGGTCATCGACCATACGTGGGACTGTATCTGCGAGATAATTACAGAAAGCAATTATCGAACCATTCATTGTAATAATAAATGTGCGCCCTTGGCCACAACGATGGCGAAACGTGACCCAAGAAGACTCCAAGGGGGAAGGCTCGGCTCTTGGCCCAGAATGGTAGGTACCTCAGTATATATACATTTTGCTTCCACTTGTCCCCTGGGGACAGCTGAACTAACGTGGCTGAACCTGAGGTCCCGGAATTTGAACCCCTCCCCCACCCCCGATTCCCTCATTTTTTCTTCTTCTTTTTTTGTCCTTACTCGAATCCTGGTGCTATCGCTATTATATTGACCATAATTGCAAAGAGACGCTGTCATTTTATGCTTCTATTCTTGCCATAGTCTGTAATTAAGAGATGGATATGCCGAAAGAGTGGTATAAGTATATTTGGATGTTCCTTCGTATACCCTAACGGTGTCGGCCCTTTGCCTCTGCACCCCCCATATGATCCTCCTACCTGATATCTTCTTTCCCGTTGTGGATGCTGCCTATTTCCACCATGACTTCGTAGTGCTTTTGCCTTCCCAGGGACGCACGAACTTAAAGTAATACAACGTACACGGAACGAAGTAATTACAATAAGTGGACCTTCCTGCGACGAGCAAGCCCCCTATCGGGTGTCACTACCCCGACTACGAGGTCCCTCGGTGTCAACTCTCCCGGCGATTTACACCCCCTAAAGATCATCTGATAAAGCGGACTCATTTGGTGGCAACACACCGCCACGTTGCCAAGGGCTAAGAACAGCTGGCTATTGTCCAACGTCTCGCTCTGCTGGCTCCAGGCGTAGTGGTTGGGGTGGTCTCTGTAGCGGTCAGATACCGTCCCGTACGCAGCGCAGCATAGGGCCCGGTGTAAGTACCTACCTTATTTAGTTCAGGTACCTAAGGTACCTAGGTACACTAAGACGGGGATCTCTATTTCGGGAACAGGGTGTACCGTTTATTAGGTAAGGTAAGGTAGGTGTAAATTATGCTACCTTACTTCGTACCTTAGGTACTCTGTTGAACCCCCCTCTTCGCTCTTTGTCTCTCCCTCTTTCTCCTGCCGTGTCCCTTGCTGAAGTTGTTTCTTCCTCTTATTGTGCCCTTTCATTGGATAATTAACTGATCCAATGAAGCTGTTGAATAGTTCAAAGCCTGCCTGCCTTATTGGATTGTCTGGCTGTTATTGTCTATCCAAGAGCCAGTAGTTGGAATTTGACCAGACCGCATACATAGCTGCCTGGTAAGGTAAGTAAAGTAAAGTAGGCAGCTTCAGTCTGAATGACAAGATAAAGAAGTACGAAGTAGTAACGGGAAGTCCAGCAAGGCCTGGTAATATCTGTGCATGAAGACATGTTCATTAGGTACCTTACAACCGGGTTGTCAATCTCGCCTCAGCCCCCAGTTCAAAGGGTGCAAAAGTATATGTTCAAGTCTTGGTTTTCAGGTGCCTTTATTTTATCATTGTGGTTGTCAAATCTGCTTCCCTCCTTGCCACTCCCTTTCACAGTACCTTTCATCGACAACATGCATTGTCTAAGATATTACCCCACACCCTCTACACTCTGCACTAGCCGTTCAGTCTTAACCCCTTCCTTCACTGTGCGCCAAGAGTATAGTGGCTTTTTTCCTTTTCTTCTTCTTTTTTCCCCCCTTGATATGTTCTCCCCATTCCCCACGCATCTCTTGTCATTAAATGTAGGTACAAACGTACACACGTTTATATACGGCAAGGTACAAAGATGCCAAGGTAACCCCCATACCTCATGTACGCCAAGATAGTAAGGTATTGATATGTCTTATACTTGCCCTTTGGCCCTCCCTCCCCTGACTACCATGCCCGGGTAGCCAACGCGTCGGTACCTGACACTTGTGATCGATCGTCACTCATCTCGGACTGCTCTATCCTTGACTATCCCTGAGCTTGACCCTCCACTCCCTTTTCTTCTTTTCTTCTCTTCGTCTCTTCGCCTCTTCTTCCCTCTCCTCTCCTCTGCTCCCTCCTGCCTGCCTCTCCGTTCCTCGCCAGTCTTCTTATATCGCTCTATCCTTTTTATCTATCTTTTCCCCTGCTTTCCTCACGCGCCCGACTTCTTCTTACACCTACATCGTCCATGTCTCACTCACAAGAGTGATGATCACCTAGGCCGATCGCCTCTCCATCACCACCCATATCAACGGCTTATGCCGCTCTGTCTCGACGTAGAGGCAAACAGATTACCGACAAACTCTGCGAATCCTCGTCTTTCCTGCAGCACTCACTCCTTCAGATACCCGGGCTACCCGGCATCGTTCTGTGCGCCTGCAAACAACCTTGCCCTCGCAACGCTCTCGGCCACTGCCGTGCTCCTCGACTTTGTGGCATCGCTCGCTCTCTCAACTTCCAAGGAACGCATAGTATTCATCATCAAAATTTTCTGCTCTTCCGTGTTGCTTGTGAAGGCGGTGCGACAGATAAGAGGAAAGAGGCCTATCTGAGCAGGGCTTGAATCAGTACCTAGTAAGATCACGCGGCCCTTCTTTTCCCGCCGATTTCCCCTCGGACTTTCCCGTGCCCTTCTCGACAAACCTGCGGCGCCCAACGGCTCGGCTTCGGGTTTTGTCTCGTTCCCTCCCAGTATCAGCACTGTTCCGGGTCACAGACGGGAGCCCAATAACCCTTCTCGTACAGCCCTTGCTGCAATTACCCGTTACTCCTGCACTTTTCTCCCTCACGAGACACGCTCATGTCCTCCCCAGTGTATTCGGCGCCACATCCTTAGTCGCATACGATTCGTCCCCGCCATCCTTCTCGCGCATCCCAGTCGTTTGCAGCAGCAGACAGCGCTCTGACTGACCACCTTTTATCTTTCTAGCAAAATAAGCAGCACTTCTGCCTCAGCTCTCCCATCTGGGCATCTCGACTGTTGCTTCCATTCGAACGATTTTCCTGTCTGTACAACGTCAGCGCAGAGCCGCTCGTTGGAAGCAGTCACGCCCATTTTATCACACTCATCATCCCTCAACATCCCTCAACATTTCGTGGCCATTCTGTAGGCCCGGCCATTGCCCGCCAGCGGACAACTGATTTTAGGACACACCTCGGGGGAACAAAAACAAAAGGGAAAGAAAGCCCCATTGGCCAGGGGACTTCGGCGGCAGCCTCCAGCGACTTCCAACATGACAAGCAAACAGGGCGCCGGTGGCGGCATCGAGAGCAATAGGAGACAACTATCTACCTCGGCTCGTGCTAGTAATGAGAACGAGCCCACGCAGGAGACGGAGGATCAGCCCACGACCATAAAGCCCGCGCAGTCGCAGAAAGAAGAAACGCAGTTCGTTCAGGCGCCGCAAGGTCTGCCTCGGAATATTAACCCTTCTTCCAATGCGGCCACACCGCCAACACCCAGCTTGCCGATGTCACGCGCTGCCTCGACCAGCTCGAGCGTTGGCGGCCCAACGGCGTCCACCGACGGTTACTTCAGCCACCACACTTACGCCACGAAGCCAAAACCGTCCTTGCCCCTAGATCCTCCCGTGACGAAGGCGACGATGGGTGAACTGGATATATCGAAAATCAATAGCAACCTAAAGCTTCGTCATGACATCAATTTCGACGCCGAGCTGCATTTCAGACCGAATGTGGAGGGCGACAAGGGCAAGAGGAAAGGGGCCAGGACCGAGCGTTTCTGGAACACGCTGCATGAGCAACTCAACATGTTTGTCTTGGACCGACAGGGATTCTATGAGACGTATGGCTACCGCGACGACTGGTGTCTGCCCCGTCTGCTGAAGACGGTGAAGGACATCATTCAAACCCTCGTGCCCGGGCGAGATCGGGTCCACCTGAACGAAGGCCTCAACGTGGAGCTGCTGATGCAACAGTTTAACAAGGGCACTGCCGATCTCGAGAAGCTCGCGTACTGGTTAGCTGGGGTTCTCAAGTCCCACTGCGCCCCGATGCGAGACGAATGGGTCGATCGCATGTACCAGAAGCTGAGCAAGGGCAACCGCAACAATGACATGGGCGAGATAGTGCGCGGCCTGCGGGGGCTGCTCGAGGTGCTCGAGGCCATGAAACTCGACGTCGCCAACCACCAGATCCGCAGCTTACGGCCCATTCTCATAGAAGACACGGTCCTCTTCGAACAACGCTTCTTCTTTAGGCAGATGCAGGAAGGCCACTTCGACATCACTCCTGCCGGGCTTTGGTACCGGGACTCGGGCAGGAGATATCGGGGCACCGTGTCGCCGGCCGCCGCGCAGTCTTTCGGCGAGATGGCCATTTTCTTCGAGGGCCTCGCACGGTTGATGCGGCCTTCGGTTGACGAGAAGGAGATACCCACCACGTTCGTGTTCGACGAGGAGCGTCTTTTGAGACTACGTTCCAACATGCTCGACGCCATCAATCTCGAGATTTGCATGCGGCATTATGACGACCTCGAAAGGGTCAGTCGCTCCGTCAGCTCGTTACTCTCCGGTTTTCTTGCTCGCCCAGACGAAGATCACGCCGCTTCTCGATCGCGTAGCTTTTTTGGCGCCAACGCCTCTTCCTACTCAGGCTCCTCTCGGCCCTCCAGCCTGGCTTTCAGCTGCGCCGGCTCCGACACGTCCTCCCCACGCTCCTCTTTTGTGCACCAGACGCAGGCGTCGGCCGGACCGGATGCGGCCGAGGCGAAGGCCAAGTCACGAAATCTATATAATTCTCTCATCGCCCTCCTTGAGACGTCCCCGGTCGAGTCAGGACACAAATCTCGTTGGGCCGCTCTAGCGCCCTCACTCGCGCTCCAAATTTTCCGATACACCAATGCACCGTCCGATATGCTTCCTGCTTTTGAAGCGAAACTCCAATCCCACGTCACCGATGTTCAGAGCTCCCTGTTCCGTGAAGTTGAGGACCAGTTCAACGCCCGTCTGCTCGCTAAGCTGCAGCGCCGCGTGCGCGAATTCAAAGGTCTTCCGGGGTTTACCCTCTTCTCTATCACTACCGCGAGCCGGAGCAACGCCACTGGGCGAGTCTGGGACGGCGACCGCGATCAACAGCAGCTACGCATTTCCTCGCTCCATTCATCGCTTCATCCCGGGTCGCTTCTCGACGGCTCCGGGAGGGAAGCCCGTGGAGATGGTGCCGTCGAGGATATGGCAACTCGATTAGCACACCTGGGAGTGTTGCACTGGAGGGTCTGGGCGCAGCTGGCGTACGCGGGTGATGTGGACGGCGACCTGGGGAGCGACGTACAACCCGGCACAAACCAGATTTGAGCACGAGCCGGAACATTCCGGTCCTATTGCAGCACGGCTGCATGCAGCCGAAGGAATACTGTTTCCAACATGCTCCCCTCGCACCACATTGCGTGTAAGCCTGCTGGCCACAGGTCGGCAAGTGACGATTTGTGCGAACGATCACTTGTCACTTACATGCCGTAACCACCGGCGTCTTGCATCATGATACTCTTCCCCCGACATGAACCAATTATTCGACGCGCCCATATCATGCACTTGTACGAAGTTTTTAATCATAATTGCTCGCTCTATGGGACTTGAGCCACGGCATCTCGTATGCAACCATGCTCGACCTTGTATTGAGAGCAATGACCTAATACTTTTTTTTCCCCCTTCTTTCCATTCGATTTCATCTCTAGGCCACGGTTTTGGGTCAAATGCTTGGGGGAGGCGAATGGACCAGGAAACGGTTGGACTTAAGGTTACAAACTTGTTGTCCCTATTGGCGTTTTGGAAGGCACATAAGGAGAGTGCGACACCAGGGCTTCTCTTGCGGTGTCCATATTCATTGGTATTTTTTGTTTTATGTTCTGTGATGCATCTGATACCGGCCTGCACTGTTAAGGTAGAAGGGAGGGGGAGGGAGTGGTGGCGATAGCGGCGGTAGAGGTAGACCAGAGCCTTCGCGACGACAATGAGATATTCAAATGCTTCGCAATTTATTGGTGTGAGGTTTGTTGTTGTGAAACTACACCGAGGTTTCGCCCTGCTGTACTCCCCTGCTTTGCGCATGGCGAGGCATTTGGAGGGCTAGGAAGCTGACTCTTGAGTTCTTGATATACGAGGGCAGATCAAGGCAGAAGGTGTATCTGGATTTGCTACGGAGTATTGGTCCGTTCTTCTGGGGCCCGGTGTCAATACAGATTGTTGTTAGTCGAGGGCGATCAGAATAGTATCACCAGTGGTCAGGAGAACTGAGCCTTTTCTACGGCATCGATGATTCTCCTGCCGACGTTTCTGTTCCGTTTTGTCTTGTTAAAAGACGAGTATGCCTCTAATAAATGAAGGAACGAATGAACTAAACGTGCCGGTAGATAAGCAGCACGTAAGTCGAGACTGAGAGAACCAAAAAAAAAGGGGGTAGAAAAAGCAAAAAGAATGGGAGTTATTCGTATAACGTTTTCTAAGAGTTGTGAAAAAAGAAAGTTCCGGAGGCGATTCGAACGCCTGACCTATCGCTAACTCTTCCGAGGAACTGCAGGCGATTGCTCTACCCCTGAGCTACCGGAACCGATGGTTACTAACGATATTTCTCCGAGCCTTTAAGTAATCGGACCCCTCTCGCGCTCAACGTTATCAGGCGAAGGCTTGCAAGGAACTTCTTGGACTGACGCACTGTCTTTGCTTAGCTAATCATTGGGTCATCCACGCAATTCGCTCCAGGCCCAGCCCAAAAGCTCCTGGAGATACAAACCACCAACAGACGTTATTACACAGGCACGCCAGAAATCGGCGACTTCCTGTTCGGAGCCAGAACTTCTCAGCACACCTTGTTATCATCCTCGCACAACAAGACATTGCCATAGCCGTTTCTGTCGCACGCAGAGAGTAGCACATCATGGAGCCTCGCGCTCGCGCCGGCAAAAATGTCGGGAAAATGAACTTCTCGCATCAGGAGCGTAAGAGGCCTTCCTTCCCTTGTTCGACTCTTGCTTTTTCCCAAGGAGAGACACACACGCGCGCAGAGAGAGAGAGAGAGAGAGAGAGAGAGAGAGAGAGAGAGAGAGGGACACTCCGCTGACAGTCCTGCTCGCGTCCGTCGCAGTTGCCCAACTCCTCTACGCACACGGGGATGTGCGCCACCCGCTGCCCGAGACGGTACGGGTCCTCGACGAGATCGTCACCGAGTTCATCCAGGGCGCCGCGTTCGAAGCGGCACGCATGGCGACGTACGCGGGCCGACAAAAGATCAAGTGGGAGGACTTTGAGTTTGCCTTCCGCAAGAACCCGGCCTACCTGGGCAAAGTGCAGGAGGTGTTCCAGAAGAAAGGCGAGATCGAGAACGCGAAGAAGATCTTCACCAAGGACGACGAGGCGGTGCTGATGAAGGACGCGTCGGCGGGCGAAGGGGGACGCCGGGATAACGCGTCGGAGAAGAACGGCACGAGCGGGGAGGGGGCCGCTGACGGGTCGCGGGGCCCTCGAGATGAGGAGGAGCTGGGGGAGGCTGATGACATTGATGATGCTCTTTCGGAGCCTGTTTCGCGGCGGGGGAAGCCCTGACTTTCACGATGCTACGGTTTCTTATCTCTCCCTTTTTGCGGGGGCGGTTTTTTTTTTTCTCCCCCGTTTTTTTCGCCCCTCCTCTTACGGCATAGCGACGGCGTTGGCGTTGGGGAACACACCTGAACATTTAATTTCGCAACTACCACCACTGAATATGATTTGGCAAAGGGAACTAACTGCTAGGGTACTTATCGGGATGCGGTCCGGTGCCTGAGATTGAGAGACTGGGCTCATACTATGTATGTATGATATGAATTAAACCCACACCGATACAATGAGGACTCGTGATCTCAAGTATACTCTGTCATGTGGTACGTTCCGCTGGGAAGGGCAGAAGAAGAAAAAAGAATAGAAAAAGAGGATGCGCAACAGTCTCAAAAATTGACTACGGTAGACTGGCTCGTGTTCTCACCCCTGGGAGACCGCGATGCAGGTACCAATCTGGTCGAATAATCCAGTCCTGAGAGGGTACATAAGCCAAGTTTGGCTTGGAGATGTAAGCGCGGAGAGTCCTCGTGAAATCCAGGAGAGGTTACAATAATCAACGATTCGGATTCGCGTTTTACCTATCAGCGGCGCCATGCACATGTCTTCTGTCTCATGTCCATGTAATTAATTACCTACCGTTCGAAAAACCCGGTCGCAAATTGACAAGGTAGTATTGTGGCGGGCAGAGTGCTTACCTCGGGAGGCAGGTGGTCGCGGGGAATAACGCGGGACACATGAGATCCGCTTTACAGTCCGGCTTTTTCTTTCAGGCTTTGCCGCTTTTCCCCACCTCGGTCTGTTTTCCCCCGGAGTCGAACCCCGATATCGGATCGTTCGGGCCAATAACCGACTGTAAACAGATGCGGCCCCGAACTCAGTCCGCACATATTACCCAAGTAGACGCAATCACGATTCCAGATGACGGAAGGGTCACTAAAAGAAGGCTGATGAAGCTTTTATATTCACCTCGAAGATTTCTTAATGGTTTCTTTTCCCCTCACCGCACACCAAGACCACCTATGAGCGCTTCCCAATTAAGCGATCTCCTCGGAGGAAGCCTTGCCGTCACTTTAGATAATGCTCCGTAATCCACATATTACTTAGTGGATTGCCTACCGGATACCCTTTGCTTTGACCTTGGGCGGATTTTGATCTCCGCTCTCATCCTTCGCTTTTTACCTAGATCATCCAAGGCCGAACTATTCTGGGCCTCTTTTCTCTCTCTCTCTCTCTCTCCCTCCCCTCCCCAAAATTGCACAGAAAGTGTAGTCCTGATACCTTGACTTCCGTTCTCCCAGCGCATTCTAGGTACAGCTGCCTAGCATGAATCCACCTTGTCGAAATCGCCTTCAACATGCCTAAACGAACAACTGGCGAGGCCAGTCGCTCCATCAATCCCACCCACTCGGACAACGATGTAGATGTTCTTGTATCCCCGGACAATTTTAACCAAGGCTTTTCTGACGACGACAGTTTCCCCAGTGCATCCGAGGGTCTCGCAGAGGGATTCTCGGGCCAGGCGGACCTTGATTCTATTCGCCGGTTGTCCGTCCACTCCCTCCACCATGGGAGGACATCTCCGGTTCGAGGTAGCGAGGGCCATCCAGCGTACGCCCTGCAACCGACATTGTCCTCGAGGGTCGTCAAAGTTCTCCGAAACATCTGGGATCAAAACCGCGGTGTGGTGTTGGTAGCGGTATCCCAGCTATTCGGCGCGCTGATGAACTTGGCAGCGCGGGTGCTCCAGGTCGAAGCAGGGATGCACCCGTTCCAGGTCCTGTTCGCCCGGCAGTCGCTGACCATGCTCGGCGCCGTCATCTACATGTGGTGGACCAAGACACCGGACTTTCCATTCGGTGCCAAGGAGGTCCGATGGCTCCTGCTCGTGAGAGGCGTCTCCGGCTTCTTCGGCATCTACTGCTTGTGGTCTTCGATGCGGTATCTCCCGCTGGCCGAAGCCACCGTCATCACTTTCCTCGCCCCCAGCATCGCCGGCATCGCCTGTTACGTCGCCTTCCGCGAACCTTTCACCCGGGTGGAACAGGTCGGGACGCTCGTAGCCTTTGTCGGCGTCGTGTTTATTGCCCGCCCCGCCTCCCTCTTCTCGGGCTTGGTGCCCGAGCACGAGGGTCCCGACGACGGCGGCGGCGGGCCGGACACGGGACAGGATATCACGCCCGGGCAACGCCTGCAGGCCGTCGGGGTCAACCTCCTGGGCGTCCTCGGCGCGGCGGGGGCCTACGCCACGATACGCTGGATCGGCAAGCGCGCGCACGCCCTGGTTTCGGTCAACTACTTCGCCACCATCTGCACGGTGATGTGCCTGGCCGTGCTGACGATGGCGCCGGTGCTCGGCATCGGGCAGCCCGAGCTGCGGTTCGCGCTGCCGCAGGGCGCGCGGCAGTGGTCCCTGCTGGTGTTCCTCGGCCTCATGGGGTTCATCATGCAGTTCCTCATGACGGCGGGGCTAAGGGTGGACCGGTCCAACCGGGCGAACGCCATGATGTTCACGCACATGATCTTCGCGGCGGCGTTCGACCGGTGGGTGTTCGGCGCGACCATGGGGTGGACAAGCCTCGTCGGGTCGGGGCTCATCATCGGTGGGGCGCTGTACATGGTGCTCTGCAAGGATAAGGCGCTGCAGCAGAACGAGGGGGCGGACATCGAGGCGGCTGCGGCGGCTCGGGCTGACGTGCGTGGTGCGGGTGACGTGCGCGATTCGGAGGCCGTGCCTATGTTGATGGACGTGGATCGGAACGACAGCACTGACGATGAGGATGAAGAGAGTGCGTTGAACATGAGCAAGAGGTCCCCGCAGAGGGGCTAGCCTGTTGGCCAAGTGGCCTGGTGCAGTAAAAGTCAGAGGAAAAGGCTATAGGCGCAGGAGAGGCTACGGTGTAGAAACTTTAGAAGCATGATGATGACCGCCTTAACCAGCTCATCTAGCAAATTAGGTGCGAAGGGGTAACAGCACTTGGATCACACCTAAGTCCTTGTTAACTTTGGTCAGAAACGGCTAGCCGGATTTCGAGGGCCATGTCTCGCAAGGAGTTGCCCATTGTCATCAGATTTGCGTGAACGCAATCCGAACAGATTTCTCTGCGAGAATATCACGAGTCCAAGACACACGTAACGAAGCACAACTCAACTCCCATGACAATGACGCCAGGGAGTCACCTAGTCACGTGGAACACTAGTCTGGTGGGTCGAAAACAAGGGTAAAACGTACATCCTCCGCGTAAGGTACGGTACCTAAGGTACCTTAGGTAGGTAAGGTAAGGTACTGTCCAGAAGTACGTACATTAACTCTACCTGAATCATCGTCAATCGCAAAGTACCTTACCTTGGCCAAAATCTTCCAAGATCCATTCATCAACCAACAGCTCCCTGCCCAATCCACCTCGCGCAAATCCCGACATCCCATCCGTCGATACGTATCCACTGAACCCTCTACCGAAGACCTACTCTACGAGCTATCACGAATTCGCCCATTGATTGTCACTGTCTCGAACAATCAGTCGAACGATCAGTCGCGTCTTCCGTCCGCCAAGATGGTCCAGATCAGCGAGGTCAAGGGCAACAATCGGGAGAACCGCACGGCGGCCCATACGCACATCAAAGGTCTGGGGTTGAGGTCAGATGGGACTGCAGATAAGCAAGCGGCCGGCTTTGTCGGCCAGAAGACGGCGAGAGAGGTCAGTTCGCATCTCGGTGGAAACGGATGCAATGTCGACGGGAGTGGGTGTGTTGGCTTGTCGGCGTTGGCTAACTATAAGATTTACTTGCCCTAGGCATGCGGCGTCGTGGTTGATTTGATCAAGGCGCAGAGGATGGCCGGACGTGGTGTGCTTCTCGCAGGAGGACCGGGTACGGGAAAGACAGCGCTCGCGCTCGCCATCAGCCAGGAACTAGGCACCAAGATCCCCTTCTGCCCCATCGTCGGCAGCGAGATATACTCGACCGAGGTCAAGAAGACGGAGATTCTGATGGAGAACTTCAGGCGAGCCATCGGGCTCAAGGTCCGGGAGACGAAGGAGGTCTACGAGGGCGAGGTGACGGAGCTGACGCCGGAGGAGGCCGAGAACCCCCTGGGCGGCTACGGTAAAACCATCAGCACGCTTCTCATCGGGCTTAAGAGCGCAAAGGGCCAGAAGAAGCTGCGGCTCGACCCCAGCATATACGAGGCCATCCAGAAGGAGCGCGTCTCGGTCGGCGACGTCGTCTACATCGAGGCCAACACGGGCGGCTGCAAGCGCGTCGGCCGGTCGGATGCCTATGCCACCGAGTTCGACCTGGAGGCCGAGGAGTACGTGCCGATCCCCAAGGGCGAAGTGCACAAGAAGAAGGAGATTGTGCAAGACGTGACGCTGCACGATCTTGACGTGGCCAATGCGCGGCCCCAGGGTGGGCAGGATATCATGAGCATGATGGGCCAGCTTATGAAGCCCAAGATGACCGAGATTACCGAGAAACTACGGGCCGAGATCAACAAGGTTGTCAGCAAATACATCGATCAGGGTGTTGCCGAGCTTGTGCCGGGTGTCTTGTTTATTGATGAGGTGCGTTTTCTTCTTCTTTTTTTTCCCCCCCTTTTTTCCTTTTTTTCCCCCGCTTACAATGCATTAGGCACACATGCTCGATGTCGAATGTTTCACGTACCTGAACCGCGCATTGGAATCGAGCATCTCACCCATTGTGGTGCTAGCGTCGAACCGTGGAATGGCGACGCTCCGTGGGACGGACGAGATCGTGGCCGCACACGGCATTCCCACAGATTTCCTAGCACGGCTGCTCATCATTCCAACGACGCCGTACGATGCCGACGAGATCAAGCGCATTGTTCGCATTCGGTCCACCACCGAGGGCGTGGCCATCACGGATGCCGCCATCGACAAGATTGCAGAGCACGGCGTCCGCATCAGTCTGCGTTATTGTCTGCAATTGCTAACACCGGCAAGGTATTTATTTTGGCCCTCATCTTTGTTTTCCCACTTGAGTGGTTCGAGGAGCCACTTTCAATGTGTTTCCGGACTGTCATACCCATGAGCAATTTCCCGTCCGAGACATTCTCGTTACTACATTGCAAAGCTGTATGCTGACGAAACCCACGACACAGCATTCTGGCCAAGGCAAACGGTCGAAGCCAAATTGATGTCCAGGACGTGGCTGAGTGCGAGGACCTGTTCGTCGACGCCCGGCGCAGCGCCACCCTCCTGTCCCAGGAGAGCGGCAAAGGCTACATCTCGTAATAATATATAGGCGACTACGGAGTATGACTTTCCGTCACTACGCGGCGTGGTCGTTTTGATCAGTCGGAAATCACACGTCGACATGTAATGCACGGGTCATTCGCAGCACACAAAAGACTCGACTCTCGGGTCCTTTCATTTCCCAGTCTCCTGCCTTGATTGCGTCGTGGCGGAACTTTGAGGATTCAAAAGGTCGAAAAGAAGAAAAGGCCCAAGGGGCAACGGAACGAATGGGGGGGAAATCGGCCACAGAAGGAAGGGAAAAAAAAAGAAGAAGAAAAAAAGAAAAGAAAAGTTGACAGCGCCAATTCCCAGTATATTGTACAAAACAACGGGTTTAACGGCGTCAAATGAATTGCAGGTAGTCACAAAACAGGGTATGGTATTTCATCTCAGGATCAAATCAACCCAACTGGTTCGACCGGACTGGTTTGAGAGGCGGAAGCCGGGTGGAGGACGAATGAGAACGGATAGGCGGGCATTCTGATCGTCAGAAAGGATTGTTGATGGGTCAATGGTACGACGTAGATGGATGATAGAAAAGGTAATGGGCGGAGTGGTTTCTGCGTTTGCAGAAGACTCTTTGCTTATAAGACATTTCCAGTCCCTATGGTATCTGTGTCCGAGACATATAGTATATCCCATCCATATTCAACCACGAAGAATGAATGAGTGGTTGGCGCCCGTCGTTTCCCAAATAAAGCAACCCGGGTGGAGCTTTTGTTTTCTTTCAACATCATCTTGTCGAATCCGTTCATACTGAAGGGAGTGTGGAATGGGCGAGGGAAGAAAGGGAATAAAGGGACCCCTGTCACGTGGAGAAGAAAGGGGTCAAAGGGAGCATAGAAAGTGTTAAAAGAGGGTGAAGAGAGTGAAAGAAGGCAACTAAACTAGATTCGGCGATTGTCCATCATTGTCTTTGTTTCCGGCAAGTGGTTTGTATGTGGGAGGGCATTTGCATCGCCACATTCCAGTCTATATGGATGCTCTCCGACATGCCAACATTTCCGTTTTCCACAATAGCTGAGCATTGTTACGGTTTCACCTTTCCCGGTCAAAGGACAGGGGGAAGGTGGCAGGTAAGGTCCGAGAAGAAGGGGGGGTCATGTTATAATGAAGAACAAGAACGAGAACGAGAACGAGAACGAGAAATCGGTGACGCAAGAAAGAGAGGAAGCCCGAGAATAGGAAGGAGAGGGTAGAAAGAAAAACAGAAGGCACATGCAGCGGATAAAGCGATAGAGAGTTGAAGCAAAGCAGGGAGAGGGTAACAAGAAAGCAAAGAACAAGGAAAGAGCGAAAAGAAATAGGACAACGAAAACAGAGGAGGCAGAGAATCAGAAACAGAAAGAGGCCAAGCCGTTCACTCTGCCCTACACGCCGCCACTAGAGCCCGGACTCCGTCGCCTCGAGGCACATAGCGGGGGGATTCTTTCAAGTTTCTTCGTTTCTAAGGTATGCTCCTTTGCTCTTTACCCTCGTCCGTTCTCCCTCCTCCCTCGTCCCTCGTCCGGCGTCCGTCCTCGTTACCTCTTACTTTGTCGTGTTATTTTGACTCGCTTCCTACACATCATCTCGGACTCGTCGCTTCTTGTTCCCCCTTGTCAGTCTTGTCAGTCACTGCCACTATTATCATGGTTCCTTTCCTACAGAGAGCGGGTAGTTGATTGTTCAAGTCAGACACAGACACGACAGGTCCATCCTTGCCTCGCGGTCCCTGGAGCTTCCGAGACGAAAAGCAAAGAACGACAAGTCAAACGAAGTGAAAAGGTGCTAGCAATAAGAAAAGAAGAAGAAGGGAGGATAAGCAACCAGGAACTTCGCATCGGGCTCCTGCCTATACCGCTCTCTTTCCCTCTCCGTCTCTTTGCTTTGCCTTTCTTTCTCCACGCGAATGAAAGGGGATCCAAACGTTGCTGCGTCCGAAGCCACAAAGAAAACCGGGAAGGGGATTATCACTGTCCAATCTCGGGGGGCATGGGAACGAAGAAGGAGGATAAGAAAAGACATACAACAACCGCCAAACCGAATAAAACGACGGCCATCGACGCGGAGTTTGGATAGACGACAAGAGTCTTGACCCAGCAGAAAGAAGCAGGAGACTCGCCTCGGCATAAGAGCAGGGGAAAGAACTGAGAGAGAGAGAGTTCTGAGAAACGAAGAACAACCGAAGCGATATCTTACAAGCGAGGACCCAGACCAGCCAACGAAGGCCAGAGACTGGTTCGTCATACCGACAGCGAACGGCCTCAACTTCCGGTACGCTCCCGAGACATATGAGAGGATGCCCCTCCGGCTCGCCGCTTAGACCCCCACCGTTCGACATCGTCGTCTATCACTTTTACCGACTCACCGAGCTCTCTTCCATCAGTACACAGTACACCCTGTACAGCCCCATACGACCGACCCCCATCCTTTGAGGAGCCAGTTGAAGAGATTCCGGGGCCTTGTTACCCCCCTTGCCCACAAAGAAACGGTCAGCCGAAGCGAGACTGAGAACAATCGATCCGGAAGAAGGTCTCGGAGCCCGGGGGCCCTGTCTGTCCCTTTTTCTTTTCTTCCTCCTCCGCCCCTTTCTCTTGATTGTTGGCCGTCCTCTCATATCTCTTCGCTGTTCTGCTCCTCGGACTTTCCTTTTCTCCCCCTTCCACACGATACCCATCCACTCCATCCACCCATCTATTATCCTCCTCTCCTCCGAGGCGAGTCAACGTTCATCATCTGTCTTGTCCACCCCTCCCACCCACCCTCTCCCCATACACGCCCCCTCCATCGGAGACATAGCGCTTGTGCGTGTCTGTGTGTTCTGTCTCGCCCTTCTTTACTTGCCCCTGCCCTACTACCTACCTACTTACCTATCTATATGCGTACGCGACAACGCACGTATCACCTCGAGCAAGATTCTCGCTGCGGCGGCGAGGAGATCCGAACCAAGCCACGAGGACGGAGCCCAGCCACCGCGGTACCAGCATGGTCATCGGTCCCCATCTCCATCTCCAATAACCATAGCCCGACCGCCGCCGCTCCGTTTGCACTGCCTGAGATGACAGGTGACCCAGACCGGCCCCCGACTCGTGCGTCTTCTTCCTCTCAGCAGCCGCAGCCGCAGATGCAGCCGCAGTTGCAGTCGCAGTTGCAGTCGCGGTCGCAGTCCCAGTCGCAGCCGCTGCCCCCGTCCCAGAAACGGCGGCGGGCTTCCTCCTCTTCCGAGGGCAACGCCTCGGTTGCCTCCTCCCTTCACTCGGCCATGGAGCGCAGGGTAAGCCAAGGGACCATCGCCTCCGACGACGCACCATTGCTGGCATACCAACAACAACAACAACAACAACAACAACAACAACAACAACAACAGCAGCAGCAGCAACAACATCCAGATCGAGATAGAGGTGATAGAGGTCGCCCCTCGGCAGCATCTGTAGGCTCGGACAACTCCGTAGAGGGAAGAGAAAGGGAAGAAGAAGCCGCCGGCGCAAGGAAACGGACGGCTTCGGGTCAGAAGTACGAGGAGGCTGTTGGTCGTCCGCGTGCGCCCGCCCATCTCACCTTGGACGCATCCTCTTCTGCCACTGCGTCGTCGCCGCCGGGCTATGAAGGTGCAAGAGAGTTTATTTGTCTCTGTACTCCTGCCCCCAAGGTTCCCAGGCCGCGTAACGGTGAGTACTCGATCCAGACCCCGTTCTTCCCCCTTTTCCCCTTCCTTTCTTGGCTTTCGTTCCCTTTTCCTTTCTTTTTTTCTTTTTTTGTTGGAGTTCCTCCTCTTTGCCTTTCTGAGACCGACAACCCCGACGGCCCATGTCCTTTGTTCTCTCCCGAGACAAGGAACAGAAAAATAATATAAAAAATGATACGACAGACTGCCGATGAGATGGATAAAGGGGAAGACGAACAAAAAAACGAAGGAAAAATAAAAGCACTTGCCTCATCGTTCCCTTGGCTGACTTGTACCTCTGCCCCTTCCTTTTCGAACAGCTTTCATTCTCTACAGACAACACCACCAAGCCCAGATCACAGCCCAGAATCCCGGGCTCTCCAACCCTGATATTTCGAAGATCATAGGAGAACAGTGGCGCGTGGAGCCGGAAGAGGTCAAGGAGAGCTGGAAGAGGCTGGCCGAGGAGGAGAAGCAGCGGCATCAGCGCCAGTATCCCGACTACCGCTACCAACCTCGCCGCGGCCAACGCCCGGGAAGCCGACCAAGCTCCGCATCAGGGGAGGATCCCGGCCGGTGTAGCAAGTGCGGCGGTCGATTCATCGCCATGCCGAGGACTCCTTCGACGCCGCTCCTGACGCCGACGGCAGCGCGATTCTCCAGCATGCAGCAACAGCAACATCAGCAGCAACAGCAGCAGCAGCACGAGCAGCAGCAGCACTATGGCGTGGGCGAGTCGCCTCGTCACGCCCTTCCGCCCGGGAAACCGGCCTACCCACCTTACCCCCACGGGAACTTGCGGGATATCGAAGAAGAATACGAATCTGCCATGTCACCGTCAGAAATCAAGCGGCGCCGGTACAATCCAGGCACGCCGAACCGCCCCTACTATTATTCGGTACCTCCCTCCCCGAGCCTGTATCATCATCATCAGGGTCAGCTCCCTTCTCGGCATCACCATCCTCACTACCCTCACCACCCTCATCACGTTCATCACCCTTACGCGAGGCAGGCGAGACAGACCTCCATGGGCGGCATAGCCCCACCGACAGCAGTGCCAGGTCCCGGCTCAGGCTACGGAGCGGGCCCACTGCCTGGCCCGTCTGCTCTCGCGAGATCGAGCCACGGTGCAATGGGTCCGCCGCCTCCTCCTCCACCACATCCCCGACCAAGTCCCCGACCAAGCCCATCGGGAGCGTCGACGCCGTATCCTTCCTCCGGACCGGGCCGAGGCCGGGGTGGATTCGACGAGAGCCTGCGTCTTCCCCCCCTGCAGACGCAGATCCCCCCGCCCCCGTCCACCCCGACCCCGACCACCGCCGTCGAATCGGACCGCGACGCCATCTCCGGGATCCACCCGCCGGCACCGGCCTCGCTGGGGTTGGGATCGCTGCCACCGCACCTGCAGCCGCGCAACGGCGGCGGCGGCCAGGCGGCGCGCAGCCTCGAGGCGATGGTCATGACGATCCCGTTCATCAACAAGCTCAAGGTGCTGAGCAAAATCAGCCCGCCGCTGGCGCCTCCCGCTCCTCCCGGCCCGACGAGCCCGGGGGTCGAGACGCGGGGCGCGGTGGTCGCCGTCGAGGGCTCGGATCCCTCGGATAGTAGGGGCGTCGAGCAGGTCGGGGCCGCTATCCACCGGGCGCTGTTGGCTACGAACGAGGTGGAACTGAAGACGTGGGGTGACGATATGGCGACTGTGCCCGGAGGTCTGGGCGTGGGCGTGGGCGTGGGCGTGGGCATCGGGGTGGAAGAGGATCGGAGGATGAGTAGTGGTGGTAGCCACTCGGCCAGCACCAGCAGGAGGAGTAGCGTGCAGGCGACCGCCACAGGCGCCGGGACCGGGTTGTCCGATTCGGATTTGTATGTGGAATACATGCAAAAGGTGATGCGGTGGCATGAAAAGTCGCAGGAGATCACCAGACACGTCACAACGCGGGCCGGGTTGGGGTCCCGATTCCCGGGCGACAGTCAGAATCAGAATCAGAGTCAGCTGGTTCGGCGGGCTTCAGAGGGCGAGGCGATGTTGGCAGCGCGGATGGGGACTGGGTCTACAGCTGGGCCGGTTTCGTTTGGCCCCCCCGGACCGTCGTCGTCATCGTCTGCTTCCTCTTCACTTCCGTCTCCAAAGACGCCGGTGGCGCTTCTGACGGGAGGGTTCAGCTTGAGCCTGTCAGACAGGTACGCGTGCCGGATCCCCATCTCGGACTCTTACGCCCCCGTGGACCACTGGCAGTGGATGGCGACGCTGTGGAGGGGTATTGTGGGACCGGACCTGGTCATTTACGTGAAGACCTGCTCGGAGGAAGAAGTTCATGGTGGGCCGACGGTGGAGTTCAAGGATGCCCGGATCGTGGTGGTGAAAGTGGCAGAAGGGAAGGGCCTGGATGAGAAGACAGAGCGGCGGGCTTGTTTCGAGGTTGTTGAGTGGTTGCGCGGAGGGAGCTTTAGGGAAGGGTTTCGACGAGAGTAGGATGGGGGAAGAGGAGACTAAGAAAGTTGGTAAAAGGAACGTAGTATAGCGAGATTTGTCCATCCAAGGTGTTATCTGTGGATCTATACTGCCAGAGGTTTGTCTGTTCTAATAAGTTTTGTCTGGGGGGGTACCGAGATATCTGGTGATGTTTTTTTATCTGTTTATTCTTATTTATGTTGATTTTTTCTTGGTGTTTTGACAAGAAGTAAGTCAAGGGACGTTCCTGGCTGACATAATCAAATTAGGTTAATCGCATATCCATGTATCAAGGTGTACACTATCTCCGTCGCGTTTATCCGAACGCGTCCCCTCCGTTATTTTCTACCTACCTTATTTACTTTCCAGACTCTCAAGACCAACTACCAACTACCAACTACCAACTACCACCTACCACCTACTACTGACAACTGTGACAATTGAAGGGCCGGTGACCCTTCACGCAACGAAACAACGACTCCTCGATACGAACACGAACACGAACACGAACACGAACACAAACACAAACACAAACATGGTCGCCTTCCAATGAGGCCGCCAATATGTCAGAGCTAGCACTCGGCCAAACCATCCAACTCAGCGATGGCCGCATTGGTGTCGTCCGCTTTGTCGGCGCCGCCCACTTCGCCCCGGGCGAATGGGTCGGCATCGAGCTCGAAGAGGACTCCGGGAAGAACGATGGCAGCGTCCAGGGCGAGCGGTACTTCGACTGTGTCATGGGTCATGGCATGTTCGTCCGTCCCACCACCTTGACCATCATGGCCCAGCCACCTCCCCCTCCAGCAGCTGCCGCAGCGAAACCCCTGGTCCGCAAACCCAGTAGACCCAGCAGACCCAGCAGCTTCGCCCCGGCCACCGGTAGGGTAACGAGTACGGGAGATGCGAGTCTGAGCAAACGGATGAGTCTGAATGCCTCTAGTCCCAGCCCGGCACCGCGGGTGACTCGTCCGACCAGTATTGGGAGGGTAAGCTTAGCTCCATGATCAAGTTCTCCCCCTTTGTTTTATTTCATTTTTTCCCCCTCCCTCCTTCTTGCCATGTGTCGTTTGACTTGACTTGGCTTGGTCTGACCTGAGCCGACCCGACACCTGCTGTTTCTAGTCCCCTACAAAGTCTCCTACGAAACAACTCGGTTCGGCCAACTCCAGCAATGTCCCGTCTCGCACCGGCACCCCTCTTAACACCCGCGGCGCCATTACCGGTGCCACCAAGATTCGTCCGTCTGTCGGAGGCGCCCGCACCTCCATGGGACCTCCTCCCGTCCACACGTCCCGCGTATCCCGACAACCATCCATTTCTTCCACAACAGCACGCCCCGGGTCTGGGGCTGCCGCAAGACCCTCGAGCACCCGGCTCTCTCTCGCCGGTCGTGCTGTTTCGAAAGCGGAACCGGTACGGCGGCCATCAGTCGACTTGCAAGCTGGCAGGCGACCCGGCACGGGAACCGATGGAGAGGGTGGTGGTGGTCCTGGTGGTGGCGCCACATCGCCCTCTAAGGGAGCCGCTGGCAGGCCGTCGCCACCCATCACAAGCCCCGTACAGGCGAGGACCAGAGCGTTGGAGAGTAGGACAGCAAGTGGAGGAGCACAACCTCCGACAACTGCCGGCTCTGCGAGAGGTACAGCAACAACAACTGCGGCCGCCGCTCGGACAGCCACAGTGGCAGCCACAGCCACAGCGGCGAACAACACTGCCGTCGCCCGGGAGAACGAAGATCTCAAGGCCAAGCTGAGGGTGATGGAGCGGAAGAGGCTGGAAGACCGCGAGAAGCTCAAGCAGCTTGAGAAAGTCCAAGAAGAGCGGGACAAGTACGAGACCATCATCCAGAAGCTGCAGGCCAAGTTCCAACCTCAGCAAGCCGAGAACGCGGAGCTGCGGAAACAGCTGAAAGAAGCCGAGGCCATGTTGGAGTCCGTGGAACAACTCCAGGCCGAGCACGAGACCACCCTGGAGCTCGCCACCTTGGATCGGGAGATGGCCGAGGAGACGGCCGAAGTATTAAAAGCCGAACTGGACGCACTGAAACAGAAAACCGAAGAACTCGAGCTGGAGGTCGAGATCCTGCGCGAGGAGAATCAGGAGTTCTCCAACGGCATGACGCCCCAGGAGAGGTCCAGCGCCGGCTGGCTGCAGATGGAAAAGACCAACGAGCGTCTGAGGGAAGCCCTGCTACGCCTGCGAGACTTGACACAAGCACACGAGGCCGAGCTCAGGGACCAAATCAAGATGCTGGAGACCGACCTGCAAGAGTACGGCGCCGTCAAGGCGCAGTTTGAGACGGCCAAGGAGAAACTCGCGCAGTCCGAGACCACGGTCGAAGACCTTCGACAACAGCTGGATAACGCCCTGGGCGCGGAGGACATGATCGAGGACCTGACGGAGCGCAACATGAGCATGGCCGAGCAGATTGAGGAGCTCAGGGCCGTCGTCGAGGACCTGGAGAACCTCAAGGAGATCAACGACGAGCTCGAAATCAACCACGTCCAGAACGAAAAAGAGCTGCAGGAGGAGATTGACTTCAAGGACAGCGTCATCGCCGAGCAAGCGCGCCGCGCCGCCCAGCAGGAGGAGGCCATCGAGGATCTGGAGTACACGCTGTCCCGCTTCCGAGAGCTGGTCACGAGCCTGCAGAGCGACCTAGAGGATATGCGCGCCTCCAATGCCGTCACCGAGGCCGAGTCGGAACAGCTCGACACCAAGTCGCGTGCCATGATGGACCTGAACATGAAGCTCCAGATCTCCGCCGCCAAGACCCAGGTCAAGACCATCGACCTGGAGCTCCGGAGACTCGACGCCCAGGAAGCCGAACAGCACCTCGAGATTGTCAAGCTCTTCCTGCCCGAGACGTACGAGGAGGATCGGAACTCGGTCCTCGCCCTGCTGCGCTTCAAGCGGGTGGCCTTCAAGGCCGGTCTGCTGCAGGGCTTCCTCAAGGAACGTGTCAACGCCCAGCCGCACCCGCACCCGGGCCACGAGGACGACGTCTTCTCCGGCTGCGACGCCATCGACAAGCTCACGTGGGTGGCCGCCATGTGCGACCGCTTCGTCAGCGCCATCAGCCACTGCCCGCTGGAGCAGTTCCACCGCTTCCAGGGCGCGCTCTTCGAGCTCGAACCCGTCGAGCGGGCCCTCAACGGCTGGATCGACGGCCTGCGCCGGGACGAACTCAAGGAGGAGAAGTGCGCGAGCGAGCTTCAGCGCTCCATCGCGCTCATGTCTCACCTCGCCGAGGTGCATATCCCCACCGATGACAACCCGCGCGGCTTCGTCGACGACGTGCACATGCGCGCCGTCGTCTTGCAGAGCCATCTCGAGTCGGCAGCCGCCACCATCACGACGGCCCGGGCCATGGTGCAGAGGGTCGTGCCGTTGGCGTGGGAGAACAACGATAGCGGAGGAGGAGAAGGAGGAGAAGGAGAAGCAGAGAGCGACGAGCTGGCCCAGCTATTCGCCAAAAAAACCGAGTTCATGGTCAGCCAGACCCGCGGCGCCAAAGTCATCGCTGGCAAGGCGGTGCGTGCGCTGGAGGACCTCAAGACCCGGTCCCTGTCGCTGGTGCCGGATCCCGGTACGCAGGAAGCCTTCGAGCAATGCGAAGAGGCGGCCCGGGCCCTCGCTGCGCTCGCCCGCGACATCGGGGTCGACCTGCACGCGCTTCTCCACGAGGAGGGCCGCACCGAGCCGTACACCTACGCGGAGGTCCAGGACACGATGACGAAGACGTCGATGGCGGCCACATCGTCGAGCGAACCCGACATCTTCACGGCCTTCGCATCCAAACTCCGCGTCGTCGCCCAGAAGATCACCGACCTGGCGGCGCTGAGCAGCGACCTCACCCAGGTACAGGAATTCGACGTGGAACCGGCGCCCTGGAAGCTCCGAGCGGCGGAGCTCAAGGCGCTCAAGACGATCCCCGTCGACGCCGAGGAGGAACTGCGGCGCGTCAAGGAGGAGCACAACGAAGCGCGGCGCACGATCGCGCAGCGCGACGAGAGCCTCAGCACGGCGATGCTCAAAATCGAGACGCTCGAGTCGCGCATGCGGGACGCGCACGCCAAGGCGGCGCGGATGGAGGCGCTGGAGGCGCAGATCGAGGCGGCGCAGCAAGGGGCGGCGGCGCTCCGGGACGACATGGAGAAGCAGGACCGCGAGCTCAAGGCGCTCGAGGCGGAGCGCGATGACTGGAAGAAGCTGGTGGGCGACGGCAAGGCGTTCGCGGGCGGCGCGGCGTCTTCTTCTTCTTCGGCGGGCGGCGACGCGGCGCACCAGTCGGGCCAGGCGCGGGAGCGGGCGGTGGCGACGGCGACGGCGACGGCGCGCGAGATGGACGCGCTCAGGGCGGACGTGGCCAGCCTGCAGACGGCGGTGCGGTACCTGCGCGAGGACAACCGGCGGGCGAGGACGACGGAGCAGCGCGACTACGACTGGCTCGCCGAGCCGCTGCGCAGGGCGCCCTCGGCGGCCGAGCGGCGGCGGGCGCTGGTGGCGGCGGAGGGCCGGGACGTCCTGGGCGAGCTGGTGCGGTTTGCCACGGGGGCGAGGGTGTACGACCTCGGCGGTCTGCCGGTCGACAAGCTGGCGTGGCGGCCGGCCAGGAGCACGGCGCAGTACCATGCGGCCAAGCAGATGGAGGATCTGGCGGCGTGGAAGGGATGGAGGGATTCGGTGGCGGACAAGTCGGAAGTGGTGCTGGGCCGGAAGAAGGGCGGCGGCGCTGCCGGCGGTCTCGGTGGCGATGCCAGGAAGAGGGCCGAGACCCTGCGGCGCAACGCGGCGGCTGCGAGGTTGCAGGTTCGACTTCCCGGGTCGGATGGCAAGATGATGCCTGGCAGTGGACGACATGTTCAGATTGTGGGGTCTCAGGAGTGGGAGGGATTGCAAGGCCGGTTGGCGGCTGTATGAGCTTGAGCTTGAGCTTGAGCTTGTTCGGGGCTTTGTTTCATCTTCTTTTCTTCTTGATGTATTTGGTTCTTGATCATGAACGTATCGGCCATCGTTCATGACATTGGCGTGGCATTGCATAGTCTGCGTCTGCATATCATCGTGTCCTGTCTGTATGACTAGGATCAGATACCCCCTATAAGCTGCGGTCCCTATGTCTAGAATTATGAATTCTTTTCTTTGTCCTTCCTGGTTTTCGGCCCTTCGCTTTTCTCTCTTCGCCTAACCCTCTCCGGCATGCCCATGACGCATCATTCATGTTGTGGCCCGTCCCTGTTTAGTCCATGGCAAGCTTTCCATATCCATGCCAATAGATGAAGTCCCAACCCACCCTCTCAAGCCTTCCCCTTCCCCTTCTTCTTCTTCCCGCCCTTCTCCTTCTCCTCCAGAGCACCGGCAGGTCCACCGGGTCCTCCCATTATGGCAGCCATGGGATCACCCTGCATCTCCTTCATGATATCCTTGAACAGATTCTCGCTCACACCGCCACCGGACATAGCAGGGCTGATATACGGCACAAGCTCGGGAATCTTCCAACCGCGAGGCACGGCAGGGCGAGGCCAAGGTTTGCCGGGCGGGATGGCGGGGGGCACGCCCTGGATACGGGCGCGGAGGACGAGGCTGTCCTCCTTGACGGGGTTGGCGCGGAGGTGCTCGGCGACGAGGAGGTACAGGTGGTGCTTGTTCTCGACGGGACGGGTCGGGGCGGCGGCGGGGCTGCGGCCCTTGGCGGCGTCGGAAGGGATGCGCACCTTGACGCGGCCCGGGTTGCCCCAGTCCTTGGGGTGGGACTTGGCTGGTTCGAAGAGCGTGGGGAGGCGGAGGGCGGCGCAGGCGTTGACGATCTCCCGCGCGAGGGGGTTGCGGACGGCTAGGTGGGAGGCTACGCGGCGGCCCTCGGCGCGGGTGCGCGTGGCGTCGAAGTAGACCGGGTAGAGGCAGTGGTAGTCGGCGTATTGCTTCGCGTCGGTGGTGGTGTGGAAGTTGCCGTCTTGTGGTTGTTGTTGTTGTTGTTGTTGTTGCTGCTGGCCGGGTGCACGGGAGGAGGAAGCGGAGGGGGCGGACCCGACGTTGGATTGGGATGGGGTGACGGTCTTTGGATCTACCACGCGGCGGCGGATAATGTCTGTATCGGCAAAGTCTTCGATGTCGGCTTCGGAGGGGTCAGAGGGTTCGAGGTCCGAATCGGACACTTCTTCTATCCGGGCGTGGGACATGGTGAGATGGCCGAGCGAGCGACGTATCGACGTGTGGAGATAGTGTTTGCGGTAATAGTAGATGGTAAAGTCGAGATCTCTTTACGGAGAGAGCACCTTTATTCTGGAAGAGGTAGGGGCGGAGGTGAAATTGGACGGTGGTGATGATGATGAGGCTCTGTCGGTTGCTTGTGAAGGTGTTTTCGATTTCCCAGTTGTGACCGACGTGGGGTTCAAAGGATGGAGCAGGTACGTACAATGTATACAATGTACTTTGTGAAATGTCCCTAAGGTACCTTAGTCAGATGGTGAAAAGCGGGACACGAATAAACCCCTACCGTTTTGGGTTAGTTCCTCCGGGGATGTGGATCTCGACAATCCTGGGGGTCTATAGTACGTACCGTAATGTACCTCAGTATCTGGACTCTATCGCCAAAGTGAATCTCACATCTCCCCTACGGGAGTTCAATCTTTTCCATCTTTGAGAAGCAGGTCCCTTGATACATTCATTCACATGATATTCGGACCATCGAATTGTTCTCTAAGGTCATATTTTTGGATTTTATTCCTCCGAGAGCCTTGAACACCCATCTCGCAGTCTCCGTCTCTCCTTCTCTCCTCTCGCTGGTTATTTGGCCACCATCTATCTCACTTCGCAGACCAATCTTTTCAAGCCTCAATGGCTCTCCTAATCATTCTCAAGAGAGAAAATCCAAGACCTTCGGGGAGGACACCTATATAAAGCATATCCTGTGTCCCATGGCCATCTCATCGATAATATTTTATCAATCTAGTTATCTTTGATGTTTCTGTTCTTGAAGCTCGTGTCGGGAGGGTGATCTGCCACTCGAAATTTGCAGTACGGATGCACGCAAACGCCGTCTTTGACGCTGGGACACTGCAGTTTTCATCAGCCATTATTCTGAACGGTCAAAAAGAAAGGAAGAAGAAAAAATAAAAAGGAAGAAAAAAAGAGAGAGAAAAAGAGAGAGAAAAGAAAAAAAAGGGGGCAAAAAGAATACTAACATGATGGCCATAAATGCAGGAATCGAGGTCACAGTTCTGTCTCTTGCCGCAAGGATTGAACCGCGCAAGCAGAGCCAGAGCCTTGAGCTCCTCATCGCTCACTCTATACCTGTGCTCGAAAGAACAGTCATTGCCCTTGCCGCAGTAGCCCCTCAGGTAGTGGATGTTGCATAACCTCTCCTTTCTCTTCTTTATGGCGTCCACGACCACCGGGTTCGCCACGATGGGCTCATCTAGCCCGCGACGTCCGGGATTCCAAGCAGCAGCAGACGTCTCGGGACCGTCCACCTGTGCGCTTTTTCGGCCCTGCGCAGCTGCAGCCGCAGCCGCAGCCGCAGCCGCATTCTTGTGGACCAACGGGAGGAATATCTGCGGGGGCGGGCTAGCGCTGGTGCTGATGCTGGTGCTGGCGTTGACATTGGCGTTGGCCGTGATGCCTGCCCACGATGACGGTGTCATGGGACTACTCGTCGGCCCGGCGGCGGCGACAGCTGATCCATGGAAAAGAGCTGCGTTCGTAGGTGATGCGGGCCCGTGGTCGAACGGACTCGGTCGTCGAGAGACCGGCCTTCCATCAACCAGCTTGTCAAGGAGCTTATCCTTTCGAAACAGGGTGTCGATCTGGATCATGTTGACCCCGGTGTTGCGCAGTTCACGCACCGCCGGAACACCCTCGATGACCGTGACGCGGTTCCGGGCATCTCCATCGTTGAGTATCTCGTCCAGGAACGGCGCATATCCCGAGTCGTGGGAGATTCCTAACAAAATCTGCTTGCAGTTATGATTGCGCAAATTCCACCTGGTGGCCTCTGTTTAATTTAATTTTTTTTTTTTTACATCTCAGTCAGCCGGCCGATCCATCCACAAGTCCCATACTCCTGGCACGACGGGGCCGTCAATGATATGTACCTTTGATTTTCGAGTCGGCTCGTTCTTTTCCTTGTCCAACATCGACAAAGTCGAATGACGCCTTGGCCTGCGTGAAGCCCAGCGTAAAGTCCTTAAAGTCCGAATCCTTCTCAACGACGCCATGCCGCTGCATGGCCCTGCTGAGCCCGTTAAGGTTAGCATAGACTTTGGCAATAACTTCAACGTCGTCGGCCGGCTTTCCGCAAAGCCCTGCTATCTCGGCACGCAGGGCATAGGCCGCTTTCTTTCCTCCTTCTATCCCCTGACGAAGGAATTCTCCCAGAAACTAGGACGTATCACACATCGTTAGTGTGGATCGAAGACTGGGACGGGTGTGAGACGAAGGAGACGACGAAGGAGACAACAAAGGGATACAGGGCTGAACTGGGAGGGCGGGCAGACGTACCATAAGGCCATCGCCATCAATAAGCACCAAGACGTAAAGATTTCGGTTCTAGGGGAGAAGTTAGCCATCGGAAGTTCCAATATCCCCCGCACTCTCACCAAGGACGAGTCTTTCACCTTTAAACTGGCGTTGGTTTCGGTAATATCTATTAGATGATGCTGGAGCTCTCTCCTCGAATTTTTGGCATCCTCTAAATCAAACTGCGTCTCGTTTAGTTGCTGGACAAGCTCTGTGTTCTTCTCGCGGAGTGTCCTCTCGACGCTTTCGCAATAGAGAAGGAGGTCCTGTCACCGGTCATCAGTCACCAGTCGTCAGTCCGCATCCGCATCAGTCTGCTCTGTTGGAAGGAGAAGGGAACGGGCGAGAGCAAGAGAGAAATGAACGAAATAAAGAGTACCAAATCGTGGTATATAGCCTTACGCTTACCTTGATCAACTCATCGCTCGAGACTCGCTGGATCTGGAGGCTCTGATATCGCGAAACAAAATCCATGATTTCTTGGCTTAGGGACGCCATTTTTAGTGCACGTGAAATTGTTCCGCCTGGCAAAGAGTGGGCATGAAGGAGGAAGGATGTGACGATAGCCACCTGACTGCTTTAGCAGGAAAGATGGGGTGCTTGGAGCTTGCTAGACGGGATAGGATAGGTCTCTTATATATTTCGGCTGGTTGTGTTGCCACGAGTTTTGGCTGTTCTATCCCACCAACACATCGAGAGCTGGTAAGCACTTTAACTGCAGCATCGCTGGAGGGTTGTTTATAAATAAGTGAAAAATCATAAATGGAAGAAAGAGAGCTAAATTAAAATAAAAAGAGACTCTACTATTGACGAGTTATCTGGGTATGACTAGGCCAGGTCCCCCGGCCTTGGTCCTCTCCATTCCCGTACTCTGCGGTAGCTGAGGAAGGAAAGGAGAATGAGGATTGTCCATCGGTAAAACCAGCACAGCAAATAGCAAACAGGACAATGGCATATGGTCAGGAGACAGGGGAACAGGGGGCCGAGAACATTATTTGTCCCTGTGAAATCCTATTTCTGCTCAGTGAGCCCAGCTTGTACAATCACAGGCAACTCATATTAAGGAAGAACTATATAGTCTGGGTCCTTTTGACCTTTGCGCAGTTGCAGCTTCGTTGTCATAGTACTGGCTTTGTCGAGATGCTCTAGAGTTCCCAGTGGAAGACAAATAACCACAAGGATGGGAGTCCAATAAATACAGAAAATTCCTTACGAAGAGGGTATAAACGCGAAATACTGAATAATTCGAATTATACCGTGTGAGGAGGAGTTGTCAAATATGTAAAGGTCAGTAAGATACCTTAAGGTAGGTAACGACAAGTTGTGTTGGTTGAACTTTGACTGAGGTCATGGGTAAGGTATTTATTTGCGAGGGTCAGCTTTGGTTGCACAGAGTACAATACCTCCCACAACTGCAGGCACCCCAAGTAGTCGTCCAAACAGTGTGACCGATCTGAAAGCTAATCAACCACCACCACCACCGCCACCACCACCACCACTTTGCTAGCTTTCCGCCAGGGCAAAGCCAATTCCATAAAGTCACCTACTCTCCAACGCCGGCCGACTCGAGCTAGTTGCGACGACAGTCTACAACCGTCTAACATCCCATCTCAAACAGTGGACTCATATGCTTGATTCCCAATCCCACCAGGGTGCAGCTGCACCTGATAAGAAAAGAAAAAAAAAAGTCGTCGACAAAGCCTTGATTAAAATCTTTAAGTACTCAACGCCTACTCCCTTGGATGTGTTTCCCTCTGCTGGCGCCGACATGATGGGGGCTCTGCTGGCCCACCGTCGCTGACATGCAATGATAAAACTCATTCCTCCCCCCAATCTTAGATCAAACTTCAACTCTTCTCTGTTTGTTGCCCAGTGCCTTGTTTTCAGGCGCCCCCAGAAAAATCCACCTCATTAGGGAGAAATGACAGGAAAGAAATGTGGAAAAAGGGGAGGGAGAAAAAAAAAACAAGAAGACGTAATGTAATCGTACAATTACCAAAAAAACATGTATCCGTGTCCCAAGACGCCGTGCTCACTCACTGTCGTCTCTGTTTCTCTCTCTCTCCCGTCCGCAGGTAGGTCGACGTTCAGTTGTCTCTTTGTTCCTTTCATATGTACTGACAACCCGCCAGCTGAGTATCATCGTATCGTCACGGCTCCTCAAGACGACTTCTTCTGGTCGGCTCCCAGCCACGATGGGGCATTCTCCCACTTCTCGCTGTTCAGCTCGTCTTCCGTCCAGTAGAACTCGTCCTTCTCCGCAAGGATCTGCCTGTGGAACGCCTCGAGGAAGGCGCCGGGGATCTGCTGGCCGATGGCGATCTTGATCAAATCACTCTTGCCCGACCAGAGGTGCTTGACGAAGGTGCCTACGCATTCCGAACGGTCCTCGGGGAACCCGTTCGCCTCGGAGCACGGCAGCTCCTTGACACTGTCCTTGTAGTCGTACCGGATGAAGTTGCCGAAGCCGCCCTGGTCCGACGGCCGACCGAACGCCACGGTGCGGTAGTCGACGCAGTCCGGGTGCTTGCCGCCGTCGTCGGCGCACACGGCCCAGTCGTCCATCATGTTGAAAGTCACGGGGTGGTTCTGCGCGATGACGAAACCCGTGTTGTCGTACAGCTTGCCCTTCTTATCCCTGTTATGCTCGGCCTTGGGGTCGATCGAGAGAGAGACCAGGTCCTTCTTGGCGTCGATATCCCAGTAGTTTAGGAGCCACTCTACGGGGAGGTCCATGTGGTTGAAGATGGCGTCCGAGTCCATGTACACACACGTCTCGTGCTTCTCCAGCATCTTTCGGATGATGAACGGCTTCTTCCACGAAGCGCGTCGGTCCTGGAAATCGCCCGTCTTGACGTAGTAGTATTTATACCCGTGGATCTTGGCTGTAGCATGTGTTAGTTTCTTTCTTTCTTTTTTTTCTGGGGGGGTTTCCCTCCCATTCTCCAAGTTGAAGAACAGAGATAGACGAACCAAAGAGCCAGTGCTGCAAAACACCAAGCGACAAGCCATGAATCTCCTCAGGCTTCTCCCAAGTCAGGACCTTCCTGCCGAAAATCTGACCCGGTTCGTCGAAAGGCCGGCTGTCCAGGTCGAAGATGCAAAGATTCTTGCCCAAGGGCTTGGTCCACCGCTTCTTCGCTCCCTCGGGGAACTTCCACTCGAAAGCGCCATACGGCTTGTATTTGGGAGTATCGAGCTTGACAGACGGGGGGGAGATCTTCTCGATGAAGAAGTTGCGCATTTCTTGCTGGGGATCCGTCGTGCCGTCGCTTAACTGGGAGCCGCTGCCAGCATGTCCGTTGGATCTGCCGGGACCGAACGCGTCAGCCGAGCTTGGATTGAAAACACACAGGGAAAGAAAGACATCCGGAAGGGGTAGTATGGGCGGTAGTAGGAATGATTCAGGGAGAGGACCTACAAGGATGGGAAACCCCACGAATCGATGCGGTTGTGGGCAAGGCCAAGGAAGAGGACGATGAGCACGAGGGAGGCGACGAGCAGGGCCGCCGCCTTATTCGACCTCAGCAAGCCGGGAATCATGATTCAACCCAGTCGAAGCCAATCAATGTTGTGGTGGTGGTATGGCGTGGTTGAGACGTCGCGGTGGAGAAGAGGATGGGCGGGCAAGCCGAAATCCAGTCGTCTTTTCAATGAGGCCGGAATAACGAAAATACAGGATGTGTATGCTTAATGAATGGAGTTGAGCGTTGCAGGTAAGGGAACACTAAATCTGAAAATCGTGTTTTGGGCCAAGAGAGTGAACGAAGCGGGAAGCCAGGAAGGATTAGTGAGAGAATCCCTAAGAATTAATGGAGAGATAAAAAAGACGAAGTCGACAAGCCGGCGAACGTAAACTCTCCCGTCTCAAAATGCCGGCCTGCTATGCGTGACGCTCAAACGTCTCGCCCTCGAGTATCTATCACTGATGGGGCGAGATGGTTGGGAAGAAAGGCGAGGGGGGTTGAATCAGAGAGAGAATGAACAACAGAAAGGGAGTGGAGGGAACACACGGGAAAGAGATGATATGGAAGAGGAATGGTCGCTGAATTGCCCCTTCTCCCTTAGTCCAGATATGCAGGAGGGACGATCTTGGGTGTACGGGTACGGAGTACTTTTTTTTTTTCGTCGGCTTTAAAATTACGAAATGCGAGCTTGACTCGCCCAGCCGGACGGTTGTATTGGAACGTTGGGCCTGGGTCCGACCCAGATTTTGCCCAGGAACCTGGGCTTTTGTGGCCAGATCGGTAGGAGGTGGGGATTAGGTACGTACGAAGGTACAAATACCTTAGGTACGCAAAAAGGGGCGAAAAGGGGCGAAAAGGGGGAGGAGGTCAAGTTACAGTACAACGTACCTTATTAGGGTACAACGGCCCCTGATATGTTCCTGATGTGGCGCATTACCGGCCAAGTCTTGTGCCACGCCGTTGAAAATGAAGCCGTTTTTAACTTGTTCAAAATTCCTCGTCTCTGGTTCTCCGACCAGTCCATGTCGCATCGCTCTGCCTTGGTTCAAAACAAACCAAAACCAATCATAACAAAAATAACACAAAATAAAACGGAAACGAAAAAGGGGTTGACAGGCTTTGCCTAACATCTTCTCCAGCGAATCAGCGACACATGTTCAACTGATCCAATCCTTGCGCTAGTCTTTATTCAGTTTAGTGTAAAATTTCCGCCACGGATCATGTCCAAGAATCCAAGAACCCCCCTTCTTCAGCCATTCTGCCTGCGTTGTACCAAGATGAAGCGGCTCAAAAGACTGTGACACAAATACCAAATACAACAAGCATTTGGCTCATCTTTTAGGCTGTATCTCTGTGTTCATACGCCTGGGGGAAAGAATCGAAAACTACAGTCACAATTCAATCGGCACCTGGCAATAAAACATGCAAACTTGAAGTATCCTGTTGCGGAATGTGCGTGTACGAAGTATGTGCGAAATGGTAAGGTAAGGTAAGGTACCTTATACGGTGTACGAAGTACCCTTGGTGTACATTCGTCAGAACACGCGTCACTCTCTCTGAAGATCTCGAACCCCTGAAGCAGCAGCCAGAATATCGCATCGCCCGCTTATTGCTCATTCCCATCCCATTTCCCCCATCCTTTCCTGCCTTCGAACGCCAGAGACGAAGAGACATCCAATGTCCCTTTTTTTAGTATAAAGAGAGAAGAAAAAAAGAAAAACAAAGAATGAATGAAGAAAGCAACAAATGGAATAGCGCTGATCCACTATATCGATGCCGGATCGTACTGATTCATCAAATTCCAGAAACTGTCCCCTCCAAAAGCACCCTCGAAAATGTCCGACGTCGGCTGCTGCGGCGTCGTCATAGCCTGGTGCGTAGTGGGCCCCGTCGGTGCTTCCCATGAAGACATCCCTTCCCGGAGTATACCCACGTCGTTATAGAGAATGTCCCCTATCGCGAACAACGGCGCCACGTTGCTGAAGTCGAAATTGGTCGACATCCCCCAGTCTGGAGTTGCCGTCGTCGGCCGGAACGTCGCGACCGAAGGTAGCGGGCCCGGCGTTTCCAACTTCACCGCCATGTCTCCCGCCGGCGACATACCGATTCCGTTGCCCAGTTGCAGAGGGGTGTTGTCCGTCGTCGACGGCCCCGTCATGGCGGAATCCCTCGAGGACCCGAGCGTGTCCGCCTCCCCGGACGATATGGACGTCTGCGAGATGGTCGACACACTGCGCGCCGGCGCCTGGTTATCGATGGCTTTCCTCAGCTTCGTGTAGATGGCCTGGAGCACGCCCCTCGCCGCCTTGGCCAGCTTGTTCCTCTCCGACATGGCACTGAACCTCTCCATGGTCCACTGGAATTCCTGCAACGCTTTGGGCGCAAGGTTCAGATTCTCCTTGGGGAAAAGGATATGGATGGACGCCATGAGCACAACGGCGTCAAAGCTTCCGAAAAAGAGTTGAAAACTATAATTTTCATTAGCACCGACGAGCCCCCGGGGGGGGGGGGGGGGGATAACGAGGAAAGGAAAAATGACATACTTCCTCCAAGACTTTGGATCCATGTCCTGGAACGCGTTCATCTGATTCTGTAGGCTCTCTATGCTCTCTCGGAGCGCCACCAACCTGCTCTCCCTGCGATGGAACACATAAGGCCGATGCAGGGCAATGAAGTTGAAGTGGTGACTCTGCGACAGGTAGGACCTGCAGCCCGGCAGCCACCAACAGTCGGGATGATTGTCCCATCGCGTGTCCGGGTTTTCCAGCCGGAAGTACGCCGGTATCTCGTCAGCGACCCTCTGAGCCAGTTCGTGCGCCCGGTTGACCTTGTCGTAATTCTTCGGACAGGGCCCATCCTGCTCGAGTTCCACCACCTGCACGAGTGGCGCCATGAGATTGAACGAGGCAAGCTGTTTCGTCACCGGAGATGGGGGATCCCTTTCCTCGTCTCGTACGCTTAACGGCGTCCTGCGCCGGTCCTTTGGTATGGGGGCGTCTATCGGCAAGCTCGGCCGCGGCGCTCGCCAGTCGACGGTACCTGGTCGGCCTAGAACGACTGCGCAATGAAGGTCCCTGAGCAGTAGTGAATTGCGCTTGTAAGCCTAGGGTCGTGCTAACAAAAGAAAAAAAATACAAAAAAAGAATCGGCATTGTGACACGTACCACATCAATAGCACCATGTATAATCTCCTACGGCTCTGAATGTGCCACTGATTCTCGAGCATATCTTCGAGGGAGTCACTTGCAGGTTTCGGATCCAGGCCGTCTCTGTGCATCCCCGTTTCTTGCGCATCTTTAATGGCGCTTCCGATGGCATGCCACTAGAGAGTTGTGTCTGTCAGCAACGAATGCGAATGCGACTAGTAACACACTTGACGGCTCGTAGGGGAAAGGGGGTTTCATCATTACCGCATCCGCTACTTTCCCCATGTGCTTTAGAAAGTTGGCTCTCAAGAATGAGGCTTGCACAGCCACCAAAGTCATGTCGCGCTTGCCCAGTAATTGCATGATGGCGACTCCCGAGTCGCTGTAGTCCGTCGCAAGATCCTCAAAAGTCATGTTTCCGGCGTACTTCAGATGATCGAAGTACTCGTGCGGCTCTTCGGTAAGGGCCAGGAGCGCGGTCGCCAGGACTTGGAACATCAATGCCGGGTACATCCTCATGTCGGGCGACAGGCCCTGGGGCCCGGAGGAGGAGAGGACGCTGAAGGAGATGTTGTCCCAATCGGCCAGCTGCTGCATGAACACGTCCTCATCGAGGGCGTAGTAGTTGTGGTTGAACTCCCTCAGGTAGATGCGTATGAGCTTCTCCATGTAGCTCTTAGCCGGGAGCTGCCTGATCAGGGCCTTATACTTTTCCTTCGTGATGAGCACGTCGTCTCCGACCCCGGTGGACGACGCCGCGAGGCCGGATTCCCCGTTGGCATTTTCGATCCTCCTCAGAAACCCGAGGGTAGACCCGCTCGATTGGGAGTAACCCCAGTTGGCAGCTGCCGTAGAGAGGCTTTGGAAGGGCGGTAGCATGGGCCCATCGTGCTCGGATCGCCCCGCGTTCTTGATCGAAGTCTTCCCCAGTTCCTTGGCCGTCGGCGCACCGGTCTCGTATTGACAGGACGTCTCTTTGTTTCGCGATTTGCAGTTGCCGCAAGGTAGCTCTCGATCGCACTAGGCCGCGCACCAGTCAGGTTAGCTGGAGAGGAACCCCCGCTTCAGAGCCGTAGCCGTACGGGGGCGACAGACCTTCTGTTTCCTCCTGTGACACTCGGTGCACGATATGACTATGCGCCGGCGCTTTTTCGGTGGTCGGCGGTGATCCGGCGGCTCCTGAGGATCATCCCGTCTTGGGATTTCGGGTGAACCGTCGATGTCGTTTGGCGCGTCCGTCACCATTGGGGCGGCCAGTTCGGTGTGGTGGCAAGGCAGCTTGTGGAGATTGTCGAGTAAAGGAAGCGACCAATGAGGATTGCGTTGCGCGAACAAAATGAGACGAAGGGCACTTGGACGCGAAAGAGTTTATACTGTCAAAGGTAGGTAGTGATTGAAGGCGTGTAATAAGCGATAAAAAAGAGAGAAGGGGGTTTGCTGTCTTCGGTTCGGTGTGTGGTTCAGCGACGCCCACTACAGACAGTACAGTGCGTTAGAATCTTGGAGATAAAGTCGCTGACGATGCAATTCGCTTTTGTCCTCCCACCCTACTGCTTTGATGTTATCGGAAAATGCCGAAGGCATATTACAGAGGTGGGGGAGTTTATCGGGCGTGCAGTAATTACGAGCACCGCCCTATTATTAACTCCCTTACGAAGCAAGCTAGTACCCGTGCCACGCCCCACTTATATTAGTTCGTTAGAACTCACTAGCCTATAAGCTAGTGCTAGAGAGTTATATCGCTAGGATAGTTAAATCGCTACTTTTTAGAAGCTATTTATAATAACCGCGTTTTTATCTATACTAATAACCTATTTTAACCTTTTTTAATATAGAATCTCGTATCGTTATAGCTTTTGAATTTATAAAGTAATTCCCTAACGCTAAAGTCGTAACGGTAGCGCGTTATTTCGAAATCCCCTAATATAAGCTCCGGTCACGCCTCCAGGGCCGCCCTACTTAAACTAGCCATAGATCACCTAATTTAAAGCTTTTAAAGCCAGAAGAAAAAGCCCTATACTATTATATCGACCGCCTTAATAGTATTAACCTTACGGTTTAACCCGAGTTTATTACTAACGCTATAAACACGGTTCTATAGACGTATCATAATAAAGAAGACTACCCTGCCCCTACTATTAGTCGATAATAGATTACGCGGTTTATCTAATAGCACGGCTACTTTAAAAGGAAGTAAAAGAAAATAGATACGAACCGTTAGACTACCGAGGATTCTGAACGGGTTCTTTAATACTTTAACTAATTACGGGAGGTTATATAGGAAAACGGAATCCTACCAGAATATATCTAGAATATAGATAAGACTAGCTTTTAGATTAGGATAGGTAAGGGTTATAATCACTAAACGGGATAAATCCTATTATTTTAGGACCCTATAGAATAGAGAGTCTATAATAACGATTAAAGCTATCTTAGTGGCTAGCGTTATTATTTCTGTTTTCCTGATTTTAAGTGGTAAAGTCTATATACGGTAATAGTATAAACTAAAAGAGATAGCTAACGGAATAATAACGGCCGTATCGCTAACTAGATACACTAACGACTAGGTTAGCTACACCTTATTTTACTATAAAGTATCCTACTAACTATATAATAGATTAGCCTAGACTGGCTAGAGTATTTCGACGAGTACTCTAAGAAGTTATCTATTAGCGCGAAGCGGCTATTAATCCTAGATAGGCACGGCTTCCACTATATACGTAAATTTATATAATATTATAACAATTATAATATTATCCCTTTTAGATTACCTCCTTATCTAACCTATATACTTTAACCGCTTAACGTTATTATTTTCTAGCCTCTAAAGCACTACCACGCTAAAGCCCTTAACTAGCTAATTCGCGATAAAGTCGTTAATATCACGAAGCTTAAATTCCTCTTATTACTTAAGGGCGTATATAAGTAGGCGTTTAAGTAGTTAATAATCCTTTCGGCCTTTAGAAAAACAGGGATCTATCTATTTAACCCTTAGATTATCCTATAGTAGTTAGAAGAACGTAGACCTCGGATATCCACCCCGCCTCCTACTCCTTCTAATAGGTCCTCGAACCCGGTAACGCTAGTAACCCTTTATTAGATATATCGTTCTGCCCGTAGGATAGCTAAATAACGTGATAAGGATAAGGTTACAAAGGCAGAGCGTATCGTAGAGGCTACGCGTTTAAAGAGATAAAGAGTATATAAAAAGGTAGGCGAAGACGCTATAAAGATAGCTAGGGCTTAGGTAAGGGCTAAGCGATTAGGTAAGCTAAGTACTACGTAGGGGATAGGTTACTAGGTTATGTTATCGTGTTAGTTATAAATAGCTTTAAAATCGTAAAAAAGTGGCGATTTAACTATCCTGGCGATATAACTATCCAGCACCAGCTTATAGGCTGGTGAGTTCTAACGAACTAATATAAGTGGGGCGTGGCACGGGTAGAGGTCTGGTGTAAGTGGAGGTGAGACCGTTGGTGGAGTTGATGACAAAGGTGGAAACGGGTTGAAGATAAAGGTTTGTATCTCACCTGGCCCTTGCGCCTGGTGGTCGTGCCAAACCTTAACCCCGTCAAACCCCAGCTATATCCGACACCACGACCTCATAGTCAACCATTATCGTCAGTAAACTAATAAGGCAAGGTACCTAGTAATTCTATAGCTCTTCAACGTCAGGTATAAGTGAAACGAAAAAAAAAAAAAAAAAAAAAAAGGCCAACCAGGGCCTCGATGTGTTCGTATATGAATTGCTTAATACCCGTTGCAGAAGACGCAACGGACCAACTTTTTTTCCCTTGTATCCCCTATCCCCTTTTATCCCATTTTATCCACTTGCTATCCTCCCTCTGTTGCGCGATACTCCAAGGTCGAGGCATCAGCTGCCGCTTGATGGGCGCCCGAATAAATAAACAAAAGTATACGTTTTTCTTCTTTCTTTCCTTTCAATGGCCATTCAGAAAGCCAGGTATTTTTCTTGGGCCGTGTTGATGTTATGTCCTCCCCAACGCCGTCGCCTTTTCCCTTGGATGCCAATCCCGCTAGTCTTGTGTAGTTGCCACTCCAATAGAAAGCCTAACACCCACTGCGGCAACATGCACAAAAAGAAAAATAGGTATCCTTCAAATTCCGTTTTTTTCTTCTTCTTCTTTTCGTACATCGATGTTACGTATTCTTGGTCACCCGCGAGAGATACGCCTTCCAGGCAGTCGTTCGGTATCTCTCGGCCTCGGACTGGGGATCCCCGGCTTTCAGGATACCCCGACCCACGATGACAATGTCGGTGCCGCAGAGGCCGATAAGCTTCTGGGGCGTGTTGTACCGCTGACCCAACCCGTCGCCTGCCACGGTCCCGTTCTCTTCCTCTCCTTCGGGCGGCAGCTGACAGCCGGGGGTCATGTGGATGAAATGGTCGTCCGGTTCGGAGTTGAGGCTCTCCTGGGAAACGAAGCCCATGACGAAGCGACGGTGCTCCCTCGCAGCCTCCACGCAGGCTTGCGTGTACTCGCGGTTCATGAAGTTGCCCGCACTCGACATCTGCGCGAGGATCAAGAGTCCGCGCTCTATGGGCGGTTCGTCGATGCCGGCGTACAGGCAGTCCTCGCCTTTGGTCTCGTCCCGGGGGAATCTGGGTGATGTCGCCGACTCGTAGTGCTGCGTCAATGTCGTGACGGAGACGATGCTTCCCTTTCGACCTACGCCCTCCCTATTCTGGCCTTCTTCGTCCGTGTTCCACCACCCCGACTCCTCCGGTTGTTCGTCGAAGGTGTCTGACCGCGGCGTGCCCACGGTGACCGAAGTCTTGACCTCGTATTGGTATCGCTCGCGCCATTTCGCCTCCGCCTCCGCCAGGGCGGTCACGGCGGCCTTGCCGGGCACCATGTTGACGTTGACGATGTGCGCCCAGTCGATGATGCGGGCCGAGCCGCCCACGTACTGCATCTGGACCGTGTGCCCGATGTCGCCGAACTTTCGATCTTCGAATATGAGGAACCCGTGCTTGCGGGCCAGCTGCGCCAGTCTCGCGCCGGTCCCGGTGTGCGGGTGGAAGTCCCAACCGGAGACGACGTCATGGTGTGTCTTGAGCACCACTATGGACGGGCCAACCTTGTCGGCTAGCTGGAGCAGCTCGCGAGCGGTCGAGACGTCGGCGCTGAGGCAGAGATTGGATGCCTTGAGGTCCATCAGTCGCAGCAGATACGCCGTGAGCGGGTGCGTAGCCGTCTGCGCCCGACTGGAGAAAGTCTCCAGTAAGGTGGGGTGACGCGTGGGCATTGCGAACGATGTGCCGAGGCGGGCGTTGAGGTTATGGTTGGTGTGACGGATGACGGTTCTGGGCTAGCAAGCTGTGGCGCAAAACAGGTACTTCTCCTGAGAGAAGCACTACGGAAGTACGGAGTAGGGGGTACAGAGTACAGAGCAGTTCGCCAGATGGATGGATTTGAGTCGGAAGTCGAGAGGTCTCAGCAATCTCAAAGCTGCTCAGAAGAAAAGACGAGGGGACCCAACAAGGTTTTGAAGGCGGGTGAGTTAAAGAGGCCGCAGGACGCTCGACGAAGCCACCAAGGTCCAGACCACCCACAAACACGGCAATACGGGACGTGAAGGTGAGCTACTAGAGAGTGGTCACCTATATCTCACAGGCCCCGCTTGTTGGACCGGAAGTGGTTCCCGTGCAGGTGTAGCTCTTCGTTGGACAGCGTGGCTGTAATAGGGAGTCAAAGCTAAGTGTATATCGTTGTGGAACGGTTGAGAAGCGACATAAGAGGATAATTGGAAGAAGAAGGGGGAGGGGGAAATGGGAGCGATGACACAGGGGGTGAAAAGTTGTGATACTTAGCCTTGGGCTAAGATTTACACTACTAGCGTGCCCAGTTACGTACCTAGGGTACCGAAATGCGACATGGTCGGCAAGAAAACTCAGGTATTCGTAAGGTAAGGTAGGGACGACTGTTGTAGTACTCTACATACTCTTCTCCGTACCTTATTTTACTACCTTACCATTGCGCATCGTAGGTGATGGTACTGTAGGTATCCCTACCGATGTACGGCTACCTATTGGAACTAGGGAGGGAATTACGGATAGGGGGTGTAGGGATTCAGTTATGACTAAGGTACTTGTACGAAGTAGGGAGTGACAGCGCGGCGGCTTGGTGGAAGTGGGGCCCTAAACTAGTATCGTACTGGTTGTCCAAGTACGAAGTCGAATGTTGGCGATATTTGACGACTCTACGGGGTTTTTTTTTTTTTTTTTTTTTGGATTGGTGGTTTTCCGGGAGGGGAGAGCGCCAGGCACTCCGCTGACTGCGACCGGTGAGCCCCAGCCCGCACGGCCGGGATATGGGAGTAGGAAACGGCAGAGGGGCGCCAATTAATCGCCCGTAGGGGCAAAAAAAAGTCGGTAGGCAAAGTACTTTACACTGCAATACCACTGCAATACCACCCTCCGGCGTCATCAGGCTGCGAACCAATCTGGCCACCAATATGTCTACCTCCTCAGTTAGGCAATGGGGGATATTATCTGCCGTGATGGCCCGTCGGCTTCCTCCGCCTTAAGCTGAATAGTATTCGTACCCCATGTTTGTCTCTCTCGAGGTATAGAAAATAGAGACCCCTTTACGATTCTGGTCAGCTTGGAATATATGTGCTTTGGTAATTACGTGGGCATGGGGGGCTTATTAGGAGGGTCGTCAACCCAGTGTCCGTGCATGCCGATCCCTTTTCAAACATTTACGAGGTCATCCATCATTTTCACATCTGAGTGAGTAGCTAAGCGGGAAGTAAGACCTGCATACTGCGCTGCGCACTGGTTGGGAATAATTGGGAATAAATAGTTAATAGGCTCCCAAGCCAACGACACTGGGAAAAGCCCAATATTTAATTAATAATGCTTCTTAAACGAGAGAACCAATTGTCTGGAGCTGACTGATGTTGAGAGAAAATACCGGCTTCGAGGTGACGCGATCTGAACCCATTGACAGAGACGCTTCTACCCTACCTTATTAGGCCGAAAGATGAATTAGTAGCTCTGGTTCAGACGAACCCCAAGACACAAAGATCTCCTAGGAATCATACAGAAGGGTCGTCGACAGCCGAGGTTCTTGAATGCAAAGTCGGTCCGCGCTCCCTAATCCGTCTCCTAGTGTATATTGGTACCTATTCGGCCGACTGCATGTCGGAAGTATCTTACTCGTCGCAGCCAGATTTATATATATATGAGGCACGAATATGCATGCTGCAAGAAACACCGAGGGGCGAGAGTACGTTGTAAGGGTTGTCATATATTTCGGGGCTTCGCGAGTACGAGCAAGGTGTGCGGAAATCGAACAAAAGAAAGAGGCAGGGGAAAAAACCACTCGGTTCATGCAAGAGTATGTACGAACACGTACATTATTAGTCGGCTTGACCTACCTGAGAAAATATAGTGGTTCATATTTGGAACCCCCCGCTGAAGATACAGAGGGGTTAGGAGTGCAGACGGAAACCCTTAGCAACACGGAGCACATACTGCAGTATCAGCGGTACTCGGTGTATAAGGCAATTAGTGAAAGCAAAACCTCGCAGTTTCTACATCGTTCCGAGGATATGAAGAGATGAAGATCTGTCGACCATGATCAATGGTGTCGTGCCGTCTCCGACGTCCCTCGACGTATGTCTGTATTACAGTACTTATCTTACCTTACCTGGTAGTATGTAATTAAGGTAGGTACCTGCGTGGTGTGGCACGGGTCAATAATGGTCGCCCGAGGCCGAAGGGCCGACAGCATTGAGGCCGATGCAGGGAAGAAAGCGAGCGCGACGTCCCATTCAGCTGTCGGTGTTCCCGCATTTCATTCGCCACCTGTCGGGTAGTTTGACTACGAGATTCGGAAGGTCGAGAGATCAGTATCTCACCAGTCACGACAGCTAACCCACTGGTATGGATGGCTCGCTGTTATATCGACTGCGTCTCCTCTTCTTTCCCCCCCTCTCCTCCCTCCCCCCTCTCCCCCTCTCCCCCATTCCCCCATTTCCCTCCTTCTCTCTCTTTCTTTTTTTTTTCCGCCATTTCATTTATTTATTTTAAAGACCGTGTTCCTTTTCCGTCGATCGCATTGTCCCGCTCGCTAAGACGTCAACCGAAAACCCTGGTGGACCTCGGCGAGCTCTAGCATGTCGTTGTCTCCTTGCGTCACTACGTCCACTATATGGACTTCCCGACTCTTTGCATCCTTTTATCCTTATGTCAGAACAATCGGGTCAAGGTACCGCGGAAGAGATTCAATTTCCCAAAGTAGGGTAAAGGTAAGTAAAAGTAAATGCCTACACCCAACCTGAAGTTGTACACTACCGCGGAAGGACAGGGAGGAGGCAGTTGAGAGACGTCACCCCGTCGCATCCATCCCTCCATCTATCAGCTGTCACCTAAGGTAACTGATAAAATAAGCTGATAACAGGAAAGGTTAATAATTTACTCGGGTTCTCTCAGGAGGCATCCGTACAGTATTTTAAGTCGCATACACTATGAAATAAAAGACATATGAAGTACCGGGTTGATAGATGTTGGGCGTGTTGATTACGCCGCAGTACGGCGCACACAGTACGGGCTGGCCATATGTGTGTATGTTGTACAGGTACCTACCTGTAAGGTACCTGGCAACCCACCGATAAGGTGATGCTACATAATTTTGTCGCCCAGCTCTTTGGGATCCGGCCATCCCGACGTCAATCCACCTCACACCGAAGTCTTTTGACTAGGTATACTTCTCCTTTCTACCCACCAGGCTATACTTGATAATTCTTAGTTTCTCTCTCTCGGAACCTTCTTTTCTTCCCTTCTTTTCCCGTTTCTGGGCAGTCCTGATCGCCTGTATCTGCGGAGTACAGACGCTTCGCGAACCACACGTGTAATCTCAGCTAACAATACCAAGCTATCTAACGTCTTTACGCGCCAACCCTCGGGTCCACGTCACCCACCCTTTCTACCTCCCGCCCTAACGACTGTCCTTTCTGTTCCGACATCAACACAACATCCTAACGCCTTCTTTAACACAACGCTGGTCGTCTTTCCCTTCCGTTCAATATCATCATGTCGACACGCCAGAATACCAGGCAGGCCGCTACAGCTACGGACGGTATCCGCTCTGCAAAGGCTACAGAGGAAGAAGACCAAGGCCTCATGAATGTCAACGGCTCTGCCCACACGGTCCCTGGCGGTGCAGTCAAGGAGAACATCTTCCTGTTCTGGCCCAATGTCATTGGTACGCATTCGCCTAGTCTTTTAGCTGTTCTTGCCACTATGGAGTGGACGATTCTACTTCAGCGAACTTCTGTTACTAACAATATCTTCTTTGGCTACCCCTTCTAGGCTACGTCCGGATCGTCTTGGCGCTTGCCTCCCTCTACTACATGCCCCTCCACCCTCGAACCTGTTCTCTTCTTTACAGCGTGTCCTGCCTGCTAGACGCTCTTGACGGCTACGCAGCCCGTGCTTTCGAACAATCCACCCGCTTCGGCGCCGTCCTTGACATGGTGACGGACCGATGCACGACCTCTTGCTTGCTAATGTTCCTGGCTTGTGCCTTCCCGAGATGGACCATCGTCTTCCAGGGCCTCCTCGCCCTCGACTTCTCGAGCCACTATATGCACATGTACGCTTCCCTGGTCATGGGAGGCGCCGAGACGAGCCACAAGAACGTCGACAAGAGCCGGAGCTGGATACTCAGTCTTTACTACACTAATAAGGTGCGACCCAACACAAACAAAAAAAAGAAAAAGGGGAACGCGGGTTCGACCCGAGTTTCGATTGCCGGACGTTGCTAACAATGGTTTTTGACCTAGACCGTCCTTTTCGTGTTCTGCGCCTTGAACGAGCTCTTCTTCATCGCCCTCTACCTCCTCTCCTTTTCCTCGCCTCTCCTATCGCCCTCGCTCCTCAGTAGCGTGGGCGAGGCCAGCGCCGCCCAGATTCAAGCCGGTGGGCAAGTCAATTCGTCTCTGCTGGGCCAGATCTTCGTGAATCCTTACAGTGCGGCGGCGCTGGAATTCGCTCGCGCCAACAAGATGGACTCGTTCTGGCCCTGGGTCCTAGCCGGCGTCAGCTTCCCCGTCATGGCTGGCAAGCAGCTTATCAATGCTGTGCAGCTCGTCAATGCCAGCAAGTGGCTTGCGGAGGGTGACCTGCAGTCAAGGAAGCAACAGGGCCTGCCGAGGAAGAAGAACGACTAAACAAAGCCGGCCAGCTTGATTTTGCCTATACGGGTAAAAAAAAGGACCTTTGGAGTCCTGGACTGTGGTCTACCTCTTTTCGGACCAGGTTTCTATACCCCGACAGAGCGCGGTGATCAAGCTGTTCGGGACGAATGTGGGACGGTCGCGAGAGGGAAGTAAGTACTGGAAGGTCTGTCTTTGGGAATTGGTTTGGGAGGCGTTGCTTGGGCGAGCTATCAACTGTATTGATCCTGATACCTGATATTGGGACTCGGAATTGCTCAACGGATCAGGGGTCAGAGGTCAAGGGTCTATCAGGGAATGGTCATGGGTTGGAATAGCATGGGACGGTGGGCGAATATGCCCATTAGGCGCCTCGTGCTGTCAGATTGCCATCTGAATCGTCCTAGGAGCGGGCGATGGGGCCTCCAGCTGTGGCCACCTTGTGGTGATGGAGGATCGCTGGATTCCTTCAGTCGAGGTGGGATTGGCTTCATGGCGTCGGCGTTATAGTGACAGGCATGATAGACTAATAATAATAGCCTTTATATTGTCTACCTTAGGTATATATTCAACTCCCCCAGCGTGTCTTTTATCTCTGTCCTCTCCGTAACTATCGATCCATGGGCTTTCTCGAAGAAAGGTACAGTACGGATATCTGCTGGAGTACGGAATATTAGAGGGACCCGCAATGATGTAACTCCGTTCTGGCTGCTTACCTAACTCTCACTTTACGGGGAAAGGGTCAGGTAATTATCAATAAGACGTGCGGCTCTTGTTCAATATCGCTTCCATGAACAGTCGTGACAGCACCTTGCCACCGTCTCCCCTTGGGAAATATTTGTAATTGGAATTCTAACCCTATTCAGGACCCCTAAATACTCGGCTTGCACTCTGGAGAGATTACGACGAACCCGACGTTGAGCCCCTACCTAATCTTATGCGTCTCTTAACTTCTGGTTCCCTTGGGCTGGGATGGACGACAGCGCTCCTGGCCAAGATGGAGACTCATCTGATTCGACTACGAAGAACGCGGTGCCTGTTATCACAATCTCTCCGGTAGGCGAGGTCATTCTGGACATGACGTTCGAGAACTCTCCAGAAACTATCAAAGCCGCGAAGAGATCGTACCAAAAAGCCATCAAGAGGCCTGGGGCGACCCGTGTCCCGGAGCCCAACTTAAATCCTCGGGTTCGAGTCGCTTTCCGGGTTGAAATTGATGTCTTGCGGAAACATTCCAAGTATTTCGACAACCTGCTGGGCAACAAGCAATTCGCCGAAGCTCGGCTCATTGAGGACGCCTTGTCCCGGCTAAACCTCGAGAATCTCAAGGCCCAGGACGAAGACCCGTCCGCTCTTCCATGGATCCCCATCACAGACGATGACGAGGCCACCAGGTCTGTGGGCCGGGAAAAGGTTCTGGGAGATATGCTAAGGATCCTCCACGATAAGCCCGTACAGACAGGCGCCAGCGCGATCAATATGCTCTACGTCACAACTCTCGCCGTCCTCGCCGACCGTTTTGATTGCCGCCGCACAGTCTCCCGGTATCTGGGCCGCAACTTGAAGTTCAAGTGGCCCGTGACGACCAACGGTAGAAGCAGTAGCAGCGGTAGCGGCAGCGGCAGCGGCAGCAATGGTAACAGCAGCAACCAAGTGTCCTTGAGGCCGTCTGACCAGGCCAAGAACAGCCTCGCCAACGAGCAGCTGCTGCGCCAGAAGATTCTCGTTGCCTGGCTCCTCGAGCAGCCCCTGAAACTGCACAACGTCACCCGAGAGATCACCATGCGCGGATCGGTCCTCTGGAGCGCTCTCGGGCCGCCGGAAGACGCCCCCCTTACGGAAGCATGGTGGGAGCTCCCCGATGGTCTGGAGCGTGAGTCTTGTCTTTCCCGGTTTTATTTTTTCTTTTCTTCCCCCCTCCCCCTCTTCATTCAGTTCGTCAACCCGACCGACCATCTCTGTAAAGCAAAATATCATCACGGGGCATACGAAACTAATGTAAACGAAAGGTGAGCTCCAATACCGCCGCGAAGCCATTCTAAACACCATCGCTTCGATCCAGCGACACTTTCTCTCCCTCTACTCGTCGCGCGAGCGCCAGTGCAAACTTGGCTACGACTCGTCCTCGGCATGCGATCTGTTCCAGCTAGGCCAGATGCTCAAGTTCTTCACGGGGAAAGGACTGGTCAGCCTACTTGACTTCGGACCCAGCTCGCTCGACGCCCTCTCGGACCCGGCAGCTTCCGCCTCTCTCAGCTCTCCCTCTGTCGGTTCTTCCCCCGTCTCCACGACTACGACTTCGACAATGATAGTTTCCGGTCAGGTCGATGTCGACGACCTCCTCGCCACCCTGCGCCAGTGCCCAGCCTACCAGGTCGACAAAAACCACACCAACTGCGGTCTGCGCACGCGCATCGAGCCCATCGTCGACTACGTCCAGGCCATGCTGTCGTCCAACGTCGTGTCCGTATCCCACACCGAGTGGAGCCGAAATCGCGCCGCTTGCTCCTGGGCCGCCAGTGCCAGCACCGATCGTACCGCTGACGGGATAGATGCGGCGGCAGCCAGCAGGAGAGAGAGGAGGACGTTCGCGTTCACGAGGAGCTTGGCCTTCGACCAGAGGCTGAGGTACGAAGGAGCCCTTTATGCCGACAAGATGGCTCGGCAGCTGTTCACCGCGGATGGGTGGGATTGGACCCCGGAGTATTGATCTTTTCTAGTCCCGTCTGTTGCGTCGTTCCATGTCCACTCAGACTTTATGATACGACTACATATAAACATATATCACGCACTTCTATGGTGTTCCTCCCCCGAGGACAATGCCTGGTGCTCAACTCATATGCCCACCAAAACTCCTTGCTCTTACCTTGAATACTGTGTAGGGTAGACCAGATGAACCAAACGTGAGGGGAAAAAGGAGAGAAGAAGGAGAAGAAAAGACACAAACAAAATCACCCTCATGCCTTGACATGATTATACTAAACATGCTCCCCAGGGTAAGAGGGAGAAAGACATGCACATATATATATTCCATCACCTCGTCCCCCGTCGGGGATCAGACGCTTCCGCCCGCCGAACATCCCGGATCTCCTTGGTACCCAGGCTGCCGACGCCGCCCTCAGAGCGACGCTCCCACCCACCCAGCCGGACGACGAGGCATGTAGCATTGTCACCATTGGCCGACACCTCGGTGGCGTAATTGACAACGTCCTGCGACCCTTGCTCCGGAGTTCGCGCTTCCTTGATAACGTCGACAATCTCCTGATCGCTCAGCGTACCGGATACGCCGTCGCTGACGAGAGTGAGGAAGCTGTACTGGGCCGGGCCGAGCTCGACGCGGGTCAGCTCAGGCTCGGCGGAGACACCGATGCGCTTTGACCCCATGTCGCCGAAGGCGCGGCTGTTGGCGAGGCCGGCGATGCGTAGCTCGCCGAAGGAGTCGCCCGATACCATCGAGCCCGCGGGTGCGTACCGACGGAGGCGGCGCTCCTCTGTCGGGGTGGTGGGGTGGTGGTCCGATGTGAGCGGTCGGGCGAGCCCGGTGGCGGTGTCGCAGAGGAGGACGCGTGTGTCGCCCACGTGGGCCACCAGCAGGGTCGACTGGGCGTTGGGATGCCAGAAGGGAGCGGCGGTGGGGGTGGAGATGAGGGCGATGGAAGCGGTCGAGCCGCCCTTGAAGCGGCTGTGGCCTCCTATGCCGTGGCCCGAAGGCGGTATGTGGGGGGCACCGAGGATCTCGTCGTTGTTCAGGGGATCATCGGCTACGCGAGGGTCTTCGGGGTCGGGTTTGCGGGCTTGAGCGGAGACAAAGTCCAGGTCGGCACGGAGAAAAGCGTACGTGAGGACGGACTCGATGGTGACGGGTTCATTGTTGCCCTGGTCGTACGTGCTGCTAAAGTGTACTGGGTTGAAACGCCGAAAGTAGCCCCCAATGGTCCGCCTGTACTCCTCCATCAGTTCTCGCTCGAGCTGGATGGCTCTGGAGACGCTGTCGACTTCAGCGGGTACGGGATCAGCCCCTTTCACGGCTTCCTCTCGTTCTGGTTGCTCGACGGCTCCGTACTCGTTCTGCGTGGGTGTCCTGAGCCGGCTTTTGACCTCCTCTTCCGATTTCATCTGCGGCTTGTCTACGCTGCCGGCTTCGACGCCAGTGTCCGATGTACGGCATGAGTTTTTCGGTCGGTCACTCCTAAGACTGCTCTTCAGCCCAAAGTTGGCCGATGCCTCTTCAATGTATCCGTGCAGCTCGTCTCTCAAAAAGTCCGAGCATTGGGTACCGCCGTGGCCGTCAAAGACGCCGAAATAGAATATCTGGGGGTCTCCCAAGGCGCTATCGGCTGATGTCGCCTCATCGGGTCTCTGGAGGGCCCTCCTCTGAACGCTCATAGGTGCCCGTTTGGCAAAGGAAGGCATTGATGTTGTCCCCGCCTGACTGGTATCTTCATTGTAAGGGCGAGTACCTCTCGCAGTGGCCGATCCGAAGTGGTGCTTGGCTCGTTGCAGAGGGATCCGGACTACGGTCAGGTCCCTGCTGGGCATGTTGAGTGGGGCGGCAGCGGGAGACGAGCCTGGGCCTTGCACATGAGGGATGGAGGCATCGCGAGGGAGCTTATGGCCAGGGCCGGCCGAGTTTCGGGAATCGGGATGGAGGGAGGAAGACGGGAGATGAGTGACGAAATAGTCATGGAATTCCCGCCGACCGGATGATAATGTCGAGCCAGCGTTCAGGAACGGGGCATGTCGTCTATACGGGAGTAATCGAGTATTCTTCACGATCGAGTTCAATTGAGGTCGGGGAGTGATCTTAGACACAGCCTGGTGTTGGTCGGGCGCGCGCTTTGCCGGAGGGAACCCACGGCCTCGGCATAGCTGCCGCGTCGCGATTCCTTGATAGATGATCGTGGGTTGGGCGGCCGCCCTGCAATGATGCGTACGCTGGGCCAAGCATCGTAATGTAGGCGGACATGGTGAGATTGGCATAATGGAGATGACGGATGTGGGAGAGACCCATCACGAGATGAGGTGTATGTGTGTGTTTGCCTTGCTAGGGATAATTGACGACCTCACGATGGTATGAGAGGGAAAAGACGGCTCCGTCGAGCCCGGGATCGTCGTCGGCTTCTACTGTCGACTTGTCGACATCGCCTTCGTGTCGGGTACTAGGTACTATTCGTAGGTGGTGGCTAACCAAGGAAAGAACAATAAGACAGAAACGAGACAGAATGAATCCTTGGAAGTCAGAGGTGTTGAGAGGACCAAGAATATTGACGTGGGGTTGAAGGATTTACAGGTAGCTCCTCGTTCATCTCCAGAAGAACCACATCCCAACGAACAACCAGGAGAACTTCCCTGGCCTCTTCTTTATCGCAGATAAGACAGGGTACGGAGGTACATGCCATAACGCCTGGTCCAGGGCGACGTCCTCAACGGAAACGTTGGTTGTAATTACCAATTAGGTAATAAGGTAATACTAGATCGGCTGGAGGTTATGGGAGACAGGGATACCCCGCGCAAGAAATAATAATACGTCACTCATCCCAGCAGCCTCCTAACGATGTACGAATTAATGATCAATTAATACCTCTGATTAAACAGTAACATTGGGGGCACAATTGTTTGATGGGATTCGTAGCTGTACACCTTGGCACGAGTAGGAGATGCAGTATTTTGTGAACATAAGGTAGTGTGCCGAGACATTTCCCTCTCTCCCCTGAAATGTATCCGTCCTCGCGAGTCGTACGTTCCTGAGCGCCTAACACTGCGTTGCTATTCTGTTATGCCATATGAGGCAGAAAACGAGGTGTTTTTGTCATTCAGAATGATGGCGTGGCCGAGTGGTTATGGCGGTACGTTTAGGTAATCCAATACCATCCGTACTGGGAAACCGCGCGAGTTCGAATCTCGTCGCCATCAAATGAATACTTTTTTTTCTCCTTTTTTTCTTGTTTTTATTACTCTCCTGTGTTTCTGTTTCTACTCTGTTCTTTTCAACTCTCCGCTATTCTTCGCCTTCTTTGCATGATCTTGATCCTTTTTTTTGGTTCTTTTTCTTCCCATCGTCTTTACATTTTTCAGTGCATGTATGTATTTGTTTGGTCAGGATTGGCTCCTGGTACTCGGAAGAATCCATCCCTTTCCACTGCACGCAGTAAAACACCATCTTAATTCCGGTTGGACGTCCTGCGAGACGGTCTCGGTTGACGACACTCCGATGAAACGGGAAGCCAAGCCGGCTCCATGCTCGACGTAGATCGCATGGAAACACAATCGCATCGAGTCAAAGTAAGTAGCACGAACCATGCAGAAGCCCAAGCCATATGACGACCAAGTCCTACTCTCCGTTCAACCTGAGTGGCGTAGCTCTTACATGTGTTGGTAATACCGTACGTATACTTGAATTACGAAGCATTTGTCATGTATTTCGAGTGAGGCAGGACTCTTTGCGCTGACTTCATGCACGCCGCGTTAGAGGTTCATGAATTATCACCTGCATCGATTTTGTCTTCTCCAGAATTGCACCGAGTCGGGCCCTTTTTCCATTTTTTTTCTTTGCTTTTCATATCTTGTTGATTATTTCTTCGTGAGACCTGTATTTTCCTGATATCCCACCAAACCACGGCTCGTCAGCCACATCATTCTCTCGCCCTTCCCTGTATACTGCATCCTCCCCACGGCGCTACGTAGCGTCCAGGTCGAAGTGATTTGATTCTCTGGGAAAACTCGCAAGCATCTCGACAGGCCTCTCAGGGGAAAAGACCCAAACGAGAGTTCCTCACTATTGCAGGTGGCCAAAGGGGAGTTGTTTGACTTTCTCCGTTCGTTCCCTGGAGACCAGAAGTCACATGCCGAGGGCAGTGGCGTGGCGCGGATAGAGGGGAAGACAGACAGGGCCGAGAACTGAGACATTGGGTTCGTCGTCATTGCCTCCATTACTCGGAGCCTTGCCGACGTCATTTGGGGTGCGAGGCCAGTAAAGGAAGAGCAACGTAATGATAGCCCCCCCCTGCTGTAGTGCAGTTCCGCAACGCGTTATGGGCGGTATAGACCAAATTTTTTGTCTGCTCCCGCTGACGCCAGGACCCGTGCTGTAACTAATCCCGTGGGCAATGTCGTCAAGCTTATGACTGCCCGTCAAAGTCCTCAGATGTGCTTTCGACATTCTTTCGCCGTGACAGCCGGGTCAGTCGTGCTCGCCGCCGACGGCCGATGACAGTGCATCGAGTCGAGCTCCCCAGCCGCGACTGGGCTAGTTGTAGGTGGTCCTCCAGATGGCACGGTAAAGTGCTGAGAATATCTTCTCTTGAGGACCTCGTGAGTGGTGGTATTGTTCGTATCTTCGTATCATTCGTGTCGGCCGATGGAGGTGACGGTTATAGGTGATAAGGATCAAAGTGTATGGATGGCGTTGTGACTCGAGTCTCACTCAATCAGGGGTTTCTTCTGACCCCCAACAATACACAGGCCAAGCGTTTTGAGGGCATCCAGGTCATTAGCCAGGACGATAGAGCGCGCGGGTAGCATGGGGTTGTTCTGATCGACGAGAGAAGCGTCCTTAGCCGCTTGCTCGATGGCGTCCATTTCCTCCTTGCAGGCCTGCTGGTCCATTGGACATATTACCAAGGGTATCCGCGCTGTAATGTCGCGAGCGGAGCTGAGTTGCGCCTACGATGGAGAACATAAATTCTAGTCAGCCAAAGCATCAAGAGACGGACAAGGGCATAAGTTGCGTGGGTAGGTAGGTAGGTAGGTAGGGAGGGAGGGAGGCATGCCTTGACGGTTAGGTAGAACTCGATCTTGTAGAGTGTCGAGGTCGTAGTGAAAGATGTCACCTCGTACATGGGGAAGGCGGGCTTCCCTCTCCTGATGATTCCGTCCGAGTCGCGCAAGTCCTTGGCAGGAAAGACAAGACTAAGGTTGGTGGCATAGCCGGCCTCGGGTAGTTTCGTGGAAACATTGTGTGTGTGCTTCGCAATCCGATTGACCTTCTTGGTGGGCTCGTCGCCTTCCGGGTTGAACGTGATTTCCTCGTCAATGGAAACGATGAACTTCTGTATGGTGACCTTGAGGGCCTTCTTCAACCAGTCGAGGTTGGGTACGAGCTTAATGTAGACGGTGATGGGGTCCATAGGTCCGTAGCTCCATTTGGGAACGGATATGCCGAGGGTGACGACGCTATCGCCGGGGCTGGTACGAGTCTCGGGCTTGTTGTACATACCAAAAGTCGAGAGGGTATCGTACCGCTGCAGAGGTACGGGGAAGGCGTATTTATTCTGCACGCTGTGGCCTTGTTGTACCGTCACGACGAGCTCATAGTATGTCTCGGCCGTGCGGCTCGGAAGCTGGAGAGAGGCCGGGGGGATACGGCGATTCGTCTCCTCGCCACCGCGTCCAAAGGGGATGAAGAGGACAAAAGGCAGGTCCATGGCGATGACGCTCTCAGCTTCACGACCGCTCTGGCAGCGGAAGAGTAGAAGTTCCTTGCCAACAACATCGGTGGTCTCACGCCGCGGGGTGCCCAAGTGTCGTTTGGCAACGTTTTCGGCGGCTGGGTGGATCGTCTCCCGGCGTTGGAGGCATATGCGGACAAGGGAGATAGCAACGGGCGCAGAATAGCCCTGGGATGGCCGGATTTCGACTTTGCCTTCGATTCGGGGCTAAAGAAGGGGCAGGCAGAGACGGGGCATACGTCAGCACAGATGCCACGAGAACACGAGAACAAGTCCAGAGGCAGGACAGCCAGGGGTTGGAAAAGGAGGAGGAAGGGCCCGGGGGGGGGGGAGAAGGGCCGATGGAGAAGGGGGTCTACAGGGCGTGATGGGAGGGTAACTCACCAGGGTAGCTGATATGCCCGGATAACCGACCAAAAAGTTACTATTCGGGGGCCCAGAGACCCTTACGAAGGCGGCCATTGTTCCGGGCTAGGGGTCTCCAGGGTCCTCGTGAGGCCGATGGCTGGGGCAGTGACGGAGGAGACTGGAGAGGCGGTAGGGGCAGTGGGATGTGGAGGTTCAAGAAGTGTCGAACGGTCGACAGGAAACAGCGAGGGAGCTCTCATGTGTGTGATGGCAAGTGACACTCTTGCGTCCTGGGTGTAGACCTGCGCCAGAGGTCGCCTAGGGTGGCGTCAGAAACGCAGTCGCGTCTGTTGTCGTCGTCGGGTTTACTCGTCAAGGCGGGCAATTTCGACGGGGGGTAGGGCTCGGAGGGACGCATTACATGCGCAAAAGTGTGTCGCGCGGGCTGGCTGGCTGGCTGGCTGGCTGACGGTAGTCTCAACGGATCGTCGCAAAGTTCGCTAGTACGCTGAGTGTAAAGAGGGTGGCGGGACAGCACGGAAAACGGCGGTACAACGGGGACGCTGAAGAGGGAAAGAGAGAAGTATGTGCGAAGAGTCGGGTAGGGATGTCGGAAAGAGCAAGAAAGAAGAGGTAGAAGAGGTTGGCAGCAGTGACACAGTAGCGATTGGCGCAGTCGTCGAGTAAGCCTGGGTGACGAACATGTGTCACTGGTTGTATCTCGTAGGTAATGAAATGTTAGCAGCTATTCTCCGCCCATCTTATCTGCATCGCTCGTCTCGTCTGTTCAAGGTCGTCTCGGTGGTGTGTCGATGGTGGTTTGTGTGAATGTGGATCGAAACACAAGTGTCAGTCAGTGTGGATGTGCAAAGCGGGATGCGGTTGCGAAAGCGGAAGTCAAGTGAAGGGCCGCGCCTTGTGTCTGTTGCTTGGCCTGGGTTTGGTGGGTACCTAGGTAAGGTACCTTAGGGTAGGCAGCCAAGTACTCGGTGGAAGACCGAATACCAACCCCTATCCGCCCGCCCGTGTGGGAGGTGCGTGCTCGAGGTGGTATTGTACAAGTACCTTAGGTAGGTATTGTAGGCCCTTACCATGAAGGGAGGCGATACATTGTACTCGGTACCACGGGCTGCTGCAAGGTAGGTATACGGTACTTCCGTTTTCTCCACAGCAGCTTGAGCCGAGACCCTCAGTGATCGGGATAGGAATTATGAGTGGTAATGCACCGCTCAAGGGCAGGACTTGGATGCTTACGATGCTATCTATTTGTTACGACACGGATATAAAGCGCTCGTAACACTGGAGGGCAAGCTTATAAGATATTTAGCCGCTGTGATATCGCGCTGCCGCTCATCCCCATGGGCTACACATGCAGGGGCCTTAGACCTTGCCCAGTGCGCACAGTCCATTAGCCCAAAGTGAGAGAAACAAAAATTTGGATTCTTATTGGAACTTCCTGTCTGTGTTTCCCGCGGAGATGAGAGGCATCCTTCCTCTTTCCCTGGTAATAAAACCTCTCGAGCCGCTACGCGCCGATGCCTCCAGCAAACCATGTCCCACTTCTAATTGACCCCCCCCGGCATCCAGCACGACCAACTCTGATACTATCAGGGCCAAAAGTCCTCGTATGGGCATATGAGACGGGAGATTCACCGCTCAGAAATTCAACCGAGTCGGAAATTGAGGCCTGCCTAATTACGGCCTGCCCGGCAGGCTCTGAACTCCTCGAAGAACACAGGCTGGATGGTCCGGAATGTGCAAGACAAGACGCCCCACCGTCAGCCCTACTGCTCAACTGTCAAGGGTGTGGCTGGCTTATTAGGTGATTGGATACTGGAATGAAATCATTGGTCCAAATAGGAGTACCAAGAATTATTCTTCACCCAGATGTGTGGGTATATTACTTGGAGCCGGCCAAGAGGTCCCAAAAAGGCTGTGTAAGGTAGTTCGAATCTAAGCTACTCTGAACTGGACGCTCTGGGAGGGGAAAACAAACAGATATCTTTCAAGCCTTGATACTAACACCGAATATTCTCCGGCTCCCCCAAACAGGGAGATGCAACCGAACCTAAGCTACGAATCAGCTATCAATTATACGGAAAAACCAAGACATGACCATTCGGTTTCGGCACGCTGCCGCAGAGCGTTTGAACAACGGAAGGGTCGTCCAAGGGATGCCCCCGAGGATATCAATACTGGAAACCCCGTCAGAAGATAGACAGTGCAGTCAAACATGGGAAGTCGAGAAGGGACAGTGGATAAGTGAACCGGGGCTAGATTGCCCACGTCGATGCAGATGTCGATATCGATGTCATAGCCCTGGAGAAATTTCTTGGCCGCCCCGAAGACCCAGCGTTCCGTTGGGCGAGGCTTCTGCGGGAGCGCGCGAATACCAGACATGCTGCGCCCAGGTCAGAAAACACGCAACGGCTGGGTTACTGTGAAGATTTAGATTGCCTGCCTACCTGGGAAGTCCTATAAAAAAGAGATCACGGTCAGGCTAGGAATTAGCTTGGTCAAATCGCCCTGGTGCGAGAGAATAGACTGCTGTAGACCGCATCCACAACAGGTGCCGCGTCGATCATTCTGCCGCCAAAGTACCGACCGTTCAGCCCCTTGATAGCGTTCTCTCCGCCTTGCACCTTGTCGAATTTGAGATAGATGTCTCCCTTTGAGGTGGGATCGACGGCGATGTGAACGACGCGGCCATATTTGGTCTCGGCTTCCTGGCGTACGTCATCCTCGAGCTCTTTGACCCAGTCCTCGCCCTCTTCCCTGTAATGAGGTTCCAAGTCAGTAAACTAAACGAGCAACATGAGGGGACAAATGGTCTAGGGATGGCACATACTCTTCAGGGTCAAACATGTTGTGCAATACAACGCAGCGGCTGGCCATGTTGACATTGACGGGTAGCGGCTTGGTTTCCGTCTTTGGCTTCAACACCTGTCGCTCATCTGTTCCGTTGCTCGTCTCGTCAGTCCTGGCAAGCTTCCTCATGAGGGCATCACGGCTGTAGTTGTTAAAATTGACGCCCGCGACGTCCGTGTCGTCAAGAGCGCTGGCGCCGCCCGACTTTTCGCTGTCTCGTCCTCCGGCACGGTCGAATGCCGAAGCTTGTGGCCCGCGGCCGCCGGCCCCGGAAAATGCGGAACCTTGGTACGGGTGGTCTCGGCCGGAAAATCTCTGTAGCAGGTTGGCAGTGCTCTCAGGGGTGAACTTATCGTTTCCGAGGCCTACGCGAATGGGGCGGCCTGCGAGGTCGAACCCATTCATTTTCTCCAGTGCTTCCCTTGCTTGGGTTGCTTCCCGGTACCTAACACCCCAGAAGGTCAGTCACAAATGTATTTTGTGCAACTGAGAGAGAAAACTGGAAAGGGAACATAAAAAAAAAAAAAAGGAAACGGGGGGGAAGGAAAGGGGGTGAGCTTACTGAACAAAGCCATAACCGCGGCTGCGACCGTTGTCATCTTTCTGAAGTTGGACAAACTCCAACTCGCCGAAAGGCTCAAAAACAGCCTGCAGGTCCTGCTCGGTAACGTTGAAGTGAATATTTCCGACGTACAGACGGTGGAAAGGAACCTGGTTGGGGTGACTGCCGGACTCGGGGTTTCGTACTTGGCGGTTCTTCTCCGCCTCGGTGAGCTGGACGATAATCGGGATACCTAGCAGTTTCTGTCCGGTGAGCTGAAGTGCCTGGGTAACAGACTCCTCGCTTTTGAATTCAACATAACCAACTCTAATCTTTCAGTTAGCTTGTGCATTTATCTCGGAGCATGAGGGGACCATCCGGAACGAAACTAACCCCTTGGATCTCTGGCTGATTCGATCCTTGACGATTTGGGCCTCGTTGACGGGTCCCACTTTCTCGAAGAACTCCTTTAGCTCGCGAGTTCGAAGGCGGGCGGCGAGCTGCTGAACAAAGATAGTGCGGCGATCTCGTTCATCTTCAGTAAGTTGTGGAGTTCCCTCACGCTTGGATGGTGTTTTCCGGCCATCATCTCTCCCGCGGCGATGGTCTCTAGGGTGCCGATCGTGGCGGTCACGGTCACGGCGATCTCGGTAACCCCGGCCATCGCGCGACCGATGGGCACGTCGGGGCGAACGAGAACGTGATCGTGATCGGGAGCGGGATCGGGTTCGCGAGCGAGATCGGGAGCGGGTACGGCCTCGGCCGCCACCACGGTAGTAGTCGCCATCTCTGTGACGGCGTGAGTGACGGCGGTCATCATCTCGGCTTCTGCTTCTCCGCCTACTCTTGTGACTCCCAGCCTCACTTCGAGGGGTTGACGTCTTGTGATCATCGGGTGTGCCGCGGTGGCTGCGTGCCGGGCTGTCTCGACGGTCACGGCGGCGACGATCTTGATCCTTATCACGGTCTCGGTCTCGGTCTCGGTCTCGGTCACGACCGCGGTCGCGTTCTCGGTCGCGTTCTTTCCGTTCTGATCGATCCTTGGGTTCATCCTCGACATCCTGGCTGGGTTGCTTTTCGTTTGCCTTGTTTGCTGTGGCGTCCAGCAACGCCTCTACGTCTAGGCCTGACATGCTTACGTAGCCGTGTGGCCTGCACCAAAGGGGTTAGCAGGAGAGGACCGATAACGTCCCTTATTTCGATTTCTGCTTTTTTAATGGACGAGTTGAATGTTACTCGGCAGTCAGGCGTTTCGCAGTAATGAGGTTGAAGCCTGGCACTGTCAGTGATTGCGAGGTCGAAGATGATTACCAAGGCAAGGCGGGTGTAGTTTGAGAGGAAGCAAAAAAACCCGAGGGGCCACTTTTCTGTCATTCCGGATACCTAGGTATGCCGGTAGCCTTTATGGTCACGTGATCTAGTGTGAATCCAAATCCCAAACTGTGGACGAATGTGACCAAATTTGGCCATTCAGTGTTGTTGAAGACTCGATGTAACTTTAGCAGGTCTATTCGGCGCGAGCAGACGTCTGAGATTAAACATTATCTAATTAATTCAGTTTTAAAATTCTAGTATCATACAGCAGGGCGTATTGCCAAAACTAAGGGCTTTCCATCATCTCGTAGAACCATTGTTACATGAACTCCCCAAGTCACCGTGAACAAAGAGCTAGGCAGCAAATTGGTCTCTCCCATGCACTAGGGGGTAGACAGCGAATATGAACTCTAGGGTAGACCAACCATTTCATGTCCAAGACTGTGGTGCATTTCCACCCTCCAGGGGTTCAGTTCGTTTTCACAACGGGTAGCAGCTCGGTCCCGAATACGCGGTCCCAGAAACGGCTGGTGACGCCGAAACCTAGCTCGTAGTCCAGGAAGTGGTGCTGGAGATGATACTTCTTCAGCTGTTTATACCACAGCGGCAGGTTCTGGTGATGCAAGAAGTAGTGGGTGAGATCGTAGCAGATGTAACCGAAGATGCCTCCGCAGTACACGCTTGTGGCCGCGTACCAATTATAGGAGAAGATGGTATGCGCTAGCTTCCAGAAAGGGGTGGCGAGTACCACGAAGAGAGTCGGCGGCATCACGAGGCGATATTTGTCCATAGGAAGGTAGTGGTGAATGCCATGGAGAAGGAAGTGGACGGTTATGCCGACTCGGTTATCAGGGAGCCATCTGCGAGAGATGTCGGTTAGCCAATGACTGGAAGAGCAACAAACGTGCGATCAGACAATCACATACTCATCAAGGTGAAATAGGAATCGGTGCAATATGTATTCGACCAAGGACCATAGGAAGCAGCCCAGTCCCCAGTACGCCGCCTGTTCCACGCCGCCCAGGCCCTCGCTGGCGACGTACGTGCCATACGCCACGGGTGGCAGCCAGATGGTGGGAACAACCCACCAAGGCGTCTTGGAGAGCGGCTCCAGGAAGTTGCCGAAGAGGGGAGCGGACTGGCCGCCTTTATAGTGACGAGGTCGGTGAACCTGGTCCAAATAAAACTCTTTGCTAAAACCGCCGTACCAAATCTGAGGGAAAAGGGGGCGGCTGAGATCGAGGAATTTGTGCGTCTTGTAGTCGGTCGTGAAGTCGGTTTCCTTGCTCAGGTCCTCCTCGCGTGACATCCCAGTCCTGGGATGGACCCAGTCCGCGCCTTTCTGGCTTCCATTTACTGCTGATGGTGCAGAGCCGTTGGTGACATTTTCCGAGGCGAGGAATCCAACCAGAGACTCGTCGAGGACCTCGTACGCCGCTTGGGAGTGGGGGTGGGAGGTCGCGTCTTTCAGTATCTCCTTTACGTCTTTGCCGGCGTAGTCGAGGATAAGCTCGGGGCCGCCAGGGTGGTCTTGGACAAAATCCGTCACATCGTAAACCTTGTCATCAATAGTGACGTAGCAGGAGTCTTTCGAGTTGTGGGTTTCAACCTCAGCGCGGGTGAAGGCGGGGTGGGTGCGAGACGCCATCCCGACGATGATAGGGGGTTTGGACGCGACTTCGGGGCGGCGTGTCGAACAGCAATTCGATGGTCACAAGACGGGACACGCGGGATCTTTATTCTGAGGTCGTCGAGGACTGCGAAAGGAAACCGGCAGGAAAGCCGGATGAAAATGTTTAGGAGTGGCGTTAGGGAGCAAAAATGAGCGAACTCTGGGAACTGATTATTATTATTATTAGGGGGTTGGATTTTTTTTCCAGGTGGACTCGAACATGGTCCCAGAGTCAGATCAGGGGACCATGAAATTATGGTGGAGTCCTAAGTAATCAATAAAAGGAGTGGCGTGGAAATCAGACGCGGAACCTCGGAGCCCGCCGCGATTGCCACTGCCACTGCTGGAACCGACTGCTTGGGCATTGTACACTGTTCGCTACCTTACTTGTTGCGTGTTCAAAATAGCGCTTAGGTGATAATTTGTGATTAAGCACAAATCTCGGCTGTGTATATTATGTCAAGGTATATCTGTGTGAGACTTATATATCCGGTCTTTCTTAAACCCTTATCATTGTATTAATGCCCGAGGTTTGAGGCTAGAGGGGGCCGGGGGACCCCTTAGTCAGGTAGGGCCCCGTTGTCGTGCCTATGCGGCACCGGTAAGGTAAGGTGGGAAACTAACTCCGTTGAACCACGAAAAATCATGACACGCCCCGTGGTCAACTGCCATCAATTATATTCCTGTCTGATATAGGGCCTGTTGCTCGTTAAACCCGTCAAATGTCCTCTCCCCTGCAAACGCACGGCACCCAGATTGAGCCGATATCATCATGTATGTAAAGGTCAGCCGTTCAACCACCCAATCCCCACTTCCAAAGAGTGCAGAAAGAAAAGGAGAAGCAAAATATGAGAATGTATATTCGCTGAATCGGAGCAAATATGAAAATAATGAATAATTATTGCAGTACGCGAGCGCCATAGAAGTGGGAGCTCATAAACCGCCCCCGTTGAACCGAGCAACTGAGCCGTCCCGATAGCCAGTTCAACCGATGAAATAGCTCCAGCTGGTACCTCGCATCTAGGACGAGGCGTTTCCCGCTATAATCGGCCATTCAATGGATGCAAGCGGGCCTGTTTACCCCCGGCGCTGTCGCTTAAAAGGAGCCTCTTCGCCATCGGAGCTCTCCTCACTGAAGTGCTTCCACGGACGGGGTGGGGGCCGCATGCTGTACATGTAGGCAGCCTCAGTCCGATCGTTGATCTCCGGGATGTTGCTCAGGGTAAGGGAAGGCGCCCGAGTTGATCCGGCAACCGATCCGCTGGGAGATGTTCGGATGGATCTCTCCAGAGGTCTGAAACCGGAGACGAACAACTCGCTTCCCGAGGTCCTGGACGCTCCGGAGGGTTCTCGCACAAAGGGACTCGCTTGGGTGGGCCGCCCAGACAGTGCAAGACTGGAGTCAAACCCGGCGGTTGCTGGTCCTCTTTCGTGGGACTCGGCGCCGACTCTCTGCGTGGTGTTCGAAGTGGCGAGGCCCTGAATGGCGACGCTCTGTCGGAAACATTCCTCTCCTCAGGAGAAGCATTAGAACGTGCCTGAAGGGAGTTCTGTAGGAGCGGCCGCGAGGTGCTGAGAAACTGACTACCAAGTCGTTGGTTGCGTTCGCGGCCCAGTCGCAATAATGCTCCCCTTAAGGACGGTGCAGGAGGCCTAACTGACGATGTTCCAGTTTGTCCGCCAGCCGTACCTAGGCCGATCGGAGTCCGACTTGTCGTGCGACCGGATGGGTTTAGTCTGCCCGTCCCCAAAGTATTCGGACGGCGTTGACTCTCACGAGTTCCGTTGGATTGCACTGGGGTACCAGATGCCCGACTCTGGGAATCAGCAGCGGAACTGTCGTCGTTCTCATCATCATCACCGTCGTCACCTGTAAGGTCAATAGTAATGCTGACGATCGTGGAGTGGGATCTGGTTGGGCTTTCCATCCCGGCTTCTCTCGTTTTGCCATGTCCTCCCGATTGACTAGGAGGATTCCCTCCATCAGAGTCGTTGTCTGACTGGGACGCAGAGCCAGAGCCGCAGCTGGAAAACGAATGGCTTTCTGTATCATTCAATTCTGTGCTTCGGTCACTAGCTCCGTCCTTTTCGTTCCCCTCGTCATTATCCCCCTCCTCCGCCTGTGCCTCTTGCGCCGGGTTGGCAAGAACGAGGTTGTCCTGGTCAGACGGCTCCGCTTCTCTGCGGTACCACTGCTCAAGTATGTTATAGCAGGAATCCTCTGTCACAATGCCGTAGGGGAGTACCAGATCGCGCAAACCGTTATCCCCTGGTCTTGTCCCACGCTTAGGCATTGTCACGTTGTTCTCGACATCCATCTGAAATCCCTAATCCCGGATGACATGTCGGCCGCCAAACGTGAGATGTTTCTCAAAGTCGTAGAAGATCACCTTGGACATGCCGCGTAACTGCAGGATATAGTCAATCCCCTGAATTGAACGCATGGAGCGTGTCTTACGGGCGTTCGGCTGGCCCTTTGTCAGTTGCGCCTGGTCTTCAAGATACCGTTTTGGTTCGTGAGATCGTCGCATATAATCAGTCCCAGTTTCGTTTATATGGACGACGAGATACTTGAGGCTCGGCATTTCACCCAGGTGGCGAAGATCCCAAGCACGCTTTGAGACGTATCGCAAGGGGCTGTTCGGATTCTTGCGCTGTCCTTGGAAGCAGAGAAACTGGCTACCGACCCAGAGCAACTCGACGTGCTGTATCCTCTGTAATCTGGCCTGACCAATGCCATTGCAAAATCGACCAAACTCCCCAATGCTCGAGAAGGCGAATGTGTTCAAACCGTAAAAGGCGTGAATTCCCAGCAACAAGAACTTCTTGCAGGTGGCAAGAGGAGCGAGAAGCCTGTCGGGCTTCGTTGCAAATGTCAGACTGCAAGGTGAGTTGGAAATGTGGAAGCGATGCAGCAGCTTATGGGCTGCGTTGGCATGCTCTACGGGTTCGAACAGGGGGTCCAACCGCGAAAGGCAATGGATCAGACGGCCTGGGAACTCGGAAACCCGCCGAATGATATGAGCCTGGACTTCGAGGGGCAGAGACAAGAAACGTGAGACGGAGCCTACCTCTGGCCCTAAGGGGGCGACTGCAACGAGTCCATTGCCGGCGTGTTCTCTGTCTTCAGGGGCCGCGCTAATAGCAGCTTCCAAGACATCTCTCAAACACTGTATCACCGCGGCATCAGTTGGGCTCACAATGCCACTATCCACTGCATGGGATGTGTGAGGGCCTGGTGCTCCCAGCAGAAGCAATGACAGCATCTCATCCTGTGTTGGTTCCCGCAACTGGAGGTTCGGGTGAATATTGTGCAGCTTGCTACTCATGTTCTCCTCCTTGCAGGAGAGCTTGTAGATGGCTTGATATACCGAGCATTCTTCGTCTGGCACGCCGCAAAGAAAGGAGTCAAGCTTGTCTTGCCACGTCTGGATTTCGTCACAGGGGTTAGTACTGACTCTACAAGGGAAATGTGGTTCCGGCATACCTTGCGTTGATTTCGGTTTCGATTTCGATTACCAGCGGCCAAACGCTGCCTTTGCAGTTTTTCGTTTTCCCTGGCCAGGTCGGCCTTCTCCGCGGTTAGCTGGTTGATTCGTACTGTGCAGCGGTCATGGGCGTCCTGTAGTTTGGCAAGATCCTCGTTCAATTTGTCGACTTGTCGCTCCATTTCTCTGATTCTGATCCGGCATTCCTCTGTGCACCCTGGGTTATTCACGTCAGAGTCAGTGTCATCGGCGTCCCCTGACTCTCTTGACAGCCTGCTGTAGTTGTCATGAGGACCTCCCCGAGCCAAAGCCCCTGTTGTTCCCCCAGGGGGCAATTCAGCAAGAGAGCCCTCAGAGCTCTCGCTAGACAACTCCTCGATATCATCTTGGGACAGGACCTCGTCTAGTTCGCTGTCGTGCGCATCGGATGTCGGATACGCCATGATGACACTGCGAATCGAGGACCACAAAGATATTGAAGAAACTCCTGGGATATGTGAGACTGGAAGTAAGATACTTGGAAACGATATAGAAAAGAGATGTCAAGAAGAGATAAATCGCGCTTTGCTGTCTGATTTCGACAGCTTGCCAAACCAGAAACGGGACGGGGGACGGCTTGGAATTAATCGCAAAACTCCAAGTAGGAAACGACCATTCGAACTGAAAGTCAGACGGCGTGAAGACTCCTGAAGGTATGACCCAATCTCTCAAGAGAACCAAAATATATTAAGGACCTCCGAAAGTCTGGGCTTTGTTCCCGAGTTCCCGAGACAAATTCAGGATGATATGTAGCAGATGAAGTGTAATGACATGGCAAGATCCAACTCAACTGCGGGAAGGATAAGAAGCCGAATCATGAAGGCGATGGACTAGGACCTGACGGTGGTAGAAAACCGAGATGAAAAAATATCCTTCAGGGACGATAGGGCAGGAATTCAAATTCCAGTCTTGTGAATAGGTTTACTTCAAGCTTCGACCAGCCATAGAGACTCTAAGTGGCGTCAAGCTTTGAATCTGTGTTATGTCTGATTAGTGTCCACGTCCAGAGTGAAAGCTGCGGCAATCAATATGTAGAGGACTTCCTCAGTATCTGAAGAAGGAACAATCCTGGTCCTGCTCTTTAAGGATCCGAAGTCGGTCAGCACGTAGAACTGAAGGTGACGTGACTCTGGTTACTGCTAAAGGTATTTAGAGAACATCAGTAGGATACTGAGATGGAGAAGAATGGCTTGGATGGGAGAAGAAGATCAGTCTGGAAAAGCCTGACCAAGGTACGTTGGTATCGTATGAAGAAATGGGGAGATGGAAGCTGAACCTGTGAACTTGAACGTAGGCGGCAAGGCCTGACACGAGCTGGGAAGGAAATACGCATGCCCAAAGAACTGAAGACTGAAGAAACCCCGTGGCTAAGGGGATAGGTAAGTACGGAATAATTGGAAGGATGATCCGCGGAGGAAGTCAAGTTATAGGAAGGAATTGCAATAGGAAGGAATTGCAACCACTTGCCGTTCAAGAGCCAGGTTGGGACGAAAGCTCTAGGAGCTCTAGCCTCGATTTCATCTCCTGACTTGACTGAGAGCGCGTGCTTGCCCAAGGCAAGAATTGGTTTCCTGGCGTAGGGGGAGATAGTAGAAGGGTGTTACCAGTTAGCCAGCCCGTTACAACAAGAAAGATGGAAAGAGAACGACCATGTAAGATTGTGCCGTATTGCATGTGTATCTACTACCTGTAGTGTTGACACTTTGCCGCTTAAAATTTGATCTTGCTGCCCTGGAACTTAGCAGATCGCTGTTCTTCTTCCTTTTTCTTCTTCGCTTGCCAACTGGGATGCAGCGGTCCCTCCTTCTCCTTCGACTTCGACTCGAACGGCCTCCCGCCTGCCGTCCTGTCGGCATTTCCAGGGCCTCTCCCGTGCTGCTCGCCAGCGTGCCTGTGCTTTTCCCTCTGTCCGACGGCTGATAAAGGATTGGAGATACCCTTCTTCCAGGGCTTCCGTCCAGTATCTGCGCCATCTACCGCACCCCTCTTCATATCCCATCCATGATCCCTACCGGCCTTTCGCTTCTCCCTTTCTGCCATCTTCTGGACGTGCTTTGCCTCCTCGCCAAACTTGCGCTGTGCAATGGCCTGTCGTTGGCGCTGGCCCAGACGCTTCTTCCGGGGCGCCACGTCTACGTCGGAGGCGGATTCGGAGCCGGAGAAGTATCCGCCCATAAGCGAGGGAAGGAAGGTCGTCGTTGTGGGTGCTGAAGTTGATCGTTTCGCTTCTTTCTTCTTCTTGGCCGCAGGTTGTTGGGGCGGCGGAGAGGGCGAAGGTGGAGAGATGGAGGAGGCAGAACCCGTGCTGGAGGCCTGCCCATCTCCGTCAGAATCACCCAAGTCACTCTCGATGTCACTCTCGATGTCGCCGAGGTCGTCTTGTTCGTCACTTTCGTCTTCCGCATCGTTCAGCTCATCATCCGGAGGGGCATTGAGAAGCGCAGCGTATTTTGCTCTCAGTGCCTCTGCGTTCTCTTCTTCCCTTTCCTCTTCAGAGTCTCCAAGAAGCTCGTCGTACTTCGATAAGAGTGCCTCCTCCCGTTCGTCGTCATTCTCGTGATTCTCTTCCACCTCGTCACTTTCACCTTCAACATCGCCGTGTTTATCTGCATCGACGTCGCTGAATCCCAAGAAGCTCGAATGATCGTCGTCGTCCTCGTCGTGGGCATCCACCACTTTCCTCTTCTTCGAGTCGGACGCGTCGGGATTGTCGCGCTTGGATGGAGGAGCACTACCTGCTCGATCTGCCTGTCCTTCTGGCAAGCTCTCTTCTGCGTCTTTCTGGGCATCCGAACTTTTCTGCCTTTTCCGCTTCTTGTTTTCGGGTATCGGCAGCTCCAACTCGAGACACACCCCGTTGACGGCTCTTTCAATGACCTCTCGGACCTCGGTGAAATTATATAGTGCGCTCGTCACATTGTGCATAGAGATTTTATCTTCTCCGGACAGATCCAATTTGGGAGGGCCCTGCTTTATGGAGTCGGGGATAGCGGGGTGGTCGGCAACGGCGCTGATCTTCGCCAAAGAAGCCGCAAGATGTGCTTGGGCCGTCTGTCGGAGGTCGAGGGACTAAAGAGACCGCAGAGAGGTCTTAATGTCAGTGATGAGCTAGAGCCAGGGGGGCTGCAGGGAGTATGACGCACCTTAAGGACTACAACCTCGCGTTGAAGTCGTTGGATCTTCTCAGGGTTTTTCTTGTCGCGCTGCAGACGCTTGCCCAATCGCTGTCGCTCGAGTCCCTTGGCGGCCTTAATGGCCCGAAATAGCTCTTGCTGATACTCGGAGAGCTTCTGCTCGAGCTCAGTCTCGGACGGTCTCTTACGCTTCCCCATTGTCGTGGCTACAGTTGTAACAAGGCGTGATCCCAAGTGCTGTTGGTAGCTTGCGAGGAAGGAAAGACGAAAAAAAAAAAGTGGTCCATACCGTCCATCCACCGATAAGGAATGGTCCAATTGATAAGCACAGACAATGGGGAGACGGAAGTAACGGTGGAAATAAAGTACCTTAGGTACCGTATTACAAGTGCCGACTGTCCTGCTTTTAAAGGAGCCCCCTTGGGATCCCCAATGGCGACTGTAAAGTTCTCTCACCAAAAAAAAAAAAAAAAAAGGCGCTTCTCGCCGAGGCTCTTTCTTCTCAAAAACATCGATATTGATCCGCTAAGATTTGGTAAATCACAAATGACTTCCAGGTCCATCCTATGCGTGCCAAGTTGAAGGAAAGTTCCCGAGGCGGCCTCCATCCACCAAGATGACAGCACCGTTGCAATAAGCCCCAGCCCTGGATGCCAAGTAGAGAAGAACGCCAGCCATGTCCTGCTCATCTCCCATCCGTTGCATTGGTACCATGTTCTTGGGAATTTTGTCATCATTTTCAGTGTACATTTTTACGATAGGGGCCGCCATTTCGCTGGGAAACACTACGATCCCGTCAGTCCGGACACGCTGGTGGACTGGGTAGACTATGGGAGGAGGGAAAGAAAAAGAAAAAGAAAACCGGCGATGCCCATTGGGGACTTACATCCAGGGGCGATGCAGTTGGAACGAATATTCCATTGAGGAAGGATGCTCGAGAGGTGCTTCGATAGCAGCGTAACGGCCGCTTTGGACTGGCCATACGCCCAGCCGCCCGGGGCCATCTTGTTGAATGCACCGATGGAGCTGGTGGTGATGACCTGCGAGGTTTGTGGGACGTTGCCCTTCTTGTTGCCTAGGTCCAGCAGCTTCAAGAACGCCATGGCTGTATACCATACCGAGGAGACGTTGACGTCGAAAACACGCGTGTAGTCTTCTTGGGCATGATGGAAATTCTGCTCTGCCCACTCCGCAGCCGTCATTTCCGGCGTGGGAGCCTTCACCTGGGGCCCCCCGATACCCGCGTTACAGACGAGGAGATTCAGATACCCGACATCGCGTTCTACGGTGGCTGCTGCTTCTTGGAGGCTTTCTTTGGAGCTGACGTCGCATGTCAAGGGGATGACGTTAGGTCCGATGGCTGCAGCGGCTTCCTTCAGGACCTGTTCGCGTCGACCGAGAATGTAGACCTTGTCCGCGCCGTTCGTTGCAAGGGCTGTCGCAATCATACGACCGATACCTGATATGCGACCCTTGTGAGCATGGCGCAGCAGGTTCTTCGAGAGGGAGCCAGCTCACCAGAACCACCTCCCGTGACGAGGGCGACTAGTCCGCTCGTGGAGAAGAGACGACCGGCCTGAAGTGATGCAACACTGTCTTGAGGTAGGCCCTCAGCTGAAACTTTCGCGGCCATTGCAAACTTTGTGGTGAATGGGTTTATTTTCGATATGATTTAGTGTCTGATTGGAAGACAGGAAAGCTGTGTGAAACAAATTCAGGGAAGCAATCGTGCTGATGATGGCATGGATAGGATGGGCTGGGAGACAAGACGATCCTCCGGTTTACTCCCTCCGACTTCAGACTCCACCAGATATCTCCTCAATCAAAGCCTTGTCAATCTATTCTGTGCAAGGTAGGTACCTTTAGGTAGACTGATAACTCAGATATAGGACTACCCACGCGCTAGAGAATTGACTAGAAGGTTGATTCAAGTTGAGAACTTCTGGTTGTTGAGGGGCATGGAGATCTTGGGTCCACCGCGGGGCATATGAAAGAGGGGCATTTACCGGGTGAAATTCGGTTAACAGCCATTGCCCAATAGTCGGCCTTTATCTACGGTACGAAGGCATGAAGATATGTACCTTATGTAAGCATTGATGCCTCTCCTTGTGCGCGAGATTCGGAATTAAGGTACGAGTTCGTACAGTGTAAATATCGTGTATCCACACCAGAGCTGAGTCAACGGTACGGAGTACACGTGTGGGGTAAAGTCCCCACTTTATTACGATGAGTTCAACACCAGGCTGACTCCAAGTGATAATGGACTAATATAATCACTCCATAGCAAGGCTGTAATTACTACCTGCGCGTGGTGACCTCTTACGCACAACCACCATTTGTTACCATTTGTTCCTTTCTGCCCTGCTTCTCTTCAACCCCCACATCCTCTTTCCGGAAGATATGATTATTGGGACGAGAAAAAGAAGGCCAAAATGGACGGAGATTGGGATCAGGTACGTGAATCATTACCAGACCCTCCCTCCCCTCCTCTCCTCCTCTGAGCGCTGTAGCCGTCATGGACTGGATTGTGTCCCCTATCAAGGACGTGTCCTGCACTCTACTACCATGACAGTGGCAGATTGACTATCTGGGGTGGTTTGTGCTGACCCTGTGCCTGTCATACACTCGCCTCTTAGGTCGCGCGTATTCCCTTCCCGCCTCCGGGCGTCCGCGCCATGGCCACACCCGTGACAACCCTGGCTTTTGATCCTCATCAAGAACTTCTGTGGACAGGGAATGACTATGTGAGAACGACTACCTTGCCAGTATCGCTTTCGATCGCTCTCCTCTGACGACATACCAGGGCCGGGTTATGTCCTTCTACGGCGCCGAACTCCAGAGATATACCTCCTTCAAGGCCTGTACCACACATGGCGATTTGAAGCAAATCCTCGTGAACGATAAAGGTGTCATTGTGCTTGGGTCTCGCGATATCCATATGGCCTCAAGGCGAGGACCGCCTATATGGCACATACAGTAAGTAGGCAGACTCCCAGTGTCGGGCTCCGCCTCCCCTGGGAGGAAACCTTTTCATGTCTGACGGTTTCAGCGTAGGCACGAGGCCATGAAGGACCTACAATGCATGAGTTTTACGTCCAAAAGCCAAACGGAAATCCTGGTAGCAGGGTACCAGGAGAAAATGTTTGTCATTGATGTCAGCAAAGGCGAAATTACAAAGGAGGTTCCGTCTCCCCGTGTGCCCCTTCTGCTGGGAACCCCGCATCGGTGTGCATGCGAGAATCTCTATATACTGACCGGGGCTAGATATCCACCGCCCACTCATATAAAATCATGAAGAAGAGCCGATATATATGCGCCGCAACTAAGGATGGCTTGATAGACATGATCGATCCGGCCACACTCTCCATCGTCCGGAGCTGGAAAGCCCACTCGGCCCTCATCAGTGACATGGATGCACAGCATGATTTCATCGTTACCTGCGGATTCTCGCTTCGACATACCCAATCCTACGTGCCGGACCCATTTCTGAACGTTTTCGACATCAAGCGCATGACGCCAATGCCACCCATACCGTTCCCTGCTGGAGGCGCCTTTGTCAGGATGCATCCGCGCATGTCGACTACCAGCATCATCATGTCTCAGACCGGCCAGATGCACGTTGTCGACTTGATGAACCCACATACCAGCAACGTCCGGCAGGTCAACGTTGTCAGCTCCTTAGTCACCATGTTCGAAATTGCCTTCTCCGGAGAAGCCATCGCAATCGCAGATTCGGCGTCACAGATCCATCTTTGGGGATCGCCCTCCAAAATGCGCTTTGTTGATTTTGCCCAACCGTGCGAGTTTGCCACCGCGGATGTGCCCCTTCCTGCCATTGAGTGGACCTCCGAGACGTGAGTCGTTCCCAAGTATTCACCTTCAGCACCTCACAATGGTTGGAGTAGGAGCACGCTCTTTTTACTGATTCCGGTCGCAGCCCCCTGAACTCCATCGGTATGCCTCACTATCGTGAGGTTCTGCTTTCGGCGTGGCCGGATATGGTATCCGACGTGGGAGCGCCTCCACCCACCCTTGATCCGCAGTTCCTTGCGACGCTGAAGGCAACAGACTTCGGCCTGTACGGACCTAACACCCGGGGTCTCCGGCGGAACCAGGTAGAAGATACGCGCAAGGCTGACAAGGCGACGGTTGTGGGAATTCAGGCTCCGAAGTTTCTCAGTGAAAAGGCTAGAGAATCTGCCAAGGCGGCTGGGAACACAACTGGCTTTGACGACGGTGTCGATGATGTCGCGGACACGCTAGCGAAGTTGGCCGAGGCCGATCGCAAGTCGGATTGCCCGCCCATGTACCGCAATGTAGAAATCAGGTACAGCAAATTCGGTGTCGACGATTTCGACTTCGGGTACGCGAGCCCACCATTCATTGCACACTGGGAAAACATGAGCTCACCCTATTCTCTCTCAGATTTTATAACAAGACGCCATATTCGGGACTGGAGATTCACATCGCCAATTCTTACGCCAATTCGCTGCTCCAGGTGATGCATTTCACGCCTCTCATACGAAACCTGGCGCTCAAACATACGGCAACGTCGTGTATTTCGGAAGATTGCCTGCTTTGCGAAATGGGTTTCCTTTTCGATATGTTGAAGAAGGCCGAAGGCTCTATTTGTCAGGCGACCAATCTACTCAAGACACTTAGCCAGCAACCACAAGGTGCGATGCGACTCGTCCCCAGAGCATGTCCGTCGCGGCGCGCACCATGCTAACGTCCAGTGCAGCTGCGAACCTCGGTCTTCTTGAAGAAGACCTGAATAGTGCTTCACTCCCTGCCATGTTACAACGACTGGCACGATTCCTCCTCGACAGAATCGTCGACAATTTCCGTCTGCAGTCAACTGGTCCGAATCTGATGCAACAGGTTTGCTGACATTCCCTTTCCAACTAGTCTTTGAGTCGAGCTGATGTGGTCTGCTCTAGGCGGTGCAAACCTCTGCTACCGAATTCATCCGATGTATGAACTGCCGAAGCGAGTACACACGACCTGGACCGTGCAACGTGACGGAGCTGATTTATCCAGCGGCGGTGAGTGCTGCACTCTGCCAGAGGGACTGAGGCTTCGAACGTTCCTAACGCAAAACGTGTGATGCCTGGCGCAATAGAAGCCGCCGCTACGGAACCAGAAGGCGACGAGAGTGACTTTCTCGCAAGTTTTGAAGCTGAGTGTCGAACGCGAGTTGCCGTCCAAAGGCTGGTGCCCACAATGCCAACGCTACCAGCCCAACGCGTCCAGGAAAACCATAACGACCGCGCCCGCAGTTTTTATGATCAACACAGCCATCAAGACACCTGAACACCGGGGACTCTGGGCTGCCCCGGGTTTTCTCCCTGAGGAAATTGGCGTCATAGTGGACCATGGCCAATTCTTCTGCTATGAAGGGGAAGACCTGGACCTCCACCTCCAGAGAGGCATTCATAACGTCACCGTATACTCCCTGGTAGGAATGGCTTTGGATATTGAGTCTACTTCGGGACAAAAGTCGCATTTGGTTGGCATGGTGAACGGTATGATGGATCGCAAACGTTACGTCTCTTTCTCTGAAAACCAAGGCTGACGGATCACGCAGTGGCACATTCGCAACCAGAGCCTCCCAAGTCGAGCCAGTGGCATCTTTTTAACGACTTCTTGGTCCGGCCGGTCAGCATGAACGAGGCGCTTTCCTTCGACGAGAACTGGAAGATGCCGACCGTCATTAGCTATCAGATCAGGGAGGCGAACAACAAGATGGACACATCCTGGAAGGAAAATATTGATACATCTCTGCTGTACAGGGATTCGGGGTGCGCCTTTTTCTTCTTTTCTTCTTCTTTTCTTTCTTCCCTTTGTGGCCTTCCTGGATTCGATTTTCATAGCTAACAGCTCATCAGCATCACACCGATACACAAGACGTATCGGACCTTAGATCATACCTCGGAGACACCTGGTCCGAGCACCATTGTCGCGCTCGATACCGAATTTGTGGCGATCCGACAACCGGAAATCGAGATGAATTCGGAAGGCGAAAGGGAGACTATCCGCCCCAAAGTGTACGCCCTGGCCAGAGTGTCCCTAGTTCGTGGCAGCGGCGAAAATGAGGGAGAGCCCTTTGTCGACGACTACATCTCGATTCGAGAACCTATTGTCGACTACCTGACGGCGTTTTCAGGCATCACAGCAGAGGATCTCAACCCCCGCTTGTCTAAGCATCATCTGGTACCCCTTAAGGTTGCGTACAAGAAGATCTGGATACTCGTCAACCTGGGCTGCAAGTTTCTAGGGCATGGCCTGAAACAAGACTTCCGCGTTATGAACATTCATATCCCGAGATCCCAAGTCATCGACACCATCCAGCTGTATTATCTGCATACGCGCCTGCGGAAGTTGTCTTTGGCGTTTCTTGCATGGGTCGTTTTGCGGGAGAACATCCAAAAGGAAACGCACGACTCGATTGAAGACTCGAGGACGGCTTTGAGACTGTACCGGAAATACCAGGGGTTTCTTGGGGCCGGAGTCTGGGAGCAGACGTTGCACGACATATACAACACTGGAAAGGACGTCGGCTTTAGGCCGCCCAAACGAGACGGTGAAGATATTCGGAGGACAGAGACTCCGCCGTTGCCCATAGAAGGTGGTCCTGGGCCAACGACGCCTGCAAGACGGCCGCCCGTTTCCGGCGGAGCGTTCTTGACGCCAGGGAGGGGCTCGCCTTTCAGTTGAAGATAGCGCGTCCGTAATTGCGGCCATAACAATAAGATTAGGGCATGAACTAAAGGACTCGGTCCCTTGATCTGTGTTCGTAAATATATACAATCTTATGGTGACATGTCGACGCGTTCGGCTAGCTCAATGATGAATGCTTGATGCCAATGGTATTGCACGGCGACAGGTCGCATCTGCGCGAACGGTGTTGGACTTGGTCTCTTGGATTCCAGGGAACAATGACAACTCGTGCGTCACGAAATGTATATAAATACATTAAGTGAGCATCGCACAGTGGAATAAGCATTGTATTTCTTTGAACACGCATCTGGCGTTACGAGTTTTGAAGTGGGGAGCTCATCTTCGTACAGACAACTCGTGCCCCACTTGGATATCAAGCACGTGCCATGATCGTCCGGAGAAGATCTGGGCTCTAACCATTTTTGGGATGACAGGTCCAAAGTAACGTGGGGTGTAATTATCTAAGGTAGGTACCTACGCACCTTCACCGAAGCGTTCTGCATAGTCGCATCGCGCAGAGTGTTTCGGTCCTTTTGGCCACCGACTGTACACGTGTAACTCGGGTTGAAACCATTTGACCTAGGCAGTACGTGTAAAGACGGCATGGTTAAGGCGTGGTTAATATGTATCTTGTGGTTGGAGGGCGGCAAGGGGCAATTTAGTTCCGACCGTACAACGCCGCGAGTACAGGCCCCTGGTTTAGACGCAGCGTTAAGCTTCGCAGTGTTCTGCGACTATCGTGAGCCGCGTTACGGCGTTGTGTCTGGCGAGCTTGAGGAGATCAGAGGTTTTAAGTTGGAGAATACGAAACAGTGTTCTACCTTGCGTTAGATGCTCCTATTTCTTCTGCGGGAAGCTGTTGTCCTTGTTTGTTCGGAGTATCGACCGCCCAAGACCATCTATCCGTGTTCTTCTGCTCCCGACTTTTGAACCTAACATGTCGATGTCGCTCTTCGTCCATTTTGGGAGTCTTGGTGCTGACATAAGCGAGCTCGGTAAGAGGATAGTCTCACAGACGCCGAGTAGTGTTATGTATCTTACAGCACTGAGATGGACCGTTGGTACTCCGTCCGTACATGGTCTGTTCGTAATCACGGAGTACGAAGTATTAAAGGGGATGAATGCTGGGAGATGACGTATTTAGGCCCCCCTTCTTGAAGCAATGACGACCCTCCCACAACACTACGAGATACATACCTCGTGCACGAAGGTAAGGTCATGGACCCATCTACCCCGCATTCTCGGAACACTACGCACCTTATATTGCTTATTATTGGTTGTACGGAGTATGCATGAAGTACCTAGGTACTTTGATGTATCATGCCCAAAGACCTACCTACACGTACCGTAGGGTGATGGTCGGTCATCGGCTCAAATGGGTAAGGTAGTACCTGGGCGGGTCTCCTAGGGCTTGGGGTAATTACCGGAAGATAATTTACGGAGTCTATGAGTCTATTTCGACTGATGATTTATTGTCAATGGACCGTGTACGAGGACCAACGGAGAGGGCAAATTCACTATTACCATAACTTTGAAGGGCCCATTTGACCGTGTCGGGACTTTCGGGGAACGGGTATAGTGCCGGGGATACCAGCAGAGGGACCTCGGTCGAGTTTTAATTAATTAGTGGGTACCTCACCGATCGCTGTCAGCCACTTCTTTTTCAAGGGTGTTATCAAGGATGAAGGTCCACTGGCGACGTCCACTGGCGACGTCCACTGACACCACCTCGTGGTCGTCTTCCCCAAGTCCGAACCCGCACACCCTACGAAGTACATGGCTACGAAAAGTTCATCAATGTACCTACCTGTACTTAGACAGGTAGGTATGCACGCAGTTTGATAGTAGCCGATTCGTACTTTGTAGGTTGCTGGACGAAGGGAAGAGGCCCTGGAATGCTATTGGGTTTTGCCGACAAACGCCCATACAATGACTTACGACGGCATGAGGCATGAGGCATTCCCTACAAGTGGTTGCTTCGTCCTCGTCGCTGGTAAGGTTGCTTACCACCCAACAACTACGCGCCGATTGTATGTACATTTCTGGTAGTACGTTTTCAGCCTGTTTCCCTTGGAGCACTGAGACGGCGATCCGTGTCTGTCACGGGCACAACTTTGATACTCTGACCAACCCCGCACCCGAAGAGTGGCTATTCGTACTCAGCAAGCTGCCTCGGGATGGGTGTGGCAATCAGGATAGTATGGCGACTCTTTTCATCTACACTGTACTGACTTGGGGTACAATTCCCATTCTCAATCTGCTTCTCAACGTCAATCACTGTCCTCTACTCAGCAAATATACAAGGACGATTGTCGTATTCTCGTCAATTACCTTCCAGGTTCCATGGGTATACTATAGGTAAGGTACCTAGGTAGGCTGTGACATAAGCCCTGAGAAGTCAAGAATGGAGATAGTTGGCACTAAGGTAAGGGATGGCGCCATGTACGGGGTACACAAAACAACATCCCTCTTCCTCCTCTACGGCTCTACCTTACTCAAGCCTCTTCCCACCCCCTCCTCATTTACGACGTTCCTCTTGTCGGCTACTACCTTGTACATACCTATAACCGACCCTCATCCTCGTAAAGGAAAAAAGGGAGAGCAAGCCATTTAATTTACACCTAGCGCCCTCCTCGGCCCCCTCACTTATAACTCCCCTTACGCATCATCATCATCACCTCCGCTTCCCCTCTGGCCACCCTTTCTCATCCGACCAAGCTTCCTCATCTACTAGTTGTGATCCATTTACTATTTATTTCATTGGATACCTGAGACCTTCACTGACTCGACTTGGAATCCATCACCGTCTTGCTTCGCGACTACACTACCCACCTAGTTCGGAATCCTGCAGTCGACAGACAGGGCAACCATCCGCCCGTTCCTGATTCTGGCCATCTAATCTGACATCGCCACCGGGTCGCGTCTGTCGGTCCGGCAGACTAAACACGGGAGGGGCCTGAACATCAGCCGGCTTCTGTCTCCTCACTTACCACCACTTTGCTGGACTATCTGCAAATCTCCTTGCTCTTACAGAGTATCGATTGGACTGGCCATAACCCCCCCGCCTTCTTTGGGTAGTTGGGTACTTAACCAGCGACCTTTTGAAAGACCTAAACGTCACGATCGATCTAAACCTTGGTAAGGTTTTTTTCTTTTTTTTTTTCGTTTTCTTAATGTCTCGGTTTCGGTGTCAGGCACCTAGCAGGTTTCCTATCCTTTCCGGTACCCTGCCGGTTACGGACGGGGCGGGCCCAATCTCCAATCCCCAATCTCCAGTCTTCGGCTCACTATCTCCACTCGGACGACAGGGCCAGTTACTGGACGGCTGGGCATCCGACATATTTGATCTTTGCCCCCCAGCCGGTTGTTGGATCCGCAGGAGATTTGTCCGCGGTCGTCTTTCCAAGGACCCCTCCTCCACGACCCATGGCATGGCCGGCCGGCTATCTAGACCTGGGTCGCTTTGAAAAAGGCTTTGCCAGCTTGGCTCGGGGCCTGTCTTCGTCTCTCTTTGTCCTTTTTATCTATCCTCGCATATCTGACTTATTACATCGACCCCCGTGAGCCTGGAGCCATGCTCATGCTGACTTTGTTTCCTTACCATTCAGATCCCCACTGAGAAGACTTCAACAAGCACCCGGCACTTAGACATGAGCCCGCCTAGCTTCCCTTCCGCCGAAGCATCTCCCGGTTCGTCTCCGGCAGTCATGGGCCCCACCAAGAGCGACAAGCCGGCTGTCGCCAACGACTTCCTCCACACCCCGCTGGTTCGGGCCGCCCTCCCCTTTGTCAATGGGGGCCTCAGCGGCATGGTCGCCACCACCGTCATTCAGCCCGTAGACATGGTTAAGGTCCGCATCCAGCTGGCCGGCGAGGGTGCAGCCGGCGGGCCCAAACCCACTCCCCTCTCCGTCGCCCGCCAGATTGTCGCCTCCGGAAAGCTCCTCGACCTCTATACTGGGCTCTCCGCGGGGCTGCTGCGCCAGGCCGTCTACACCACTGCGCGCCTCGGGTTCTTTGACACCTTTATGGGCAGACTCACGACTCGCGCGAAGGAGCAGGGTCGCAATGTTGGCTTCTCCGAGCGTGCCACGGCTGGCTTGGCGGCGGGAGGTCTGGCTGCCATGATCGGAAACCCGGCCGACCTGGCGCTCATCCGCATGCAGTCCGACGGGCTCAAGCCGCTGGCCGAGCGGAAGAACTACAAGTCGGTCATCGACGCCCTGAGCGGCATCGCGCGTTCTGAGGGCGTGGCAGCCCTCTGGGCCGGCGCGGCACCGACCGTGGTTCGTGCCATGGCGCTCAACTTTGGCCAGCTGGCCTTCTTCTCCGAGGCCAAGTCGCAACTGAAGCAGCACACGGCCCTCAGCGTCCACGCGCAGACCCTTACCGCATCGGCCGTCGCCGGCTTCTTCGCTAGCTTCTTCAGCTTGCCGTTTGACTTTGTCAAGACGCGCTTGCAAAGGCAGTCGAGGGGGCCCGACGGCCGCCTCCCCTACAATGGCATGGTGCACTGCTTCGCCAGAGTAGCCAAGCAAGAAGGTCTCACCCGGTTCTACCGCGGCTTTGGGACATACTACGTGCGGATTGCACCCCATGCGTACGTTTCTACCTACCCCCCGTCTCCCTTCGCACGCATCCGTTCTGCATTATTTTTGTCCCGGGCATCGCATCGCATCGCACCTGACACTCTCGGTATATGTGTGTGCTGACTTTTTGTCTTTCTATTTAGCATGGTAACCCTCATTGTGGCCGATTACCTCGGCTTCCTAACCAGATGAGATTCCGTCTTGATTCCATCATTTCAGGATCGGGGGATTAGAGCACAAAATATGCGAAACTATGACTGGCGTAATATGGGTGGGGGTGGACGTCGAATTATCATAGTTGAGTAGATATGGGTTGACCGTTGAACTCGGGCCCAGTCTACTGCGGGACTACCAGGCTGGACTGGCGCTCTGCGCTCTTGGAATAGCAACCGCTCGGATCGAATTTGGGACATAGTCCATATTATAACCATGGCAAATGGGACGAACAGGGGGAGTTAATGGGCTCTAGGGGGGAGGGGAAGGATTGAGGATGGATGGGTAGGCCAGGAAAGCCTCGAGATGGCGAATAGTACGTAGTAAAGACAGTTCAGTGTCTCTTTAGCCGCGGATAGCTTCAAGATTTGGTTGGATTCGTTCTTCGAGAAGATGGTCGTCTATGATCAGTTCGACAGCGGGAAGCTGTTTATCCGTACTATGTTCGAAGCACTGTTACTGGGAAGCATGGCTCGGCAGAAAGGTTCCCTGCCTGTGTAAGACCCAGGTAGCCGGATATACCCGCACTACCCGCGGTAACACGTCCCACGACAGTCGCCAGCCCAGCGGTAATTATACCAGCAGACTGGGGCAATCCATTCACGGCACCGGCCAGGAAAAGACAGGCGAATCGAACGACAAAGTCTATCCGTATTGGTTGTTTTGCTTCTGCTCTTAACTTGCATCTGTCCTGCTCCACTGCCTATTTTACATCATGCTTCTCTGCCACCGCATCATTAAGGTCCCATCGCAAGCAAGGCTTGGCTGACGCCCAACTCCGTGCCCAACCAAGCTGGGGAAAACAAAGGGAAAAAAAGGAAAGAAGGGGATACACTTGGAAAGAGGATTAAAAATGAAGAAAAGGGGGTAGGGATGTAGGAGACAGGGACCAAAAAAGGGATGAGGGAGAAAGGGGAGATAAACCATTAAACCAGCTTGATCCAGGGGGAATGACTCGGCCAGTGTCCTCTCTGGCGTGAGAGCGAACGGATGCGGGGGCCATTACATGCCGGTGATCACGTTGCGATTTCCCGCATTCCATCGTCTTCTGAACGGCTTTTGTTCGCCAGCAACGTCGCGGCGTCGTCCACGTCGTCCGCCTCATCCACCAGATCCCAGTCAGGTTCGAGCTCGGACGGAATGTCGGAGCCGCCGGAGTCCTAGTCCTGGCTGGCGCTCAAGTCGGCGTTCTTATCCCACAGACTCCGCAGAATGGCATTGATGCCGTCGTTGCCGGCCGGGGCACCTTCATCGTCTTCGCCCCCGACGAGACTCGACCCGCTGAGCCCGGTGCTGGTCTCCCCGTCGAAACTGGACCCGCCGCCTCCGACGCTATGTAGTGTGCGTATCGATTGAGCGCGCGACGTCACGGGGTCGCGGTCGCGGTCGTCGGCCAGGGCCGCCGCCGGCTCTGTGCCGAGGGTCACTTGTCGCGAATGCGCTGTGCCGGGTCGGGAGGCGGGTCGGGAGGGAGGCGCCAATGCCATGGTCGTCTTATTACCGTTGACAGCCGCCGAGCCAGGTGGATTGGCGACGCCGTTACGACCGGTGGTGGTGGTGGTGGTGGTGGTGGTGGTGGGGATGCGCTGGGTCTTGGTTGCTTCCTGCATTTGGGCAATGCGGTCGAGAGACCTGAGCACGGGGTTCTGGTAACGGCGGACGCTGAGGTATTCCATGCCTGTGCGCTCGAGCTGCTTGGCCACGCGAGGGTCGCGGGTCGTGCTGCCGTCGTATCCTGGGCCGGCCACGCCGACAAACGGGGTGGCGCCCCCGGGTCCCATGCCCATGCCCATGCCCATTCCTATGCCCATTCTTCCCAGGCCCATTCCCATTCCCATGCCCATGCCGCCTAGGGCCCCCATTCCTCCACCGCCGGACTGGCCCGGCTCTATGGTTGAGCTCGCGCGCTGAAGGTTCAGCTTTTGCTGGATGCGCGATTCCTGGGCGGGCGGCGCAGCGCGTCGCGCCTTGCGAGGGGCGAGAGCGGTCCCGTCGTCGCCCTCATCGTCGTCGTGGTAGATAGAAGACGCGGGTCGTCGGGTGGTATCGTCCGATCGGCGGCTGTTGGGCCGCGAAACGTCGCTGGTCCGGTACAAGGGCCCGTCTTGGGTGCGGCCGCCCGAACTGGAGGCGCCAACGAAGTGCGATGTCAGTTCGCATCCTTCGGAACTGCCGGTGGCGGCTAGGCCGTCGTTGAAGCCGTTGAAGCCGGCGTGGGTGAGGGCTGAGCGAGGCCTGGAGGGGTCGGGAGTGCGGTTTTGTGACACTGAGGCGGTGTCGGCCGTCATCATGGGCGGGGCGCCTTGGGACGGTGTCCTCTGGAGGAGTCTTGTGGTTAGGTATTCCCTGCGCTGGGCCGTCTCGCGGTCGACGGTAGTTGTTGATGAGGGGGGTGATGATTGCGAAATGGCTGTTCCTTGCGACCCTCTCCTGTGTCGGTGCTCGCCTCGTATGGTTCTTGCCGCCTCGTCGTCCCGTGCGTCTCCTGGAGTCTGGGGTCGCGAATTACTCGCGCTGCCCCCAGGTTTGGCGGAAGACTGACCGCTGGCCATGGAACCGCGACGCGAGAGGTAGGGGGAGGCCGAGGCGCTAGCGTCGACCCATTCGTCGTCTTCGTCTTCGTCCTCGTCTTCGTCCTGGTCGTCGGTGCCGAGGTCGAAATGAACCTGGGACTTGGCGGAGGTCTTGACCTTGTGTTCCGGCTCCGGTTCGGGTTCCGGTTCTGGGAGGTTGGGGTTGGAGAGGGAGCGTTTAAACTTGTCGGCGGACTTGGGGCGTTTCTGGACCTCGACTTGAGACTTGTTGCGCCTGAGGTTAGCAGACGACGAGTCGCGCGACAGCTTGGCTTCGGATTGGACGCGTCGGTGACCGTGAGGTTGAGTAGGACCGTCGTGGGCGGTATACCGCTCGGGCGAGGGAGAAGCGTTTCGTCGGTGGTTCAGCCTCGAGGCATTCGAGCCATGCTGCTTATACAAGGCTTTCGCGGAAGGGACGCGGCCATGCAGTCGTCCGGTGCTGACGACGTGTTTTTGGGTATGGTGTTTGGTGCGATGATGTGGGAGCTGGTAGTGCTGCTGGTTCTGTGAAGCGGTGGTATTATTGTTCTCGCGGGCCTGGTCGCTTGTATGGGATTTATCGCTTGAACGATGATTGAGGCCAGGACGCTTTGATTGGTTGGGCGTGGCAGTGTTCGCATTAGTGGAAGGAGCTGAAGTCGAGGTAGAGACGGTGGTTAGAGAAGCCCCGTTCCCGTTGGGGTTGATCTCGTCGTTGGCCATAGTAGTGACCTTTTTTTTTTTTTTTTTTTTTTTTTTTTTTTTTTTTTTTTTTTTGGGGGGGTTCTTCTTTCCCGGTCGTTTTCCTTTCTCCTCTCCACCGCTAGTTTTCTCCACAAGGCAGACACGCCCAATAAGTCTTATTTGGGTGCACTGTGTTACCTTGCTCTGCCGGTCATCATTTAATGCTGCGTAACATAAGCCGGGGTTGTTATTTAGGGTTGTATATGTTGGCCGAATGGGGAAAGTCGGTGATGAGCAATGGTGACGCGAGTTAAAGAAAAATCATTGACTGATAGGGTGCCAGGATAGCGGGACCCAATGGCGAAAACCGTCGTAGGTTTTGTTTCTTGGACTGGGCGGTCCAATTGGGCAAATTTGAGACGAGCCCTGCGAAATCGATGGGTGTGGGGGAAGAGAGAGAGAGAGAGAGCAATCGATGCGATGCGATGCGATGCGATGTGTGATGTGTGATGGGCGATATATGATGATGACACCAGGGCGGGTTTTGTGGTTGCTGGTTGCTGGTGGACAACGATAAAAGGCATAAAAGGTAGGAGCCGAGGTTTATCGTTAAAGATCGTTAAAGGCGGAATAGAAGAGCTAAAGACCGAATCACGAATTATCAGGATTAGGAATGACGGTGGCTGTGTTGGTAGGAAACCCAGGGCCTTGGGGAAAAAAAAAGAGAAGGGTCGGTGAGAAATACCTAGGAGAGAATGGTGAGATGATAAAGACGGAGTTGGTAACGTGTGCCCAGCCCATGGGAAAGTTTAAGGTACCTTATTAGGTATGGAAGCCACAGGGAAGAATACGACGATAAGATCACTTAAAGGTACTTCATAGTAGGTACCTGAGGTATACAGGGTTTTTTGAACTTCAGCCTGGTCCACTCGAGCTACCTTATTATTGTACTCGACTGTGTAATTACCTTTATCGGTCTTCAGTTGGTGATAAAGGCACGTGATATAACTCAGGTACCCAAGGTATACACATCACGTAAGCTATATACGGGCCTTTGAACTTGAAGCTTGCTCTTCCTACCTAAACCAGAGGGGCAATATTAACACATCCAACTCTCATATCCATCACTACTCTTCATTGTCGATCACGAGAATTAACACTTGACATCTCTACCTCCGCTTTTGTCCTTCTCTTCTCGGGAAAAGAGACAAGACGGGCAAAAGTCTGTGTGAATCGCCCCCCTGCCGAAACAGACAAACACTTACTTGTGACGTCTCCTCGTCCACCATGGCCAGCCAACTCGTCTCCCTCGAGGACGACCGCAGGCAGTATCAGGAACAGGTACGCCAAGAGCCTTTTTACTCTAGCCCCGGCCCTGTCTGTCTTTACATACTGACTATTGCTCGTCTCGCAGCTTGACGTGGTCCTCGCTGGTCTCAAGGACGACCCTGACAATGCCGAACTTAAGACACTGCAGGCCGAGTTGAATGATATGATCTCCCTAATAGACGAATCCATTGCTGAGCTCAAGCCTAAGCAGCCGCAGAAGCCAGCTCCACCCGCGTCTCCCGCGTCTCCCGCGGAGGCCCCCGCCCCTGTCCCGTCCGAGCCGGAGAAATGGTCGCGAGAGAAGCACCCCGCCTTTAAAAAGTCCGCTCCCGTGCCGGAAGAATCCCAAGATGCCCCCCTTCCCGTCGTCAATTACAAGGTCAACGACAACGTCCTCGCCAAATGGGTCTCGGGCGACAAGGCCTTTTACCCCGCCCGCATCGCCTCCATAACCGGTTCTTCCACCGCACCCATATACATTGTCAAGTTCAAGAGCTACGACACCACCGAGACGCTGCGCGCCAAAGATATCCGCCCCGTCTCCAATAAACGCAAGGCGGACGGAACACCAGCTTCCACCGGCGCCTCCACCCCGGCCACCGCTTCGCAGTCCACCCCGCCTTCGGTCGCCAGCCCCCCGGTCTCGGGCACTTTATTAGCTCCCGGCTCGGGCCCCACCCACAGCGACAACAACGGAATCGTCACCTCGGCGTCGGCGAGTCTCTACCCCGAACAGCAGGCCAAGCTGGAGGCCCAGCGGAACGCGGCCGACGCCGCTGCCAAGCCCCCCAAGACGAAGAAGATCAAGGCCTCCAAGGAGCTCGAGAAGGGCAAGAATAAGTGGCAAGAGTTTAGCGCAAAGTCCAAGTTCGCCAAGTCTCACAAAAAGGACAGTATGTTCCGCACCCCGGAGGGCGTGCATGGACGAGGTACGTACTATCTTTTTGACTGGAACTCACTACCCCCCCCCTTTGGCACACTGCTTTCACCCTGCCGTGTTCTGATCACGATAATCGCTGCTCACATTTCCTTTCTCAGTGGGCTTCACGGGCTCTGGCCAGGCCATGCGAAAGGACCCTACACGTTCCCGGCACGTTTACCAACAATCCGATGACGTTGAATAAGTTACATCTCTCCCCTGGCGACGCAAAAGCATTGCGTCAAAACAGCAGTCGGCACCACCCATGAGGACACACATACGGCAAGGTTTACTTACGTACATATATCTAAAGCACTGAGAGGGGCGCGATTGGGTCGGCGTTTGGGGATTCGGGACGGTTCGGGACTTCTTCACTTCATCACTGGTAACCCGCCTTGACCCGTCATGACAGAGGCTAACTGTTGGGTGTATGTATACGCGCCTTGGCCATAATTCCCGCGCTGGTTTTTATTTTCGCCTTGGCCCCTCCCCCGGCGGGAACGGGGCCTCTTCTCCTGCGCTATTCCCTAATACGCAAGTCAGTTGTACACCCGTAGTGTGGGATGCGTGTTGGAACGGAATGTCGCGGTGTCTGCTGCAAAAAAAAAATAAAAAATAAAAAAAAAAAATAAAGGAAAAAAAAAAGCAATGAACAGGTTCAAGATACAAACTGAAATTGTAAACACCGAAAATACCCTCCCTTTTTGGAAACGATTCCTTTGGAACCTGTCATTATGTGTAGCCCCTGAATGCTTCCCCCCCCCCCCCCCCCCCTAACCGACAAAATGGGATAAAACCAAAGCAAGATGCGTGAGTGCAGGCAATGGTACATCTTGTTAAATATAGTACATATGATCGAGTCAAATATAAAGAAGACAGACAACAGGAAAAAAGAGGCGATGGAAATCCCGATTTTCATGACTTGGACAAGTGAATCTTGGCGGCAACAGCCTCGGCCAACTTGACGAAAGCCTCAGCCCTGGGACTCTGGGGTTCGGCAACGACGGTAGGGCGGCCGCGATCCGCGTCGTCGCCGATGGAAGGGTGGAGGGGGATGTCGGCGAGAAGGGGCAGGTCCAGGTCGCGGCACATGCGGAGGACGCGATCGTGGCCGCCGAAGACGTGGGACGGATCGCCGCAGGACGGGCAGCGGTAGAGGCCCATGTTCTGGACGAGGCCGAGGATGTCGACGCCGACGGCGCGGAACATGTTGACGCCGCGGATGGCATCGCGGACGGCGAGGGCGTGCGGGGTGGTGACGACGAGGGCGCCGTCGAGGATGACCTGCTGGGTGATGGTCAGCTGGGTGTCGCCGGTGCCGGGCGGGAGGTCGAGGACGAGGATGTCGAGGCCGGAGGCGCCCCAGTCGACTTGGTGGAGGAGCTGCTGCACGGATTTCATGACCATGGGGCCGCGCCAGACGACGGGGCTGTCTTCGCCTACGAGGTAGCCCATGGACATGGTCTTGACGCCGTAGTTTGTGAGAGGGATGAGCTGGTTATCTGCATTGAACCGTGGCACGAGAAGTTGTTAGTTGTCTTGTCGACTCCAGGTTCCCGCCCCGGGCATAGGATAGGAGAGTGAGGCAAACGCAACGCAACGCAACGCACTCTCGGATAAACGCGGCTCGCCAGAAAGGTCGAAGAGGGTAGGGATGGAAGGGCCGAAGACGTCGACATCGAGAATACCGGCGCGGTAGCCGAGACGGGCAAAGGCGAGGGACAGGTTGGCGGCGACGGTACTCTTGCCCACGCCCCCCTTGGCTGAGGTGACGGCTACGACTCGCTCGACGCCGCGAATCTTGCGGCGTTCAGGACGCCTGGGCCAGTGAGGCGGGGTCCCTGAACGGGGGAGTCCCTGAGGGGTGAAAGTAAGAGAAACAGTTAGTCCAGATATCGCAGGGGGGGGTGGGGAAAGATGTAAGAGATGCTTTACCAGCGGGTTCTCATGTCCGAGTCGTCGGAGGGTGCATTGGAAAAGACGGGGTAATGTCGATTTCATAGTGCTGGAAAAGAGAAGAAAATAAGACAAGAAAAGGAAAAAGAAAAAAAGAAAAATAAAATAAAAGGAAAATAAAACTGGAATATATAATACTTGAATGATCAGCTAAAATTCGGGGTCCCAGACAGTAATTGATTCGAGTATATAATGTCTAAAGTGGTATCATAGGTAGCTGAGATGAACTGAAGTGATGATGAGACTCGAGTCGTTTAAGAGATTCCCTTGTTCTTTGGTGAGGTTCGAATCCTTGTAGACGTCCCGTCCCCACTGTATTGACCTAATCAGGCAAATTGATTCGTTGGAGCAACGCGATTTCAGATTTCACCAACCTCCCATTCTGGTTCCCTCCTACGCCGACGCGCGCTCTCAAGAAATCCGATCAAATTATTATTTATACTTTGTTTCTCATGATGCATGCGCTCATGCCGTACATTGGACTGCATTGATATCCAAAGAATGATCGACTCAAGCTATATTACTTAGTTTAATTCTCTGGTGAGTTGGATGTCGGCTTCCTTTCACTCCCTTTGGACTAGGATCCATGGTTCTTTTAGAAGCTCTCATAAATGGGCGAGGCGAGCTGGACTGGGGACATTGAAAACTCATGAGCACGTCCTTCATGAAGGTCAGCGACTTGGAGTGGCAAGCTGTCACTTTCCCACCCCCAACCCAACGGTACCCGTATACCTTAGAACGTTGCAGTAATTCAGCAAGCGCTACCTGCACACTCACTCACCGCAACCACCTCCCTCCCTCACATGACCTTCCAGCGGTCTTCGGAGACAATAGTGTGTAAGACGGACTGACCACTGGACAGCCAGGTACCACAACAACCCAAACTTCAAGGGGACCGTCGAATGTTCATTAGAAACCTCTCTTTCCCACTATACGGTAGTCGACATTAACAACAGAGGGCGGTCTCGCCTCTCCCTATATTCTCCCACATTCTCCCACCTATCTACCGCAGAGCGTCTCCTATCTCTCTCATTACGACCCCCATCCTCCTTGACACCCAACTTTCTTTCCTTCCTTCGCCATGCCCCCAACCATCCACAACTTCGACATCCACCAAGCCCGCCACGACTTCGCAACCCTCAACCCAGACTGGCGCGCCAACATCCAAGAAGCCTTCGCCCTCATCGACACCCAAAACGCCGGCTCCCTCTCCGCCCGCGAGTGGCCCTTCGCCCTGCAAGCCCTCGGCTTCACCCTCCCCAAGCCCGAGACCTACACCCTCCTCTGCGCCCACGGCGTGCCCCCCGAAGACTTCGACCCGCACGGCGCCGGCCCCTCCGCCCCGCCGCAGCAGTGCCCGCCCGTCCGCCTGCGCATCACCCGCGACGTGTTCGAGGCCATCGCCGCCTGGCTCATCGCCCGCCGCGACCCGGCAGAGGAGGCCGACGCCGCCTGGCGCCTCTTCGACCCCCGCAACACCGGCCGCATCACCGTCGACGGCCTCCGCGCCGTGTGCCAGGAGGTCAACAGCCCCATGTCCGAGCCGGAACTGAAGCGCATGGTTGAGGCTCTCGACCTGACCGGGAAGGGGTGGGTCAGTAAGGACGAGTTTATGGATATGGCACGCGGTGCCGTGAGGGACCGGAGGACGTGAAAAACCTGGGAAGGAGGAACGGTTGACGTGGCGCTGGTCTGGGAGACTTGGCATGGAAGCGATTCACAGTCATTTGGCGGCGCCACAATGCTAGGGGTGGTGATGCTGGTCGATCGCGGCAGTCAATGCAGAATTGGATGTGGGATGTGGGCAGGGAGGAAATACGCAGCATGTCGACGGAGTAAGAATACAATAAGGCCTCGCTCAACGCAAAACAATGGCCGTGCTATTACTTTTCTTGGG